GAGGAAGGAAGAAGGGCTGCCCCCCCGCCCAGTTTTCCAGAGGTGAAGCCCCTATCACAGTCCACATCCTAAGGGAGCCCCTGACCTTTCCTCCCTTAAACTTCCTCCTTTAAGTATTCCCCCACCACCCCATAAGGTGGGGCCAGCGGGCGCCCCCTTGACCCAGAGCCCAGCAAAGGGGGCACCTATGTCTGGCTATCTGCGGGGGGGGGGGGCTTCTCTGGAGCTCCGAAGGGTCCCGCAGGAGCCTGGAAGCGGGCAATGAAACCGGTTGTGTCCCAAACCCAACTTGGGGTCTTGATGCTGGCTTCCTGGGGGGTTCGCACTGCTCCCCCTAAAAGAACCTGGAACCCCCCCCAAAAAGAGAACCTGGAAACCTCCCGCCCCCCCCCCCCACTCCAAATCGGCTTGTTTTAAGCCAGGGTCACCCACCCACCCACCCTTCCCTGACCCAGAATCCTGGCGACCTCAGATCTGATGGGAAGGGGCAGCTCCCACCGCCACCCACCAACCCTACTGAATGAGAACTGGGAATTCTGGGAGCTGTAGTCCCTGCATATGCGGAGGCGGCTTTCTCGGGTTGCTAAACCGGGTTAACCCAACCCTCCCACTGGTTGATTCCCACAGTGGATCGCCTCAAGGGCAGGAATCTCCCCCATTCCTGAAAAGATAACTCAAGAGGGAAGGTCGTTTAAGGTCACTGGCATCCCAAGCCCTTCTGGGTGGCGTGGAAAAAAAAACTTTCGCGCGGGGTCTCGAACGTCGGAATAGGACATTTAAAAAAAACACAACTCCGGTTGTATAAAGTGTCACGAGTTGGGTTGAAGAGGGGGAGGGGGAGGGAGGGATGCCCCTAACTTTGCCCAACCTAGCAGCTGGCACATGCCCCCCCCCTTCCCCTGAAATCCTGCAGCCTTCTGGGTGGCGTGGAAAAAAAACTTTCGCGCGGGGTCTCGAACGTCGGAATAGGACATTTAAAAAAAACACAACTCCGGTTGTATAAAGTGTCACGAGTTGGGTTGAAGAGGGGGAGGGGGAGGGAGGGATGCCCCTAACTTTGCCCAACCTAGCAGCTGGCACATGCCCCCCCCCCTTCCCCTGAAATCCTGCAGCCTTCTGGGTGGCGTGGAAAAAAAACTTTTGTGCGGGGTCTCGAACGTCGGAATAGGACATTTAAAAAAAACACAACTCCGGTTGTATAAAGTGTCAGGAGTTGGGTTGAAGAGGGGGAGGGAGGGATGCCCCTAACTTTGCCCAACCTAGCAGTTGGCACGCGCCCCTCCTCCCCTGAAATCCTGTAGTCTTCTGGGTGGCGTGGAAAAAAAACTTTTGTGCAGGGTCTCGAACGTCGGAACAGGGCATTTAAAAAAAACACAACTCCGGTTGTATAAAGTGTCACGAGTTGGGTTGAAGAGGGGGAGGGGGAGGGATGCCCCTAACTTTGCCCAACCTGGCAGCTGGCACGTGCCCCCCCCCCCTTCCCCTGAAATCCTGCAGCCTTTCTCTTCAGGGGGAGGGGGTTGTCACGAGATTGGACAGGAGTTGGGTTTTTCTCCCATCTTGGCAACTTGGCACCCAGCTGGGCAGATCCCAAGATGGTATCCGTCTGTTCTCTCCCCCCCCCCCCAAGCAGCCTTCGAACCCGGCTTTCTAAATGTGGATCACAATAGCAGGATCGGCTTTCAGGGCCTGCGGCCTTGTCTCGCGGGCACTTTGGCGACTGCTAAATGCCATCTGCTAACTAACCAGCTTCGGCGTGGTTTTTTTGGGAGAGGTGCGGGGGGGGGGGGAAAGGACCGAGAGAGGTCGGTGGGATGGGTGCAACCTAAGCGAGGAGCAAGTTAAGAGACGGGGCCCCTCCTGTGCTAGATTTTCCAGTTATGCAACTTCTGGTGGCAGGCTGTTCCGCTGGCTAATTATTCTCAATGGTTAGGAAATTTCTCTTTGAATTCCAGGTTGCTTCTCTCTCCTTGGGTGGTTTCCATCTGTTGCTTCTCGTCCTGCCTTCAGGGGCTTTGGAGAATAGTTTGATTCCCCACCCCTCTTCTTTGGGGCAGCCTCTCAAATATTGGAAGAGTGGCATCATGTCCCCTCCTGGTCCTTCTCTTCATTAAATTAATCTCTGCAACGATTCATGTTTTAGCCTCCAGGCCCCCTTAATCCTCTTCGTGGCTCTTCTCTGTATATATATATATATATATTAATATTGTGGCAACCGAAACTGGGTGTAATATTCCGTGCGTGGCCTTGGCAAGGCGTTATAAAAGCGGTATTAACACTCCACGTGATCTTGATTCCATCCAACCTGCGTTCGGCCTTTTTTTGGGGCGGTGGCAGCAAATTCTTAGTTGAACATTAGCTTAAAAGAAGCCATAAAGGGCAACCTTGAAAAGGGGAGAACAAACCCAGTTTGGAAAAAAAAAATAATAATCAATTTTGCACCCATGCAGGCTGCTCCCGAGTTTAATCTCACTTTTTTTTTTCCCTCCTTGTTTTTAACCAAGGTTGCATGTGTGAATGGGGGGAAAACAAAAATTACGGAAGAGGTGTTGTGTGGGTGGGTGGGTGGATGGATGGGTGGGTGGGTGGGCGAAGGCCGTTTCCCAAGGCATGCAAAAGAGAGCGAAGTGTTTTAAGGTACAGGTAGTCCTCGACTTACAACGTAGATTTAGCGACCGTTTGAAGTTACGACGGCACTGGGGAAAAAAGCGACTTACGACCGTTCCAGCGTTCCCAGGGTCACGGGATCAAAAATTAAGACACTTGGCACCTGTTTCACACTTATGACCACTGCGGCATTCCCAGGGTCAAAATTCAGACCCTTGGCAACTGTTTCACACTTACGACCGCTGCGGCATTCCCAGGGTCACGGGATCAAAAATTCAGACGCTTGGCAACCGACTCACATTTATGACGGTTGCAGTCACGGGATCCCTGTTTTGTGACCTTCTGACGAGCAACGTGAAGGGGGGGGAAGCCAGATTCACTTAACAACCGTGTGACTGACATAACAGCCGCAGCGATTCCCTTAATGACGACGGCAAGAAAGGTCGTAAAACGGGGGCAAAACCCGCTGGACCAGCATTTCACTCAGCGACGGAAATTTTGGGCTGTAAAGATCGTAAGTCGAGGACTCAGCTGCGCCTGTTTTAAAGACGGGGATAGGAGATCAGGCCTGCCTATGTTGGCGGGCAAACGAGCGATCTTTTGGGAAGGCTTTCAAAGAGAAGGAGGGGGGGAAAAATAACCCAATATGAAGGTGAAAGCTTCTGTGCAATGAGGACAGGTATTAAAAAGCAATTTAACCATCAAAAAAGAAAGTTAACGGCCTGGCCTGGCTCTTGGAAAGACGATGTCCTTTTAAAGATCAATTTTTAATCAATCGGCCTGATTAATTTATAGGGTTAATGCTGGGTCTTAAGTGCAGGATCATCGGTGTCTTCTATAGGGGGGTGGAGAGGACAAGTTTCCATTATCCTTTTAACTGAGGATGATGGGAAATGTTCCCCTAAGTCACCTTCCTCTTAGGGAGCAGGGGTTTCTCAGCTTTTTAAGTTGGATGGACTTCAACTCCCAGAATTCCCCCCAGCTGGGGAGGGGGAGTTCTGGGAGTTGAAGTCCACCCGGCTTAAAAGTTGAGAAACCAGCAGAGCTGGCTGGAGAATTCTGGGAGTTGAAGTCCACAAAGCTGCCAAGTTTGAAGACCTCTGAGCTAAGATGTTAAGAGGCCGGGTTTAAAAATAGGATTCGCCCCGCGTGGCTTCCCTGCAAGGAGAGAGCTAGCTTATCAATAAAAAATTAAACCCTTTTCCACGAACTTCCGGGAAGGTTTAGAAATGGGCACAGAATTGATTCCATTTGGCACTTTCGATGGATCCTATTTCTGAAGAGATGGGAGGGAGGGAGGGAAGCTAGCAAGTTGGCAGAGATTTAACCCTAAAAATGGGTCTCCCTCTGATTGGGGGGTGGGGGGGGGCAAGAATGAAAGTAACTTGCTCCTTCCTTCCTTCTTTTTCCTGACCTTCCTTTTCTCTTCCTTCCTTCCCTTCCTTCTCTCCAACTTTCCTTTCTGTTGTCCGTCTTTTCCTCCCTCTCTCCAATTTTCTTTCTTTCCTTCCCTCCAATTCTTTCCTTCCTTCCTTTCCTTTTCACCCCTTCCTCCAAACTTCCTCCCTCTCTCCAATTTTCTTTCTTTCCTTCCCCATCCCACCAATTTTTCCTTCCTTCCTTTCTCTTTTCCTTCCTTCCAATTCTCTTTCCTTCCTTTCCTTGTTTTCACCCCTTCCTCCAAACTTCATCCCCTCTCTCCAGTTTTCTTTCTTTCCTTCCCCATCCCACCAATTTTCCTTCCTTCCTTTCTCTTTTCCTTCCTTCCTTCTCTTTAATTTTCTTTCTTTCCTTCCCCATCCCACCAATTTTCCTTCCTGCCTGTCTCTTTTCCTTCCTTCCTTCCAATTCTCTTCCTTTCCTTGATTTCACCCCTTCCTCCAAACTTCCTCCCTCTCTCCAATTTTCCTTCCTTTCCTTTTCTCCTTTCTCCCTTTCCTTCCTTTTCTTCCTTCCTTCCCTTTCTCTTTTCCTCCTCTCCTCTTTTTTTTCTCTTTCTCCCTTTCCTTCCTTTTCTTCCTTCCTTCCCTTTCTCTTTTCCTCCTCTCCTCTCCTCTTTTTTTTCTCTTTCTCCCTTTCCTTCCTTTTCTCTCTGCCTTTCCTCCTTTCCTTTCCTCTCTTCCTCCTTCCCATGGGCTCTTTTGCAGGGCATCCCAACGGGACTCAAATAACAACTAGGCACTTCTGCAAGCCAACGGGAAGATGCAGAGAATGATCCTCTATGCAAAATCCTCCGGTCTTTTTTTGGGGGGGGGTTGACTCTGTACCCCTTCCTCAACAAGGGAAAAGTTTAAATTGCAAGGGGGAAGATTCTCCCAAGGTGCCAGATTCCAAAGTACAAACAGCAGCTGAAGTCTTCCTAGCTCAGCCCGGGATGGGAATCTGATTTTTGATCCGATGGCTTGGACCGCGCATCTTTTGAATCGAGGCGATATTTTCCCACCGGCCAATATACGCCCTCCTGGTCTGTTTGCCCCCTCCTCCACTCCCCAATCTCTCCCAATTTATGGATCCCAGCAAGAGGAATAACTTGTAAAAACTTGGCCTTTCCCCCTCTAATCCTTTTTTCTTTGCAGGAAGAAGAAATCCCCGAATTAGAAATAGATGTGGATGAACTTTTGGATATGGAGAGCGACGAATCTCGGAGCGCCAGGGTGAAGGTAAAAAAAAAACAAGGAAGAAAAGTGTCTCGTTTGCACACGCAGGGGGGGTGGGACACAGGTTATGGGGGGGGGAAGGCTTGAGAAAGGATGCGCGTCCGTGTCTCGTTGCCTCTACACAACAGTTACAAAAAGGCCTTGTAAGGTGCACGTCTCAGCCGCCCTGAGTCTCCGGAGAAAGGCGGCATATAAATTGAACTAATAAATAAATTGCATCTACGCAAAAGTTACTTGAAGGGTGTGCAACATGTGCCTCGTCTACACACACACACACACGTTTCAAGAGGGACTTGAGAGAAAGTGTGCACGTACGTCTCCACAAGTTGCAAGAGGATCTTGGGAGAAGGTGTGCTTTTGTGCCTCATTCTCTCTACACAAAAGTTACAAGAAGGGCCTCGTGGTGGGGTGCGTGCGCACGAGTGTGTTTTGTTGTCACTAACACCAGGGCCGTAACACAAAAGGCCCAAACTTCTGGGTGGGGTCCTTGTAAGCAAACAGCCCCAAAAGCAAGACGTAAGCCCCAGCTGGGATGTGCAACCTTAACCAAAAACAATCCTTAATCCAAATAACGAGAGGTTTTTAAAGAAATCACAACAAGGTTTGGCCAGAGATCAAAGATCTCTGCAAGCTTTTAAAATAAGCATGGAGTTTCCCTGGATTTTAATTTAATTTTATTTTGTTTCTGTTGCAGGAACTTCTGGTTGATTGCTACAAGCCCACAGAGGTATGTCTTTATTTATTATTATTTTTTTAAAAAATAATATTTTTTTCTACAGCCAGCTTATTGGCAGTGGCCAGTTTCTCTTCCCCGTTTTCTACCCCCCCTTCTTAAAACTCTCCAGGGAGGATGCTAGTCCTTACTAGCTCTTTCCCAGCAGCTGCAAAACAGCTGCTGCCTCCGTCTCTGTGGGTCTTGCCCCCACGCCCCCAGCACCTGTTAGGGGAGGAGGATTGGGGGGGGTGTCGTCCCACCCCCACTTCCTTTTCTGGCCCCTTCTCCCAAGCTTGGTCTCCTGAAGCAGAGAAGGGTGGGGAGAATGGAACAGGTTCTAGGCAAAGCAGGAACAGCTTTCACTATGGTGCAAAAAAAGACACACAAACACCGCAATGAGCGAGAAATAGGGGCCTGTTGGCTCAGCAGACTGATAGCATTGTGATTAACACCAGCTGTCTGCAATTACTGCAAGTTCGAATCTCACCAGGCTCAAGGTTGACTCAGCCTTCCATCCTTTCTAAGGTAGGTAAATTGAGGACCCAGACCGTGGGGGCAATAAGCTGACTTTGTATAAATATATAAAAAAGTATGAAGGCTATTGCTTAATGCATTGTAAGCCGCCCTGAGTCTCCGGAGAAGGGCGGCATATAAATCAAATTAAAAAAAAAAAAGTAATCTGGTTGATGCCAGATGTGGGTTTCCCAGCGTTTTTAAGAGGGGTGGACTTCAACTCCCAGAATTCCCCCGCCAGCAACTGGAATGCAAGTCCACCCGTCTTTTAAAGCCTGCTGGCTGGGGAGTTCTGGGAGTTGAAGTCCGCCCATTTTAAAGCACGAGGAATTCTGGGATCTGAAGTCTAGACATCTTAAAACACGGTGCCTGGGGAATTCTGGGAGTTGAAGTACATCCATCTTAAACCCTGGGGGCTAGGGAATTTGGGAAGTCTACCCATCTTAAAAGCGTGCTAGCTGGGGAATTCTGGGAGTTGAAGTCCATCCATCTTAAAGCCTGCTGGTTAGGGAATTCTGGGAGAACGTCCACCCATCTTAAAGCATGCTAGCTGGGGAATTCTGGGAATTGAAGTCCACCCATCTTAAAGCATGAGGAATTCTGGGACCTGAAGTCCACCCATCATAAATCATGCCGTCTTAAAACATGGTGGCTGGGGAATTCTGGGAGTTGAAGTCCATCTTAAAGCCTGCTGGTTAGGGAATTCTGGGAGAATGTCCACCCATCTTAAAGCATGCTAGCTGAGGAATTCTGGGAGTTGAAGTCCACCCATCTTCAAGCATGCTGGCTGGGGAATTCTGGGAGTTGAGAGTCCACCCCTCTCAAAGTTGCCAGGATTGACAAACCCTGCTACGGACACTTCCCAGGGAAGTAAAGTTTTACTCTTAAGTTTTTTCTTTTCCTTTCCGTTTCCAGGTTTTCGTAGCCGACTTGCTAGACAAGATCCGAGGGATGCAAAAACTAAGCACCCCGCAAAAGAAGTGACCTCCTGATTGTGAGCGGCTGTCCTGCGTGGCCCCGGCCATTCGTGGCCCGTTGTGTCGCTGAAATGTTGGCAGTGCTGGGGTTTCAGGGAATGGGGGGGTGGGGGGGGCGGCTTTCACAGGGCTGGGGAGAATCCATTAGTTTCCCCTCCCCTCAAGAACCACCACGAAAGAGGGAAGATTGGGGGGGATGCTCTGATAATCAGAATAATTTGATCGCCTTTTAGCAATATCTCTCCGCAGCTGCCTCCCCACTCCGTCCCACCCCAAAATCTGTCCTGGCTCCACATCAGTGTGTCTTGTGTGTGTAAAGAGAAGGGGAGGAGCATTTGTTCTCAAAGAGTGGGGTGGAGAGCAGAAATTTTAGGATCCTAAAACGAGATTCGGACGGGGTGGAGGGGAGTATCTGGATTTGGGGAGGGCTGTTTTTTTGTTTTTTTAATTATTGTGTTTTTATATAAATTTAATAAAGATGCTTTGAGAAGTGGCAGCCTGATTTCTGCAATGGGGGGTGGGGGTGGGGAGAGAAGGGTGCGGATCAGTGGTGAAATCCTACCGGTTCGCACCAATTCGGGCGAACCTGTAGTGATAAAAGCTACCAGTTCGGGCGAACCTGGTAGTGATAAAAGCTACCAGTTCGGCGAACCTGTAGTGATAAAAGCTACCAGTTCGGGCGAACCTGTAGTTATAAAAGCTACCAGTTCGGGTGAACCTGTAGTGATAAAAGCTACCAGTTCGGGCGAGCTGGTAGTGATAAAAGCACCTGTTTCATCTGAACCGGTATTTCTGACAATCAGCTGAGCTTTCTAGCAAATCTAAATCGCGCGGCACAGCTGTTTCCCCCCCCGACTGTTCTACTTACCTTGTTAAGCGTCCTTTTTCCGCGTGAAGTATGCATGTGTCCCACACTGCACATGCATGTGCGCAGAGCGTGTTTGCCGCACATGCGCGGGCAGCGAAGCGGTGGCAAACCGCAGAGGATTTCACCAGTGGTGCGGATGAGAAAGTTTGTGTGGGGGGGGGGGGGACGCACTGAGGTCTCCCTCAACTTCACCGAAAACGTGTTAATTTTTTTTTAATGCACTTTTAATCCTCTGTTTAGCGACCGTTTCAAGTTTAGAACTCCACGAGTCTTTAAAAAAAAAAGTCACTACAGTTGGGACGACACTGGTTTTGCACAATTGTCGACTGCGGTCTGCCTTTCACAGACACGACGAGGAGACTCAAAAGGCCGATGGGTGTTGGGTTAAGGACATCTGGCAGAAAATCCTGCTGTAGGAATACATGGCAAGTTTGGGGCCTGCGTGGTTTTTCTGCAGCAAAATATATTTTTCTCGCTGGGGATTATTCCGGGGGAAAGACCCGAGGATAGCTAGCTATTCTGGGGATTGCAGTTTAGCCACACTTCTCTCCCCTTTTAAGCAACCCTGGCTGGCTGTTTTTGCCTTGCAGAATAGGAGTGGGAAGGGACCTCGGAGGACTTCTAGTCCAACCCCCTGCTCAAGCAGGACACCCTGTACCATTCAGTCCAATCTCTTCTTATAAATCTCAGCTTCTTGGATCACTAGGGAGGTGTGGGGGAGGAGGGCAGGAGAAGAGGACCTCTGGTTAGCCCACCCTCTGCCCCCCACTCCCAACAAAAAAGGCACTTCCTTCCAAGCCGCTTCTAATTAGAGGTAGGGGGGGTGGGAAAAACAGAGACAGACAGCAGCAGCCCCTAGCGAGACGCCTTTGCCTCGATTGTCCCAACGGAGTTGTAAGACAGCGTTGCCTCCCTTTCTCTCTCTCTTCTCTCTTCCCCCCACCCAGCCTCGGTGGTAGCGGTTGAACTCAGCAAGGAAGGAATGCATTGCAGGGCCTGGAGCTAATCCCAGCATCTTCGTGTTTCCGGCCTTAAGTCACCACCGGCCGAGCAAAATGCCTAATGCCTAAATACTTGATGCCTCCCCTCCCTCCCTCTCTCTCTCCCCCACCCCCCAGATCTGCTAGCTCGTCCACGTGGCGAGCCGAGGAAGCAAGCTGGCTTTGGGGGGTGGGGGGGGAAAGGCCTCTCCTGGAATAATTGTAATTTGGTCATCACGTTCTAGAGCAGATGTTGGGACGTCTGGAAAGAGTGCAGAGAAGAGCAACTAAGATGATATGGGGGGGGGGGAGAAGGCTGGAAGCTAAAACATACGATGAACGGTTTGCAGGAATTGGGTCTGTCCCGTTTAATGAGAACTAGGGGAGACACGATAGCAAGTCTTCCAATATTTGAGGGGCTGCCACAAAGAAGAGGTGGGGGTGGTCAACTTAATCTCCAAAGGACCAGAAGGCAGGACAAAAGGCAGTGGGTGGAAACTAAGCAAGGAGAGAGAAGCAACCTAGGAACGGCTTGCCACCAGAAGTTGTGGGTTCTCCGATACTGGAGGTTTTTAAGAAGAGACCGGACAGCCACTTGTCTGAAATGGTATACTGCTTGAGCAGGGGGTTGGACTAGAAGACCTCCAAGGCCCCTTCCAGCTGTCATTCTACTATTCCTTCCTTTCCATTCCTTTCCCTTCCTTTCTTCTATCTTCCTTTCCTTTCTTCTCCTTTCTATCTTCCTTTCCTTTCTTTTCCTTTCTTCTATCTTCCTTTCCTTTCTTCTATCTTCCTTTCCTTTCCTTTCTTCTATCTTCCTTTCCCTTCCTTTCTTCTATCTTCCTTTCCTTTATTCTATCTTCCTTTCCTTTCTTTTCTTCTATCTTCCTTTCCTTTCCTTTCCCTTCCTTTCTTCTTCCCTTCCTTTCTTCTATCTTCCTTTCCTTTCTTCTTTCTATCTTCCTTTCCTTTCTTTTCCTTTCTTCTATCTTCCTTTCCTTTCTTCTATCTTCCTTTCCCTTCCTTTCTTCTATCTTCCTTTCCTTTCCTTTCTTCTATCTTCCTTTCCCTTCCTTTCTTCTATCTTCCTTTCCTTTCTTTTCTTCTATCTTCCTTTCCTTTCTTTTCTTCTATCTTCCTTTCCTTTCCTTTCCCTTCCTTTCTTCTATCTTCCTTTCCTTTCTTCTCCTATCTTCCTTTCCTTTCTTTTCCTTTCTTCTATCTTCCTTTCTTTTTCTATCTTCCTTTCCTTTCTATCTTCCTTTCCTTTCCTTTCTTCTATCTTCCTTTCCCTTCCTTTCTTCTATCTTCCTTTCTTCTATCTTCCTTTCCTTTCCTTTCTTCTATCTTCCTTTCCTTTCCTTTCCTTTCCTTTCCTTTCTTCTATCTTCCTTTCCTTTCTTCTCCTTTCTATCTTCCTTTCCTTTCTTTTCCTTTCTTCTATCCTTTCCTTTCTTTTCCTTTCTTCTATCTTCCTTTCCCTTCCTTTCTTCTATCGTCCTTTCCTTTTCCTTTTCCTTCTTTCCTTCCTTCCTTCTCCATCACTGGAGGTTTTTAAGAAGAGACCGGACAGCCACTTGTCTGAAATGGTATACTGCTTGAGCAGGGGACTGGACTAGAAGACCTCCAAGGTCCCTTCCCGCTCTTGTTATTCTGAAATACTGGGAATGTCCGCCAACAGGCTGGATAACCAAAGACTGAAGGATGGGAGGCCCAGAAGAGGTCCAGAGGCTGTTCCCGACGAGAACCATGTCTCCTGATTTGAAAGGAGCCAAGCACAAGCATATAGCGGAAGTCCTCAATTTACAATTTATTTAGTGACTTGTTACAACGGCGCTGAAAAAGGTGATTTGCAGCCTTGGCCTCGCGCTTACGACCATCGCGGCATCAAAAATTTGGATGTCTGGCACGCCTTTGCAATCTTCCCAGCCGGCTTCGGACGAGCAAAGTCAACGTGGAGAGCTGGCTTCACATTTAACGACCGTGTGACTCGCTCAACTCTAGTGATTTGCTTAATTGGGGGCAAAAAAACGGTCGTTGACCACAGCCCGTCTTCGCCAGTCGTCGTAAGCCGAGGACTACAGCTCTGCAAGACTCCCGAATTGATGATGCGCACACAACCGTTGGCTTAAGGGAGAAAGCCACAATCCCCACCACGTATTTTTATTAAAAACAAAAAAGCAGCATAAGCGATGATTTTGAACCGTTCCCACTTAACATCGTGGGGTGGAGAAAACCGCCACTGTGCACCCAATTCCAATACGAAAACCTTCCGGAGGGACCCCACCTCCCTTTCCAGAAACACAAAACATACAGGGTTTGTTTTAACCACGAATGTCTGGGACGGTACGGTTTGCTGCGCGTCTTAAAAGACAATGCTGGCAAAAATCCAGCACTTTTCGCACTCCCCGCCGGCCGCTCGGCAGCGCAAACCCATCCTGTTATCTCACTTTCTCGCCAGTTCCTTGCGGCAGGAACTTCCGTTCCTTTATTTATGGAGTCCCTGCTGTCCTTAAACAAACCTAAGGGTTTTTTTTTTTTTTTTTCCTCCTGCGGTGGGGGAAACGGGCCTTTTACTTTTCGGTGGGGGGGGGGGGTTGCAGACGCTTAGCAGGTGGTTTTGGGGGTATTCTCTGGACAGAGTCCCAGAATTTTATGGGGCAGCAAGGGAGCAATTCTAGGATGCCTCTCCTCCGTCTAGGATGCATAGGATCTAAGGCAGTCTTTCTCAATTTTGGCAGCTTGAGGATGGAGTGGGGGGGGGACCTCCATAATTCCCCAGCTAGCACGCTATGGGTTAATGGTGCAATGTGGGGTAAGTTTTACTCACAGCCAACTAGAGGGCCGGAGCAGGCCTTTTCTGAAGTCTTCGCCAGTCTTGGATTTGAACCTCAAGCAACGTCCGAGAGGGATGGACTTTTTCAACTCCCAGAATTCCCAAGCCAGAATTCTGGAAATAGAAATCCATGCATCTTAAAGCAGGCTGGCTGGGGGATTCTGGGAGTGGAAGTCCATCCATCTTAAAGCAGGCTGGCTGGGGATTCTGGGAGTTGAAGTCCACCCATCTTAAAGCAGGCTGGCTGGGGGATTCTGGGAGTTGAAGTCCACCCCTCTTAAAGCAGACTGGCTGGGGGATTCTGGGAGTTGAAGTCCACCCATCTTAAAGCACACCGGCTAGGGGATTCTGGGAGTGGAAGTCCATCCCTCTTCAAGCATGCTAGCTGGGGAATTTAGGAATTGGAGTCCACTCCTCTTAAAGCAGGCTGGCTGGGGGATTCTGGGAGTTGAAGTCCACCCATCTTAAAGCAGGCTGGCTGGGGGATTCTGGGAGTTGAAGTCCACCCATCTTAAAGCAGGCTGGCTGGGGGATTCTGGAGGTTGAAATCCACCCATCTCGAAGTTGCCAAGGTTGAAAAATAGTGGTCCTGATTGTTGGAACAGGCAGCCATTCCCGCTCAACTTAGGACCACGACTCAAAACTCATTCAGGCCTTTCTAACCCCTCCCTCCTACCCCTCCCCCTTTTTTTCCCCTTCCTCCTTGTTTTTAAAATGCCCCAGGATGCTGGCAACCTTTTGAACACAAGGCAATGCTGTCTCCTGGACAGTTTAACCCCCCCCCCCCCCAAGCTGAGCCTTTGACTAGTTTTAAAGGTCTCGAGAGGGCAGGAGATCAGCCTGGCAAGCTGACTCTTCACGGAGGACTCTTGGGAGGCGAGTGCCAAAAATCGGAACCGTCCCCTCATCCCATCCTCGGCTGGCCCACCCGCGGACGACTTCCTTCCCCCCCCCACCTTTCGCATTCATGGCGCAAAATCTGGTCTGTGCTTTTTTTTATTTATTTGGCCCATCGAGGAGCAACAAACCCTTTTCCCAGATCCTTCTCCGGCCTGTCCGTCCGTTTTTCCCGCGTGCGCGCCCCAACCCCGCGCGCCCCTCCTCCTTGGCAGAGACGCGCAGCTATAGTTCTTGGCGACGCTCAATCTTCAGCAGTTCGACTTCAAAGATGAGCGTGGCGCCGCCTGGGAACAGCGTGGGGGAAAAAAAAATAAAAGAAGGCAAAGAGATTGAAGAATGGAGGGATGGAAGGGGTGGGAAGAACTGAAAATGTGGTCGGTTTTGTTTTTTTTAATCCTCGCGGCTGGATAGGAATGAAGCCAAATCCATAAAAATGGAAAGATATTTTAATTCCCACCATGGACAAATGGCTGCAAAAGTTGATGGGAGTTAGCAGAGAGGGCTAAATTGACTTGCTTTGATGAAAAGGACGCCAATTAATTTTGTTTCTACCGTGTTTTCCTGAAAGTAAGCCCTTTCCCCCAAAAATAAGCCCTCCCTGAAAAGATTTAAACACATGCATAGCCGGTGCCCGCCATTTCCTCTGGTTAGGGTTAGGGAGACAGAGCTGAAAATCCACCCCACCGCCCAGACATTTCTGCGCACGAGCAAACCGGTAACAAACTAAATTGAAACCCACTACTGCTCGCAGGGTTATTGTTACGGGGGGAAAAAAAGGAGGAGGAAGATGTGTTGGAAATGTTCGTTGCCTTATTTATAAAAATAATGAAGGCGAGATGCAAATAAATGAATGAATAAAACAGAGAAATAAAATACCTGGGATTTTAGGCGGCGCTCCCCGATCTCCGTAACCTGCGAGATAAGACCACAGAAGCCAAATCAGCCGGATATCAAATGATGCAAGGAAACACCTCTACTCAAGCTCCGGAAAAGTTACCGTATTTTTTGGAGTATAAGACGCACTGGAGTATAAGATGCACCTACCTCTTTTGGTGCGGGAAAGAAGAAAAAGAAATCTCCCTCTGCTTCTGAGCAATTTTGCCTTGTTTCAGCAAACAGCCTGCTTTACTTTCAGTTTCGTTTTCAGCATAGCTTGATTAGCACAAGGGGGAAAAAAAATCTGCTCCAGCAATTTACCTCTTTGCAGCAAGCAGCAGAGCCCTGCGCAAAACAGCTGAGAGCAAATCAGCTGAGAGTCGGGAGGCCGATCCAATCAACTTGTGCTAATTAGGCTGTGCTGAAGCTGAAAGGAGCTGTTTTTTCTTGCTGTTTGCTTGCACGGAGGTAACTGCTGCGAGGCAGAGGCCAAAGGGTGGGGGCCAGTGGGTGGGCAGGGCTACATTTTCCCCCCTTTTAGTGGGGAAAAAGGTGCGTCTTATACTCCGAAAAATACGGTAAATGTTACAATATGCAAAGGGGTAACGAACCAATGCCAGGGCATAGGTGCCACCTGAGTTTAGAAGCACGGGGACTACCCAGGTTTATTCCTGTACTGGTTTCGGCTCTCATTCCTTACCGAGCTCTGACGGGATGACTAACTTCCTTTTCTCGCCTTCGCACATCCTGAAATGGCAAAAGAAGGCATTGTCGGCGTTTACAAACCTTGAGGACTAGAATTTTAAGTCTCCACTCTTTTTAAACTCTGCCCTTCTAAACCCAGGCGGTCCAAACTATAAATTGTTTTTAAAAAAACCATGTGAAGGCTACCAACAACTTCATTAAAAATAAATCACCTAGACAAAACAACACAGACCCATATTGTTCCCGCCTCGCTGTCGAAGATGCCTCTGATATTGCAGAGAAGGACCAAAGAACGGAATGCTCTGCACTTTATGGAAATATGCAAGCTAAAAGCTACCTCCTCAAGAGCCCCAGGAGGAAATGCGCAGGGCAAGCCCAATTAGTCTTGGAGAAACACAGCCAAAAATTCTGGAATGGGATAGGATAAAATATATGATGCATATAAATATACTAAAAATATATTCCTTGGTGGTCTCTGCGCTTGGTGGTTTGTTTGTTTTTTGCAGACGTTTTGTGACCCAACTAGGTAACATCATCCATGCTAGAAGGGGCATTTGCAGCAAACCTCACATTCCCTTCTAGCACTGATGATGTTACCTAGTTGGGTCACAAAACGTCTGCAAGAAAACCACCCGGCTGAGAGAACACCATGGACCCCTCATGTCTACCCTGAGCTACAAATAATTCCCTTCCATTCATAAAAGATTCGATTCTGCTCGCCCGTCATGGGCGCCCCCCAAAAAATCCATTCGAACCCCCCGTTCCTCAGAAGCTGGCTTTTTACCCGAGCAAGCCTTGTTCCCAGCCTTTGATGACTTGTCCGGTGCCCAAGGAGAAGATGAAGGGCTGATCGCGAGTTAAGCTGCTGTCAAACTCCGTCCCGTCTTCCAGTTTTCCCTGGGAAGGCGCAAAAGAGGAAAATTAAACGGATGGCGAGTGAATCTGACTGACAAGCTGGTTTCTTTTCAAATGGAAAATGAATTATTTGCTCGGAGATCTTGCTCTTTCCTGCTTCAAACCAGTGGCGGGTTTCATATTATGTTACTGCCGGTTCGCTGCGCACACGCTCGCTTCCCGCCTGCCTTTTGCGCACGGGCTCTGCTTGCGCGCGCGATTTTCCGTGCATGTGCCCGGCCACAAAAATGTGCCTAAAAAGATGGCGTAGAACCAGGGCGAATGGGCGGGAACGGGCCCACCCATGATTTCCGCAACCGGTTCGGGCGAACCGATCCGAACCGGCTGAATTCCACCTCTGCTTCAAACCCTACAGCAAACTTAAAGCCGAATCCACAGTTTTATGTCTCTTGTGTGTGTAAACTAGCTGTAGGACGTTGGCATAAGAATATTATAAGAAACAGAAAGCTCAGAACTAGAGAGCTAAATGACAGACGATCCTTGACTCATGACCCCCCAGACTGAAGCCGGAATTTGCAAGGAAGTTGGGAAGAGGGGCGCGCCCCGCTTTGGCCACCGTTATTAAGCGAATCATGGCAGCTTTTAAGTGAGTCGTTAAGGGAACCTGGCTTCCCCCACGGACTTTGCTTGTTGGAAGCCGGCTGGGAAGGCTGCAAATGGTGGATCACGTGACCCCCCTCCCCCCGGGGATGCTGCCACCGTCGTAACTGAAGTCAAAAGTCACTTTTCCCCCCCCAGTCCTGTTGGAACTTTGGTTGCTAAATGAATGGCTGCGAGTCGAGGACTAACCTAGGCCTCAAAAGCTGGGAGGGTTTGTTTTTTTCCAGCTGTAATAAAACAGCAGGAGACTGGCCTTTATTCCATTTCCGCTTCTTCTATATATTTATCTAAATCTCTTGTTAAAGGTCACTTATGGTAACTATTATCCCTGGTGCCTTAAGGAAACTTAAGAATTTTTTTTTTCTCTGCCAGAAGATGAATTTCCTACAGGGCCCCAAATCTTTGTGAAATAGGGCAATGGGGTATATTTCATTTATTTATACGATCAATCAATAAACGGCCCTATTTTGTTGGGTGACTGCACCGCGATTACAAGAATGAGCAAAACACCCTTTTCATTGCACGCTGTGGCCACGTCACTCTTCTGGTTTTTCCTGCTCCCAAAATCAGCTGTCAGTGGAAATTCTCAGTCATCCAGGTGAAGGTGTTTTTTTCAACAGGCAACTGGAATTTCGTGTTTTTCTTTGAAGACGTTTCGCTTCTCATCCAAGAAGCTTCTTTAGTTCAATTATCTATATCTATATATCTATAGATATAGGTAAAGGGAGGTAAAGGTAAAGGGACCCTTTACCTTGATAGAGATAGATATCTATCTCTATCTATCAAGGTAAAGGCTCCCTTAATAGAATAGAATAGAATAGAATAGAATAGAATAGAATAGAATAGAATAGAATAATGAGTTGGAAGGGACCTTGGAGGTCTTCTAGTCGAACCCCCTGCTTAGGCAGGAAACCCTACACCGCTTCAGACAAATGTGCCTTGGTAGCACAGTGGTCTAAAGCACCGTTATTAACACAGCTGCCTGCAATTACTGCAAGTTCGAATCTCACCAGGCTCAAGGTTGACTCAGCCTTCCATCCTTTCTAAGGTAGGTTAAATGAGGACCCAGTTTGTGGGGGCAATAAGCTGACTTTGTATGAATATACAAAAGTATGAAGGCTATTGCTTAACGCATTGTAAGCCGCCCTGAGTCTCCGGAGAAGGGCGGCATATAAATCAAATTAAAAAAAAAAATGGTTATCCAACATCTTCTTAAAAACTTCCAGTGTTGGAGCATTCACAACTTCTGGTGGCAGGCTGTTCCACTCATTAATTGTTCTCACAGTCAGGAAGTTTCTCCTTAGTTCTAGGTTACTTCCCTCCTTAATTAGTTTCCACCCATTGCTTCTTCTCCTGCCTTCAGGTGATTTGGAGAATAGCTTGACTCCCTCTTCTTTGGGGCAGCCCCTGGGATATTGGAAGACTGCTCTCATGTCCCCCCTAGTCCTTCTTTTCATTGAACTAGACATACCCAGTTCCTACAATCGTTCTTCATATGTTTTAGCCTCTGGTCCCCTAATATACATTCCCTTTATCGTATTTTTCTGGTATTATGCCTAACAAAAAGAACTCTGGCTTAAAATCTATATGCTGTCTTAACATTTTTTTCTAACCACAGATGCATTTTTGCCCATTTCCCTTTTTTTTTTTTGCTTTTGGGCATGTGCACCACAGGTGATGGTATGTGCCTGGTTTTTTATTCAATTCTGAAGAACTGAACTACAGAGGTTTCTTGGGTGAGAAGCGAAACATCTTGGAGGAAAAACAAAGTTCAGTTGCCTCTTGAAAAAACTCCTTGGGGATAACCATGACCTGGATGACTGAGAATTTCCACTGAGAGCTGATTTGGGAGCATGAAAGGAAAATTCGGGCGGGGGTGGAGAAAGGTGTGTCCAGAAGCCGAAGGTTTTATAGCACCTGAGTTCAAGGGGAAACTCTGAGAATGAGGAATCAGGTTTTGGCCACGTCATTCTTTGTAACTTAGCAAGGGAGCCCACAAATTACACAGGAGTTTTCCACGGTCAGCAATTCATGCTCTGCTTAAAAGTTGCCATCGTCGAGCGTTGAAACAGGCATTTGCGTGAGTCAGCAAGGGTGTGTGTAGCTGAAAGGCAGCTGAGGTGTTCAGTGCTCCAGGAGGTTGAGTCAGAATCAGGGCGGCAATAAAAGCCAATTTTCAAGTCGCTTCAGCCTCTAGGGAAGTGCCTAGTCAACTCTCCACAACCAGACTATTTCACAATTGGCCGGCTACCATATTCACACTGTCACACAAGCCCCTTGTTGAATCAAGCCATCCAGAATTACCCCAATGGACAGGGAAGGAATGGATGGATGGATGATGAAGGAAGGAAGGAAGGAAGGAAGGAAGGAAGGAAGGAAGGAAATAAATAAGAGGGAGGGAGGGAAAGAAGGAGGGAGGGAAGGAAGGAAGGAAGATAGAAAGAAGGAAGGAGGAAGGAAGGAGGGAGGGAAGGAAGGAAGGAAGGAAAGGAAGAAAGAGGAGGGAGGGAAGAAGAAAGATAGGAAGGAGGGAGAAAGAGGAAAGATAGAAAGAAAGAAAGAAAAAGAAAGGAAAGAAAGGAAAGAAAGAAAAAGAGAGAAAGAAAGAGGGAGGGAGAGGGAAGAAGGAAAGAGGAAGAAGGAAGAAAGAAAAAAAGAAAAGAAAGAAAGAAAGAAAGAAAGAAAGAAAGAAAGAAAGAAAGAAAGAAAGAAAGAAAGTCAGTCAGTCACTACAGCATTTTGTTTGTGGGGGGGGGACTCCCAGGACATGAGACCGTCATAAATATGAGTCAGTTGCCAAGCAGCTGAATTTTGATGATGTGACCCTGGGGATATTACAACGGGCGTAAGTGTGAAAAACGGTCCTAAATCACTTTTTTCCCATCTTGTAACTTCACCTTATCTGGTCCTCAAGCCAATAGGAACTGCTCACCCCAGGAGAAAACAAATTTAAGAGGGGTGGACTTCAACTCCAGAATTCCTCAGCCAGCGCTTTAAGGTGGATGGACTTCAATTCAGAATCCCCCATCAGATGCTTTAAAATGGGTGGACTTCAACTCCCAGAATCCAGCCAGCCTGCTTGTTAAGTTGAAGTCCACATCTCTTAAAAGTTGCCAAGTTTGAAAAACACTAAATAAAACTCGTCCCATTACAGTGAAAGGCGATGCATCGTACGCACATACCTGGCTGGGGTGTCTATTTTGGCTATTGTTTACAAGGGTTTTTAAAACTTTGCTTTGGTTTCTAATACTCCTTCCCAACACAGTTTTGTCTCCTTCCGCCTCCCATTCTTAAATTCGGAAAGCTCTGGCTGTTAACTCTCTTCCACGTCGTCTTGGCCACACTCACCGTGTAATGCATGTGGAGCACGTCGCCTTTGCGGGACTTGATGGGACAGTTGTCCACTCGCTTTTTGACTCCGATCTGCAGCTTCCGTTTACCTTCCGTGCTCAGCCCAGGTGAGCAAAGCGCCCACAGGGCTAAGGCCAGCAGCGCCGTCCCCAGGTTCGTCTGCATCGCTGGAGCCCCTGCGGAGGAGACCCAGGCGGGTTAGCGGAGCGGCGCACTCGGAAAATCACGACACGATTACGAGCGTGGCTGGAACGGCATGCAGCGAGAGGCGCCTCCGTAGGACGGGAAGAGCGTGAAACTGAGCCGTCTAGAAAAACCCGTCCTGGGAAACGGGAGTGTGGTTGTCCTTGGGGTTCTGAGTTTGGTAGCTTTCTCGCAAACGTTTCCGACCCAGCTGAGTAACATCGTCAGTACTGGAATAGAGTGGGTTTGGGTAGTGTGGAGGAGGAGGAGGAGAGGATGAAGGAGAAAATGGAGGAGATGGAGGAGGAGGAGGAAGGGGGTATGTGGGGTCATGTTTAGTTTAGTTTTAGTTTAGTTTAGTTTGTCATTGCACCTCGTACAACGAAATTCTTGTAGACATTTCAATGCCCAACTAGGGAATATCATCAATGCTAGAGGGATGAGGTGTTTGCATGATGATGATGGAGGAGGAGGAGGAGGAGGAGGAGACGACGATTGGGAGGTCCTTGGTGTTCTCTGAGGTTGGTTGTTTTCTAAGTATCTCATGACCCAACTAGGGAATATCATCAATGCTAAAGGGATGAGGTGTTTGTATTATGATAAAAGAGGAGGAGGAGGAGGAGGAGGAGACAACTGGGAGGTCCTTGGTGTTCTCTAAATTTGGTTGTTTTCTAAATATCTCATGACCCAACTAGGGAATATCATCAATGCTAGAGGGATGAGGTGTTTGCATGATGGAGCAGGAGGAGGAAGAGGGTTAGGATAATATCATCAGTGCTAGAAGGGAGTAAGGTTTGCTCTCTGTTTATATACAGTGATCGCCTTATCAATGTTGAACTTTGAAGCAGTAAACAAGGAACTACCAGCTCAGACAGGGTAAACAACAGCGCGATCGAGGACATCCCCACTAATGCTAGCAGGCCAAGCCACTATTATATAAACATTTATAATATATAAACTGATAATGTTACCTAACTGAGTCATGAAACACCTGGGGAAAACACCTTTCGATCGACAAGCTCAGCACCATAGCCACTGAGCCACTGCGTCCCTTACGAGCTAGTCTTAGGCCAGCGTTTTTCAACTTTAAGATTTGGTGGACTTCAACTCCCAGAATTCCCCAGCCAGGGGGAATTCTGGGAGTTGAAGTCCACCTATCTTAAAAGTTGCTAAGGTTGCAAAACGCTTAAGATAGGAGATTCATATTGGCGGCTGAAGCTTTTCTCCACCGTACCCATCAATGCCTCTTGTCGTTCATGCAGATTTTTAGCGCTCGAGGAGTGTTTGGAGTTGCATGCTCACCCCGACTTCAAACCTGGCATGCACCAGCAAGCAGCACCCCCCTCCCCCACTTCTCCAGAGCCTCCGGACTTACCCGTGTGGCTAGTGGCGAGTCGGGCACTGCTCCCTCCCCGGCGCCACCGCCACCGTCCAGAGTCTTTCAAGGTTTTGCCACCCCAGAAGCTGGCACAGTTGTCTCTTGGCTCTGGCCACTCACCCCTTCCTGAAAGGATCTTCCCCCTACTTATCTCTCTAACCCCCTTGGTTGCTTTCAGAAAGAGGGGACTTCAATTCCCAGAATTCTTCAGCACGGCCGGGGAATTCTGGGAATTGGAAGTCCCTTGAAACCTGTCAAGATTGAAGAAAAAAAAAACAACGCTGCTCCGTTTCTCCCGAAAGGAGCCTAGTTTGTCCTCCCCACATGCCTCCCGGTCTGCAGTACAGGTAGTCCTCGACTTACAACGGTTCGTTTAGCGACCGACGTTACAACGGCACTGGGGGGGGGGGGGGGAAAAAAAAAAATGACTTCATGACCGTTTTTTTCACACTTTACGACCACGGCAGCATCCCCAGGGTTTACGGGATCGAAATTTCAGACACTTGACAACTGACTCATATTTATGACGGTTACAAATGTCCCGGGAGATGGTGAGGTTGGGGTTGGGGGTGGGGTCACGTGATCCCCTTTTTTGGCGGCCTTCCGACAAAGCAAAGTCCACGGGGAAGCGAGAGTCACTGAACGACCATGTTACTCACTTAACAACGGTTTAAACGAGAAACGGACCGTGAAAAGCTCACTGAACGAACGTCTCACTTCGCGACGTAAAAAAATCGGGGGCTCGGCTGAGGTCGTACGTCGAGGACTAACCTGTATCTCCCACCCACATCCCCACCCACCCGCATCCCACCCCTGTTTCCCCCAGTCGGCTTCCCCACATGCTTCTTAAGAGACCCCGTACCCTCCCTCGCCTTCCCCCCCTTTCCTCGGACCCTCCTTCTGGAAGGTCCAAATGCTGGCTTCGTTCACCGCTTCCTCCTCGCTACAATTGGTCACTTTGGCCCAAACCCACATGATGCCGGTGCCCGAGGGGTTCCTCACTTTGTGGACCCAGACGTCCCCGGACCCCCCTCCTCCGGGCGGGGCCGGTTTCTCCCGGGGGATCCACACCTGGTTAAGCTCCGCCGCCCCGCTCTTCCGGGGGACGGCCCCTTCTTTCAGCCAAGGCAGCCCCCCCATCGTCCTCTCGGGGGCCCTGCCCGGCTTACGGGGGACCCAGACTTGCCCCGAACTCTCCGTGGGGTCCCGGGGCCACTCTTTTTGGAGCCAGCCCCCCGAGTCCCGTTTGGCCCCCGCGTGGCCCGGGAGACCCCCCGAGAGGCTGCGGCTGACCCCCAGGGCCAAGAGCCCCATGCTGTCCTCCAAGCGGTCCCGGGGGTCCCTGGACCCCAAATCCCAAGCTCTGTGGCTGTGCAAGCGGGGGGCCCCCCCTTTTCTGGGCTGCACCCCTTCTTTGGGGGCCCCGCAGCCTTCGCAAAGGCCCCCCGGCCAAGAGGCCCTTTTGTCCTGCCCTGTTTTGCTCTGGCTGCCAGGGGCCACAGAGGCCGCCCCCCAAAGGGCTGGGGGGGCCCCCCACCTCCCAGGGGCCCCCCTGAGGTCCCCTGCCTTGGCTTGGGGGTCCTCCCCGGCCGTCCTAGAGCGGCCCTCCCCGCCCCCAGAGGCCCCGCCCCCAGGGGCCCAAGACACCTGGGTCCCCACGTCCCTCAGCTCCGACCTCTTGGGGTCCAGGCGCCTCCCGGGCTCTTCCCCTCGGGGGTCCCCCTCTTCCCCTCCCCCTCCGCCCTCCTTCGGCTGGCCCTGAAGCCGCTGCCCGCCGCCCGGCTCCAGGCTCTTCGGCGCCCCGCGCCCGGGCCCCCCCCTTTCCTCAGGGCCCCCCATGTCTCTCTCTCTCTCCCCACCCACCCCCACCTCTCTCACCTCTCCTTGCCTCAACGGATACCACCCACCGCCCTCCTGCGCATGCGCCCTCCTCCGCCCCGCCCCTTCCCCCGGCGCTTCCGGAAGAAGCGGAAGAAGCCGACGCGGGAGCCGCCATGTTTACTTTTCCCCCTCCTTCTTCTTCCCTCACCCGCGTCACGTGACCTCGCGGCCTTTCAGAACCAGCCGCATTTGAATTCAATTCAATTCAATTCAATTCAGTTGAGGGGTTGAGGGTTTTTTTTTTAAATCTGGGGGGAGCTTAGAATATGTGTGTGTGTGTGTCTGTATACACACACATACATACATATACACATATACATACACATACATATACATATATACATATACATACATATACACGTATACATACACATATACATATACACATACACATGCATATACACATGCATACACATACATATATACACATACATATACATACATACATATACACATACATACACATACATATATACATATACATATACATACATATATATATATATATACATATACACATATACATATACACATATACATTTACATACATATACACACACACACATATATATATATATATACACACACACATATATGTATACATATATGTGTGTGTATATATATATATATATATATATATATATATACACACACACACAGGAGTATATATATATACTCCTCACATAAGCCTGATGATGGCAGATGATTCTCTCGAAACGTCCCTTCTATCCTTTTAGGACACACACACACACACACACACACACACACATAATTTAGTTCAAAAGGTTGGAGGACTGGGCCCTTTCACGTGACGAGGCGTGACGTCACTTCCTTCCCCATGCTAGAGGCAACTTATATGATGCAAGTAACAAAAATCAGAATAAGTGTTGGGAGGGACTTTGGAGGTCTTCTAGTCCAACCCCACGCTCAAACTGGAGAACCTATACCATTTCACACAAACGGCTGTCCAATCTCTTCTTAAAAGCCTCCAGTGATGGAGCACCCACAACTTCTGGTGGCAAGTCGTTCCAGTGGTTAATTGTCCCATTAGGAAGTTTCTCCTCAATTCCAGGTTGCTTCTCTCCTTGATTAGTTTTCGTCCTTTGCTTCTTGTCCTGCCTTCGGGTGCTTTGGAGAACAACTTGACCCCCTCTTCTTCGTGGCAGCCCCTCAAATATTGGAAGACTGCTATCCTGTCTCCCCTGGTCCTTCTCTTCACTAGACTAGCCAGGCCCAGTTCCTGCAACCCTTCTTCATATTATTTTAGCCTCCAGATTTTAGCAACTGGGGAAAAATGAGGCTCTATCTCAAACGTCTGTTTGAGCAGAAAACACATCCAGTAGCAGGGAGTTCCTCAGCTTAAATCGGGCAGAATATGAGTGAGGCAAACCTGGCCCTCTGGTAAATTTAAACCCGGCTTCAAAAGAGCTTTGTAGAAAGAGAGTTGACAGGGCCCTCCCCTCTGTTCCTCCTGTCCGAGAGACACTAGGGCCTTTCTAAATATTGACTTATCAAAGGTTAAAGCAGTTTTTTTTCCCCCCCTGGAAAAGCCACGGGGGGATACACGGCTGTGTCCTTGGGCTTCCTGGTTTGGGAAGGAGTCCAATCTAGCTCGCAATTCCAGTAACTCCCTCCAGATCAGAAAATATCACCAGCTTCTTGGGCTGAAAGATAGACTGCCTCTGAATAGGGAGGTTGAACGGATGAATCTGTCAGTACGGGTAGCCTTCGACTTAGTTCATTTAGTCAATGGGGAAGCCGGATTCACTTAACAACCGGGGTTACTAACTTATCACTTAACAACTGTGGTAAGAAAGCTCGTCTGTCATCTGCACCTCTATAACTGTCTGGTTTGGCTCTGCAACCCAACAAGACAGAGACAGACTTCGGAGGATCATTAGAACTGCAGAAGAAAACCATGGCTACCAACCTGCCTTCCATGGAGGATCTGTATATCGCACAAGTCAAAAAGAGGGCTGGGAAAATATCTACAGGCCCCTCGCATCCTGGACTTCAACTCTTTCAACTCCTACCCTCCAAACGACGCTATAGAGCACTGCACACCAGAACAACTAGACACAAGGACAGTTTTTTCCTCCTGAACGCCCTCACTCTGCTAAACAGATAATTCCCTCAACACGGTCAAACTATTTACAAAGACTGCACTACTATTAATCTTCTCTTCCTTCCTAGTATCTGATCTCTTCCCACTTATGACTATAACCATGTTGCTTGTATCTTTCCATTTATATTGTTTTTATTTGTTTCCTGGTACGATTTGATAGCTTATTAGTAACCTTGACTATCACTAATACACCAAGACGAATTCCTTGTGTGTCCAATCACGCTTGGCCAATAAAAAATTCTATTCTATTCTATTCTATTCTATTCTATTCTATTCTATTCTATTTCTATTCTTCTATTCTATTCTATTCTATTCTATTCTATTCTATTCTATTCTATTCAGTTGTAAATTTTTATTCTCAATGTATGCATTTTATTTTCCTTATGTACACTGAGAGCATATACCACCAAAGACGAATTCCTTGTGTGTCCAATCACACTTGGCCAATAAAGAATTCTATTCTATTCTATTCTAATCAGTTTTTTTTTGGGGGGGGGTGTTTTGTATGTCACCCCGCCCCAAATAATCTGTTGTCCCCACAGGCGTGTCGTTAGGCAGAATCGCACTTTCTGACAAACACACAGAGAGGGAAAACGGGTCGTCGTGTAAGCATCGTACGACGAAAAGCCACAAATAATGACAGACACTGAATGGATGTAGGACAGCAAGCCATGATTTGTCGAAGAAGCCACGAAGGGATGGGTTACTTTATACATGGGAGGTCTTCCGCTTGACAATCATTCATTTAGGAACCATTCAACGGTACTGAAAAAAAGTTGATTTATGGTCACCGGTCCTCGCATTATGACCATCGCAATATCCCCATAGTCACATGATTAAAATTCAAGTGCTTGCTTGACGACCGGCGTGTATTTACAATGATGGTAGCATCCCGGAGTACACCTGCTCGCCATTTGAGACCTTCCCAACAAGCAAAGTCAATGGCTGAGGGGTGGGTGGGAGGAGCTGGATTCATTTAACGACCACGTGATCCACTTAATGACCGCAGTGACTCGCTTAACCACGGTGGCGAAAAGGCCATCAAGTAAAGTGCGCCTCCCTTAACAACGGAAATTCTGATGCCAATTGTGCCAACACCTCCCAAAGTTAAACCTGGACCCAATTTTCTGCCCCCCACCCTCCCCACCCAGCCAAACTAGTGAGCATGTAAAGATTCACTCCTAGCCGATCGACAGTCAATGCTCCGTTGGGCTCGCTTCTCGCCTAGGTTTAGCCTGCAATGTGGGTTTTACTCTTCTCGGCGCGATTCGTCCTCGGTGCTTTGCACATCTGGAAGGAGTAAAAAAGATACAAAGCATGTTTTGATCGACTGGCTGGCTCCTATTTTGCTTCAAGGGGTTTTTGCAGGAAGAAAGAGGAGCTTCAGGGGTGCTCTCTCTCCTTCCCAAAGAGGCACATTCAAACCAAACAAGCACCTGAATAACAAACCATGTTTGCAATGAAAACATGTATTTGCAATCGTCCGGTCTGGCCAAGTTTTTCTGCTTAAAGGTCTATAGATATAGTTTTTTCTGAAAAAGGAAGGGTTTTTTTTTTTTTCTCTCTTGAGTCTCGAATCATGAAAATAAAAGCTTCCTTTTTATAGCCCCAAAGAGGTTCTGGGGTGAATTAGAACTGCAGAAAAATCCATGGCTACCAACCTACCTTCTATTGAGGACCTGTATACTGCACAAGTCAAAAAGAAGGCTGTGAAAATATCTACAGACCCCTCACATCCTGGACATCAACTGTTTCAACTCCTACCCTCAAAACGACGCTATAGAGCACTGCACACCAGAACAACTAGACACAAGGACAGTTTTTTCCCGAACACCATCACTCTGCTCAACAAATAATTCCCTCAACACTATCAAACTATTCACCAAGTCTGCATTACTATTAATCTTCTCATCGTTCCTAACACCCATCTCTTCCTACTTATGACTGTATGACTGTAACCTTGTTGCTGGTATCCTTAAGATTTATATTGACTGTTTCCCTATGACTATCATTAGGTGTTGTACCTTATGATTCTGGACGAATTTCTTTTATGTATACTGAGAGCGTATGCACCAAAGACAAATTCCTTGGGTGTCCAATCACACTTGGCCAATAAAGAATTCTATTCTATTGTGCAGCATCCTTAACCCGGTTATGAATTTGTTATTTTTTAAAAAAAATTGTTTCTTTTTCTCTGTTTGGATCCCTTTGCTGGACTTGCACCTTGTGTAAACTAGGTGCCACACTACGTATCCCAGAATCCTTTAGGACACTAATGTTTCTATAAAGGAAGTCCTTATTCATTAATGATTATTAGCCCCTTAGTGCCGTGAGGGCGAACCTATGGCACGCGTGCCACGGGTGGCATGTGGAGCCATATTGGTGGACATGCGAGCTCAGGTCTGGAGCGCATGTGCGCACTGGCCAGCCGATTTTTCGGTTGTTTGGGAAGTCAGGAAACAGGCTGTTTCCGGCCTCCAGAGGGCCTTGGGGTGGGGGGAGGCTGTTTACGCCCTCCCCAGGCTCCTAGAAAGGGCCTGGAGCCTGGGGAGAGCGAAAAATGGGCCTTCTGGTCCCACCGGAAGTCGACAAGTGGGCTGTTTCCAGCCTCCGGAGGGCCTCTGGAGGGGTGGGGAAAGCTTCCGGAGCCTGGGGAGGACGAAAAACGGGTCTACCGGGCCCACTGTGCCATCGTGTGCCAAAATCAGGGAGAGAAAGCCACTGCAGAGAGAGGGCAAGAGATATAAAAGAGAAGATGATTTCACCTGCATGTCCTCTCGCTGAATTTCATCCCACGCCTCTCACAATGTCCAGATCGGTGGCGACACACACATTTGCACGTCTGTGGATCTGGGTGCTTTTTCCTGTCCCGACACGGTGCACAGGACTGACTAGATTAGAAGGAGAAGGAAACTACAGATGAAGCCCCTCAAATGTATTCAGGTACCAATGGGATCACAACTTGCTGTCATTGTTAACCCAAGGGGGACTGTGCATTTTTACAAAGAAATTGGCGAAACCTGACTGTTCTGGAACTACCTCCAAGGTCTACCCACCAGGACTCATTCTGTATGTTGTGGAAATCAGGTTTATGGGGTCTGTTGGAAGGGATGGGAAAGGGAAGAGGAGGGAGAGGGGATGGAGGGAAGGGAGGGAGGGAGGGGGAAAAGAGGGGAAGGAAGGAAGGAAGGAAGGAAGGAAGGAAGGAAGGAAGGAAGGGGAAAATTGAAGAGAGAAAGGCTAGAAAAGAGAAGGAAGGAAGGAAGGAGGGAAAGAAAGAAGAAAAATTAGAGGGAGGGGGAAAGGGAAGGAAAAGAGAAGGAAAGGAAGGAAAATTGAAGAGAAAGGAAGGCAGAAAAGAGAAGGAAGGAAGGAAGGAAGGAAGGAAGGAAGAAGGAAGGAAGGAAGAAGGAAGGAAGGAAGGAAGGAAGGAAGGAAGGAAGGAAAATTGGAGGGAGGGAGAAAGGAAGGGAAAAGAGAGAAGGAAAGGAAGGAAGGGAGGGAGGGAGGGAAGGAGGGAGGAAGGAAGGGAGATTGGAGGGAGGGAGAAAGGGAAGGAAAAGAGAATGAAAGGAAGGAAAATTGAAGAGAAAGGAAGGCAGAAAAGAGAAGGAAGGAAGGAAGGATGGAAGGAAGGAAGGAAAATTGGAGAGAGAATTGGGAAAGAGGAAGGAAGGAAGGAAGGAAAATTGGAGAGAGAATTGGGAAGGAAGGAAGGAAGGAAGGAAGGAAGGAAGGAAGGAAGGAAGGAAGGAATCTTTTACCTAATTGAATTAGATCTGAAAAGCATCGTTCTTGATCTGAAAAATACAAGACAACAACAACAAGATTTAGCGACTTCACTGCTGAAGGGAATATATATTCCTAGATTTCGGCGACCCGTGCACAAACATTTATCATTGATATCAATTTAAAACCATGGGCGCCCCATTTCCTCTCTTAAGAAAATCTCAGCCTCCCTCCTTCCGAAAGAAGTTAAACCTTCAGCCTCCTCCTCTTCCTCCTCCACCCAGATTTGCAACGGACCATTTCAAAATAAACTACAACATCCCCAAAAGTTTTCGGCTGGGCAGAATTATGACAGCTACCAAGGATATGTGTAATAGGAAGGAGAGACGTGACTAATCTTCCAGTATGAGCAGAATAATAAATAAACCCCAGGAGCGCCTGAATTTTTAACAACCCTCCTGGACCAACGGGCTAAGTTGTGCTGAATTTCTAAGCACACATCCTGAAGTTAATCCTTTCCTTTTAAATGCCCGAAGCGATCGCTTCTTTTATAATGTAAATCCCAAACATTGTTGAGGATTTGAAAGGAGGCCTTTTGACATTTTTCATGGATTCCCCCTGGCTTACTTACATCAGAAGCCCATTCCTTGCTGTCCCTGGCAGACAAAACGCTTTTAAAACGTTTTCTTTTTATGAAGGCCACCATATAACAGGAAGAGCATTTAAGCAGGCTTTCTGCCCATTAATTCTGTAAGGACTCAGAATAATCCCCTTTTACTGTTTTTAAAAGGGAGGCGGTGGCTCGGCGGCTAAGACGCTGAGCTTGTCGATCGAAAGGGTCGGCAGTTCAGCGGTTCGAATCCCAGCACCGCGGAACGGGGTGAGCTCCCGTGACTTGTCCCAGCTTCTGCCAACCTAGCAGTTCGAAAGCACGTAAAAAGAAATGCAAGTAGAAAAATAGGGACCACCTTTGGTGGGAAGGGAACAGCGTTTTCCGTGCGCCTTTGGCGTTGAGTCATGCCGGCCACATGACCACGGAGACGTCTTTGGACAGCGCTGCCTCTTCGGCTTTGAAACGGAGATGAGCACCGCTCCCTAGAGCCCTCAAAACGACGCTATAGAGCACTGCATACCAGAACTACTAGACACAAGGACAGTTTTTTCCGAACGCCATCACTCTGCTAAATAAATAATTCCCTCAACACTGTCAAACTATTCACTAAGTCTGCATTACTATTACTATTAATCTTCCCATCGTTCCTATCCTCCCACTTATAACTATGACTGTAACTTGTTGCTGGTATCTTTACGATTTATATTGATATTGTTTCCTAGTATGACTTGATTGCTTATTTGTACCCTATCATTAAATGTTGTACCTTATGATTCTTGACAAATGTATCTTGTCTTTTTATGTACACTGAGAGCATATGCACCAAAGACAAATTCCTTGGCCAATCACACTTGGCCAACGAAGAATTCTATTCTAGTCTAGTCTAGTCTAGTCTATTCTATTCTTCTGTTCTATTCTATTCTATTCTTACTCTACTCTACTCCTATTCTATTCTATTCTATTCTATTCTATTCTATTCTATTCTATTCTATTCTATTCTATTCTATTCTATTCTTACTCTACTTTACTCCTATTCTATTCTATTCTATTCTATTCTATTCTATTCTATTCTATTCTATTCTATTCTATTCTTACTCTACTTTACTCCTATTCTATTCTATTCTATTCTATTCTATTCTATTCTATTCTTACTCTACTCCTATTCTATTCTATTCTATTCTTACTCTACTCTACTCTACTCCTATTCTATTCTATTGTTCTATTCTATTCTATTCTATTCTATTCTATTCTATTCTATTCTATTCTTACTCTACTCCTATTCTATTCTATTCTATTCTATTCTATTCTTACTCCTATTCTATTCTATTCTATTCTTACTCTACTCTACTATTCTATTCTATTGTTCTATTCTATTCTATTCTATTCTATTCTATTCTATTCTATTCTATTCTTACTCTACTCTACTCTACTCCTATTCTATTCTATTCTATTCTATTCTATTCTATTCTATTCTATTCTTACTCTACTCCTATTCTATTCTATTCTATTCTATTCTATTCTATTCCATTCCATTCCATTCCCTTCCCTTCCCTTCCCTTGTCTTCTTACTCTACACTACTCTACTCTACTCCACTTCTATTCTATTCTATTCTATTCTATTCTATTCTATTCTATTCTATTCTATTCTATTCTATTCTATTCTATTCTTACTCTACTCTACTCTACTTCTATTCTATTCTATTCTATTCACAAATGTTTCCCTTAACAACATAAATGTTGGGCTCAATTGCAGGCATAAGTCGAGGGCTACCTGTATTCTAAAGCCTTACCTGCAGGTGCATTCGAGGTGCTCTTCAAAGGTCAGCTGGGTTATATATCTGTTTGGAAAAAGACTAGCCATTACCTAGAAAACAGGAAGAGGAAGATCTTCACTCTATGCATCCAGGACTCAGTGCTAAATCCAAATATTGTTTGGAAATTGTTGGAAATTGAAGTAGAATTTCAATTTCAATTCACCGTATATTTCTGGCTGTTTTTTAACATCCCTAGGCATACAATGAACGGTTGCAGGAACTGGGCCTGGCTGGTCTAGTGAAGAGAAGGACCAGGGGAGACAGGAGAGCATCTTCCAATATTTGAGGGGCTGCCCCAGAGAGGAGGAAGGGGGTCAAGCTATTTTCCAAAGCACCCAAAGGTTAGGTGAGGAAGAATGGATGGAAACTGACCAAGGAGAGATTCAACCTGGAAATAAGGATAAATTTTCTGACAATGAGAACAATCAACCCATGGAAGAGAAGATGCCTTCAGAAGTTGTGGGAGTTTCATCCCTGGAAGCTTTCAAGAAGAGACCGGACTGCCATTGGTCAGAAGTTATGTAGGGTCTCCTGCTTAGGCGGAGGGTTGGACTAGATGACCTCTAAGATCCCTCCCAACTCTGTTCGTCTGTAAACTCAGTCAATTTGTGTAACCTTTGTGTAAATGGTATGTGGGAATGACCTTGAAATAATGATGCTAAGGGAACGGTCTGATTTAGAGACAGCTGAGCCCTCGGCTACATCCAAGTAGTCCTTGACTTACAACAGTTTGTTTAGTGACCCTTCGAAGTGACGTGAAAAAAATGTGGCTTCCTTGCGACGTTTGTCACACTTAACGACCATTGCAACAGCAGCCCCATGGGCTTTGGGGTCCAAATTCAGACGCTTGGAAACCGATTCAAAAGTCACTTTATAACCGTCTCGCTTAGCAGCAGGAACTCCGTTGTGGGCCGTAAATCAAGGACTACCCGTAGGCAAAATCAAGAATTCTCCTCTCACCAAGAGTGAGAGTAGAAGTCGTGAAAATCAGCAGCCAAGCTTGGAAGAAAATCAGCAGCCCAAACCCTTGGAGAAGTCGGGGGAAAATTTTCTCACGCTAAGCCCGAGTGAGCAGGAATTCGAATCCGGAGCTGACTTTCTTCTCCCGACCTTCCTGGGTGTCCTCCCCACGTCTGCCCTCCCCTTCCCCCACCCCCATACCTCCAAGATGACTTCCCGGGAACGGTTGGGCACGCAATCCAAGGAGTCGTCCGAACAGCAGCCGGTACAGCGCCTGAGGGCCACGCAGGATGGGATCATGATGTGATTGTCCAGAGACGGATGTTCTGCCGTGACGGACACCATCATCTCCTTGGGCTGACAGACGCTGCGGTTGTAGACCTCCAAAAAATGGATCACTGCCAGGTGAGAGACACATCCGGGCTTTTAGCTGTCATCAAAGAAGGGCTGGCCCTACGGTTAGGTTCCAATTCTTCCTTCCTTCCTTCCTTCCTTTCTTTCCTCCCTCCCTCCTTCTTCCATTCCGTCTATCTTTTTATCTATCTATGATCTTTCTCTTTTCTTCTCTTTTTCTCTTCTCTTCTCTTCTCTTCTCTTCTCTTCTCTTCTCTTCTCTTTTCTTCTCTCTCTCTCATCTATCTATCTACCGGTACCTATCTACCTACCTATTCTCTCTCTTATCTGTCTCCATCTATCATCTATCTCTTTCTATTTCTCTGTCTGTCTGTCTCTCTAAACTATATCTATTATCTATCTATCTATCTATCTATCTATCTATCTATCTATCTATCTATCTATCTATCTATCATCACCTGCCTACCTACCTATTCTCTCTCTTATCCGTCTCTATCTATCATCTATCTTTTTCTGTCTATCTACCTATCAAACTACCTACCTACCTACCTATTTATCATCTCTCTCTACCTACCTATTATCTCTCTTATTTGCCTCTATCTATCATCTATCTCTTTCTATTTCTCTGTCTGTCTGTCTCTCTAACTATATCTATCTATTATCTATCTATCTATCTATCTATCACCTGCCTACCTATCTACCTATTCTCTCTCTTATCCATCTCTCTTATCTATCTTTTTCTGTCTGTCTATCTACCTATCAACTACCTACCTACCTACCTATTTATCATCTCTCTTTCTACCTACCTATTATCTCTCTTATCTGCCTCTGTCATCTATTATCTATCTCTATTTGTGTCTCTGTCTGTCTGTCTATATCTGTCTATTATCTCTACCTACCTACCTACCTATTATCTCTCTATCTTTGTCTCTACCTACCTACCTGTCTCTCTCTTCTATCTATCTATCTATCTATCTATCTATCTATCTATCTATCTATCTATCTATCTATCTATCTATCTATCATCTATTTTCTATCACCTGTCAACTATCAATCATCTCTATCAATCATTTATTTGTCAGCCTATGTGTATTTATCTATCTATCTATCTATCTATCTATCTATCTATCTATCTATCTATCTATCTACCTATCTATCTAATCTATCTAAACAATCTACATTATCTATTCTATCGTTTATCTATCACCCATCCATCCATCTATCTTCCATCATACAAATCTCTATGGTTGCCCAATTCACCCATAGGTGACTCAGGACAGCTTACAACATGAACAGAACCCCATAAAACCCCACCCCATTTATTTCATCCATCCCACATTATAGCAGGCATAAATACGGAGGCACCCACCCCCTCCCACTCCCTACCCAAAACATTCCCAATTTTCAGCATCTTTTAAGAGAGGGTTTGCTGCTACAATTTCTGCCTGTGGGGCTGAAGATGTTGGAAGTGTGATCAAACAAACCCATTGAAAAGACTGGAGGGAGGCAGGTTTAACGGGTGGGAGGGGGGGGCACCTCTTCTTCACATACCCCCAATTCCATCCTTACCTTCTGTAGTGGGCAGCATCTTCTCAAATTCAACCCCCTTCCTCTCAGAGGAGGGCATTGTCTGCCAATAGAAGAATGTGGGGGGGGGGAAAACATCAGGATTTATTTCAATTGACCCAAACTGAGAATTTTAAGCATGTTTTGGGTGGGCATCACTCAGCCAACAAAGGCTTCCTGGGAGGTGGACTTAGGGCAGGGGTCAGCAACCTGCAGCTCTGGAGCCGCATGTGGCTCTTTCACCCCTCTGCTGCGGCTCCCTGTCACTCAAAATATGCATCACAACCGCCAATGTACGACACCCGCCGGCACGCGATTTATTGAGCTTTTCAATCCCCGGTAGGCCAACCATGGATAAATCCAAGAAAAGAAAAGTTTCAGAAAAAAACAGAACATTTAATTTGACTAATATGCTAGTTTTGTGGCCACTCAGGAAATAGTCAGGCACGGGAAGAGTTTTGTGGCTCCCGGAGTTTTCTTTTCTGTGGGAAACGGGTCCAAATGGCTCTCTGAGTGTTTAAGGTTGCAGACTTAGGGGGTCCCTTGCCCCCTGCCTCATTCTGTCTTTTGATGCTTTCAAAGCACACCCCAAAGGGCCCCCTATTCTGATCGAAAACCAACAAGACCAATGCAAAGGAATCGCGCCTCCCTCCTCATCCTCGCCCGCGCTTTCTCCAGGACGTCCCGAGGGGTGAAGGATGCCAGGAGCCACCGATTCAAGAGCGGAGAGATATTTGGCATCGGAAGAAGCTGCTCGGGGCATCCTCACCGGCATCTCTGCCAAAGGGGAGGAATGATGGCCATTGCACCCTGACCGACCCCCAAGGAAGCTGATCCAGCTGTGGGCAGCTGTGCCAGGGCTTGGCATCTCTCTCAATCCTGGCACGCAATTTATGGAAAAAGTTAAGACGGGGAATACTACGCGGCTGCCCTCAAGACTGGGTCGAAACCCATCTCCCACGAGGTAGCTCTTCTTGCTGCCCCCTGCCCGGCTCCCCGATGCCCATCTCATCCCTGGCACCGACCCCGGCATTTCGCACCGCCACCTACCGTCGGCGAGCAGGTTGGCAGCTGCCAAGCTGCCATCGTGAGAAGACAGAGGAACCCAGGCAGAGTTTTCATGGCCAAGGGGACAAGGGCAAGGAAGAGGGGGCTTCGAAAAGTTTTTGCCCCCCTCCCCTTCGCCCTGCGAGGGAGCAAGCTGGCTTCAGTCCAAGGCCAGGCTCGCTGCCAGGCAGCCTGAAAGAGAGGCAGCTTGCAATTCTCCTGCAATTCCAAATAATGCAGATTTTTTTTTTTGTTTTGTTTTGTGGAAATGCCCAGGAAGCTGATATTTCAAGGGCACAGGAGACGAAGGAGCTGCCGTTGATTCTGGTTTCCCTCTTCCTCTTTCAAGGCCATGCCCTCCCCAGGTGAGGCAGCCACAGGTGCCAGGCGAAAGGCAGAGGCCAGGCAGGTGCGCCAGGCTGCTGCTGACCTCCGGGCCGTCCAGTCCAGACGGGGCAGCTGGGATGCTGGCCACCAGCCGCCCAGAAAGGAGGAGATTGGGAGCTGCTGGCCGAGCGGGCAGGCAGGGTGGCCGAGAGAGGGCGGTTCATGTGACTGCAGAGTGCCAGGGCTGGGGAGGGGAGGTGGGGAGGGAGGGAGGGAGAGGAGACGGGCATCCGGCCAGAAATTCGGAGGGGAGGACTTTTGGTCCCCAAGGGAAGAAGGGTGGGGGATTGGCTGTTTTTATTTAGTCAGCGCTAGCCTTCAATTGTTATTTTGAGCAAATAACTCCAGGCAGGGAAGGTATCCAGCGTGCCTTCCTCTTCCGCGCGACAACCCTGCGAAGTGGGATGGTTGGAGAGAGAGAAAGGGATCGGCGCAGTCAGCCTGCCGGCTTCGGTGCCTGAGGGGGAACTAGAACTCCGCGTCACCTGGCGAGTGGTCCAAAGTCACCCAGATGGCTCTCAGGCCTAAGGCGGGAGGCAGGACTAGAATTCCCTGTTTCCTGGCGATTGAAACAAATTCCCCCCATCGGCTTTCATGCGAAAGGCATGCTAGAACTCACAGTCCCCTGGGTGATTGGTGCAGTCACCCAGCTGGCTTTCATGCCTAAGGCGGGATTAGAATTCACCGTCTCCTGGCGATTGGCCCAGTCACCCAGCTGCCTCTCAGGCCTAAGATGGGACTAGAATTCACCGACTCCTGGTGATCGGTCCAAAGTCACCCAGCTGCCTCTCAGGCCTAAAATGGGACTAGAATTCACTGACTTCCTGGTGATCGGCCCAAAGTCACCCAGCTGCCTCTCAGGCCTAAGGTGGGACTAGAATTCACTGACTCCTGGTGATCGGCCCAAAGTCACCCAGCTGCCTCTCAGGCCTAAGGCAGGACTAGAATTCACTGACTCCTGTGATCGGCCCAAAGACACCCAGCTGCCTCTCAGGCCTAAAATGGGACTAGAATTCACTGACTCCTGTGATCGGCCCAAAGTCACCCAGCTGCCTCTCAGGCCTAAGATGGGACTAGAATTCACTGACTCCTGTGATCGGCCCAAAGTCACCCAGCTGCCTCTCAGGCCTAAAATGGGACTAGAATTCACTGACTCCTGGTGATCGGTCCAAAGTCACCCAGTTGCCTCTCAGGCATAAGGCGGGACTAGAATTCACTGACTCCTGTTTTGATTGGCCCAAAGTCACCCAGCCAGCTTCTCCCCCAATCGGCTTCCATGCATAAGGCAGGACTAGAAAGTCCCCGTTTCCTGGTGATTGGCACAAATTCCCCCAATTGGCTAATAATAATGCGAAAGGCATGCTAGAACTCACAGTCCCCTGGTAATTGACACAGTCACTCAGCTGGCTTTCATGTCTAAGGCGGGACTAGAATTCACCGTCTCCTGGTGATTGGCCCAAAGTCACCCAGCCAGCTTTCATGCCTAAGGTGGAAATAGAACTCACCGTCTGGATTTGTGAGTGTCTTTAGGCATGTACAGAGTGCTTTTTCCATCCCACTGAGATTGTTGTTGGCTGGCCCGCAGCTCTAAAAAAAAAGTGATTTCTTTCAGATCCAGCGGTGACCCCATTTCAGCCACCGATTTAATTGGGTTTGTTCCACTGAAACGGAGCAAATTTTATTTTAACTGGGTTTTTAAATTCAAGATCATCGCTTATTTGTCGCTTTCATGGGGCGTTTTATTCCATGCTGGTAAAACGATCGGAGTCGCCTTGGGCGAGATGGGTGGCATATAAATTGGATAAATAAATAAATAAAATCTGAAAAATATATATCTTTTTTTTAGCTCCAGCACAGGAAACAAATCAAACCGTCTTGCCAACTCTTCATGGGTGACCCTGTGGCATTTAAGCGACGTCTTCCAGGTAAAGCCAGTGTGTCCGTCAAGCTGAACATTTCAGGGATGCCCGCACCAAGAAAGCTAGCAGCGCAGGGTTCGAGTTTCCTTGCGAGCTAGCTTTCTAAGATGCGAGGAAGGCGGCAAGCTGAACCCAGGGATCCAAATTTTGAGAAGGGCTGTTTAATATCCGCTGACGTAGGAGTAGTCGGTGTGCAAATGCACGAAACCAGAACGAATCAAGGCGCACGTCGGCTTACATGACACAACTCTCGTAGCTGTGGCATCGAATTCGAATCTGCCCCGGGCTCTTTTTGTCCTTCCTCCGTGCTCCTGGCTTCCCAGCACTCTTTATTCCCCATCTACCCACCTCGATTAAACTCCTTAGTTGAAGTGATCTTCAGCGAAAGAAGCCCTTGGTGCGGAGTTCGCCAGGGGAACTCACCGCCACTGGAGTTGATGCAATCGCTCCTTTCGGATGGGACTTGGGAATGGGAAGAGCCGGATTTTGGAAGGAAAAGGCTAGTGGAGGGAACTAGGGGTGGGGGCTGTGCAAGGGACCCCGCGTCAAGGCTGTCATCTTTTGATCGCTTCCCCATGATGGGAAAAATAAAAAAGATTGGGTTTAATAAGAATTGGATATTCTCCAGCCCCCCCCGCCCCAATTTGGCAGTTGTGTGTTTTGTAGAAGAATTTCTGCTGACCTCCTTTTGTGTGTTCGCAGCCTGACAACCCCATCCCTTTTTTTTTTTTTTTTTTGCACCCTTGAGATTAAAACAGTATTTCACACTTACATCTCACCACAATTGTGGCGCTGGCAGAAAACAAGACGGAAGGACCAATCGTGCCTCTGTGGGAAAAGAGCCCGGGCTTTTGTGTGTGTGTCTATTTTTGTGTGTTTTTCATCTCACAGGTAGTCCATGATTTACGGCCACCATTGAGATTGGGACTTCCGTCGGCCCGTGAAGAGCCTTGGTGGCGCAGCAGACTAAGTGCTGTTAAAGTGCTTTTAAGTAGCACCAGCTGCCGGCAATTACTGCGAGTTCAAATCTCACCAGGCTCAAGGTTGACTCAGCCTTCCAATCCTTCCGAGGTAGGTAAAATGAGGACCCGGATTGTGGGGGCAATAAGCTGATTTTGTATAAAAAAAGAACACCGCTTGGGGGTGGGCCAAAAGCCCTATTAAGCAGGTATATACAAAAGTATGAAGGCTGTTGCTTAACGCATTGTAAGCCGCCCTGAGTCTCCGGAGAAGGGCGGCATATAAATCGAACCAATAAATAAATAAATAAATAAATAAATAAAATGAGCCGCGCCCGATTTTTTCCACATTTCCAGGCCTACGGTTGCAAAGTCTCAATCTCTTTTTTGTAACATCATGATCAAAACTGGTTGCAAGTATTCCAGGTAGGGGGTCTTACTAGGGTTTTATAAAGCGGTACTAATACTTCAAGTGATCTTGATTCTATGCCTGGTTTTTGTTTTTTTTTAAATTTGATTTATATGCCGCCCTTCTCCGGAGACTCAGGGCGGCTTACAATGCGTTAAGCAATAGCCTTCATACTTTTGTATATTTTATACAAAGTCAGCTTATTGCCCCCACAATCCGGGTCCTCATTTTACCTACCTTAGAAAGGATGGAAGGCTGAGTCGACCTTGAGCCTGGTGAGATTTGAACTCGCAGTAATTGCAGGCAGCTGATATTTACTGTATTGGATTGTATTAGCTGTTTTTCAGAGTTAAGAAGGAACATTTGCAAGTAATTTTCCTCCCCGATCCGTCCCTATCGTCTTCCTCAGCTTTGAACCTGGAGGACAGAAGGAAGAGTGTCTGAATCAGGATGCCGGGGGTGTGTGTGTCCCATTTGGGCCTGTGGGTGGAGATTCTGCCCCTCTCACTATTGTGGCCCACCAGTGGTCAGCGGAGCTGGCAGGAGATTTGGACAGTGAGGAGGTTGGGGAGGAACGTGGGCCAGTCCTGGAGTCTGGGGAAGGCTCTGCGTCGGAGGCAGAGAGGGGGCCAGGGCCGTCTGACAGTTGTCAGCTGCCTTCAGAGTCGGACATCAGTGGGGCAGAGGAACAGCTGGAGCCTGTTCCCAGTGTGAGCTGCCAGGAGAAGGGAACGGCTAAGGAACAAGGGTCGACTCAGGAGTAAAGCCACAAGTGGACGGTGAATAGGGAATAAAAGAGGAGCGAAAGGGGAGTGGAGTTTGCAGGAGGCAATTAGTCCGCTTAATTGGTTCATGATTCTCCGAGACTCCTTGCCAAGTTTTGAAGATATCGGGCCTGGCAGCTCTCCAAGCCAGATAAAGGTCTGTGACTGTAAATTCTCCCTTGAAAGACTTTGCTGGGTGTGAATGAGAAGAATTCACATTAACTTAATAAAAAGGGTTTTTTGGTCGGAGGACCAAACCAAGGAGTTTGCTTCATGCTCACTCCCCAAATCCCCTTCCCTGCTTTCGACCCAAATCCTGAGCGGACGAGACGCAGGACTTCCTTGGAAAACGAGGATCAAAGAGAGGAAGTGTAGCGAAGGGCTTCTATTGACAAGAATTAGGGGAGCAAGAGAAAGGGGTCCAAAGGGGGAGACGCTGAGGGTCTCGGCCAGCAGGCTGGAAAAGGGCCGGCTGTAACCGGATTACTTGGCAGTTGTGACGGGAGGAACCGTATCCTTTATGGAGTCCAAGATTTCCGAGTGTGGTTTAGAGGAGGTGGCGTCTTTCTCCAGAATTGGGGTGCCCTTCTGTCGTAGATGGTCTTCGTGCCTGGCTCTGTGGGGCAGAGGGGAAAGGAGGGTCAGAAACATTCCTCAAGGGCTCCCACTCGGTGGTCAAGAGCTGATGGCTTCTGGCGGGGCTGGCCTACAAGTCCCAGAATTCTCTGCCAGCACGGCTGATGGAGGGTGGGGGTGGGTGGGTGGGATGATCAGCGCCCCTAGAGAGGCCCCTCCCCTGCAGGACCTCAGTCAAAGGTGCCCCCAATGAGGATGTAGTAGTCGGAAATCTGTCTATTGATTACGATGGGTTCAAATGCTGATATGGGTTTGTAACCAATGCAGAGGGGGCAGGGGAACGGACGGGACGGGAAGGGAAGGGAAGGGAAGGGAAGGGAAGGGAAGGGAAGGGAAGGAAGGAAGGAAGGAGATAAAGGGAAAGGAAGGAAGGAAGGAAGGAAGGAAGGAAGGAAGGAAGGAAGGAGATAAAGGGAAAGGAAGGAAGAAAGGAAGGAAGGAAGAAGGAGGGAAGGAAGGAAGGAGATAAAGGGGAAGGAAGGAGATAAAGGGAAAGGAGGGAAGGAAGGAAGGAAGGAAGGAAGGAAGGAAAGAAAAAGGAAAGAAGGAAAAAGGAAAGAGCAGAAGGGAAGGGAAGTGAGAAGGTGGGAGGGAAAGGGAAGGAGAAGGGAAGGGGAGGAGGAGGGGAAGAGGAAAGATGGAAGTAAGAGCCTGGTGACGCAGCAGACTAATAGCCTGTTATTATCATTCAGCTGCCTGCAATTACTGCAGGTTCGAATCTTGCCAGGCTCAAGGTTGACTCAGCCTTCCATCCTTTCTAAGGTAGGTAAATTGAGGACCCGGTTTGTGGGGGCAATAAGCTGACTTCGTATAAAATATACAAAAAAGAATGAAGGCTATTGCTTAGCGCATTGTAAGCCGCCCTGAGTCTTCGGAGAAGGGCGGCATATAAATCAAATTAAAAAAAAAAAAAAGTAAGGAAAAAACATGGAAAGGAAAGGGAAAAGGTAAAGGAAAAAGAAAATGGAATTGAAGTGCCATCCTTTGCCACTGCAACAATTTTCTCAGCCCATGTTTGGAATCCATCTTTGTTTGTCTCGGTTAATTTTGGGGGGGATTTTTTAATTGTTTGCATAAAATAAAAATTGAAAGATAGATAGATAGATAGATAGATAGATAGATAGATAGATAGATAGATATACCTGGCTTGCTCCTTTGCCTTAATAAGGGCCTGAGTGATGATGCGGTCTTTCTCGTCCATGAAGCTTGTGTGAAGTTTTGCGACCTGTCTGCACGAAAAATGGAAGACGTTCAGAGGCCAACACGAAACTGGAGAGACGGGGATATGCAGCAGGGAGAAAAGCAGAACTCTCACCTTTAGAATCCCTCCCTCCTTCCTTCCTTCCTTCCTTCCCTCCTCCCTCCTTCCCTCCCTTTCTTTTCCTTCAAAAAAAAAGAAGGTTTTTAAGAAGAGATTGGACAGCCACTTGTGTGAAATGGCAGTGGTGAGTTACCCCCGGTTCGGACCGGTTCGCAAGAACCGTTCGTAAAACCGGCAGGAGGCCCCGCCCACTGCCCCGGATGTCGTCATCAGCAATCTGCGCATGCAGATCCCCAAAAATGCATCCCCCAAAATGGCCTGAAAACAGCTGAAAATTGCCTGAAAACAGCTGAAAATGGCCTGAAAACAGCTTGGAAAACAGCCTGAAAAGGGCCCCAAAGTGGCCTGAAAACTGCCTGAAAACTGCCTGAAAATGGTCCAATAAAAATCCTGAAAACAGCCTGAAAATGGCCCCCCAAATGGCCTGAAAACGGCCTGAAAACCTGGCCCAATAAACAGCCTGAAAACGGCCCCCAAAATGGCCTGAAAGCAGCCCGGAAAATGGCCTGAAAATAGCCTGAAAATGGCCTGAAAACAGCCTGGAAAACAGCCTGAAAATGGCCCCCCAAATGGCCTGAGAACAGCCCAGAAAAAACTGCCTGAAAATGGCCCAATAAACAGCCTGAAAACGGCCCCCCAAATGGCCTGAAAACTGCCTGAAAATGGCCCAATAAATCGGCTGAAAATGGCCCACAAAATGGCCTGAAAACAGCCCGGAAAACGGCCTGAAAACAGGCTGAAAATGGACCCATAAATGGCCTGAAAACAGCCTGAAAATGGCCCAATAAATCGGCTGAAAATGGCCCACAAAATGGCCTGAAAACAGCCTGGAAACGGCCTGAAAACAGGCTGAAAATGGACCCATAAATGGCCTGAAAACGGGCTGAAAATGCCCCCCAAAATGGCCTGAAAACAGCCTGGAAAACAGTCTGAAAACAGCCCCCAAAATGGCCGGGGTCTTGGCCATTTTCCGTCGCTCCAGCACCTGCGAAGACCAGCTGTCAGGCGCGCCAGAAACCAGAAAAGCAGTTGGCGACAGCGCGTGTGCCCACAGAGAGGGCTCTGCGTTGCCACCTCTGGCACGCGTGCCATAGGTTTGCCATCACGGGGGTAGCGTCTCCTACTTGAGTAGTGGGTTGGGCTAGAAGACCTCTAAGGTCCCTTCTGACTCTGTTTTTTTTATTATTATTATTATTATTCTTTCCAGAGAAGGAGATGCTTTCTCCACCCTCCTTTCTGCTCTGGGCTCAGTGTTCTCTTATCAGATGGTTGTCCAGGCTACAATGCCTTCCTTCTTCCGTCTCCCAAGGTCATTCACACAAGTTAAGGCCAACAAAGGGATGCCGGATGCCAACAGATGGAAAAAGCCGGCTTGGGCGAGCACCGATTGCTGGTGTCAGGCAGACATTCACCCAGCTGTTGGGGGTGAGATTTACCATCATTTGCAATTTTCTTTTTCTAGCAGGGGGGAGGTGGGGGGCATGTCGACAGGGCCGGTCTCCCCATCGTGCTGCTCACCGGCGTGCAAGATTTGATTCCATATGTTTCTTCCCAGCTCCCTTTTAAGCACTCATCGCTAGTTTGGGCTTAAGTGGAGTGTTTAATTGCCCGAGATTTGATTAGAGGCCGTTCCTGATTAATCTTTCCCTGGTCACAGCTGGCTAATGAGGCGAAGGATTAGAATAAAGAACCAGACGGCGGGTAGAGACGGGTTGGCAAGCTGCCGTGCCCGGGGAGGAGGTTGGGTGGGGGCGGTTGGAGGAGAAGATGCTGGGGGGAACAAATGTTGACGGAGCCTATGAGATCTTCACGGGCCTTTAAAACAAGCGGATCTGTATCCTCAAAGCCATTTTCATCCTAGATCAAGAAATCCCCAACCCTGGCAGTTTGAAGAGCTGTGGACTTCAACTCCCAGAATTCCCCAGCCAGCGTGTCACCTGTCGCCTTAATAATTCAGGGTAGGGGTGACCAATCTTGGCAGCTTTAAGACCTGTGGACTTTTAGTTGGAAGGGGTCTTGTAGGTCATCCAGTCCAACCCCCCGCTCAAGCAGGGGACCCCACACCATTTCTGATGGTCTCTTGTTGAAAGCTTCCAGTGATGAAGCTCCCACAACTTCCGAAGGCAACAAGGAAGGAAGGAAGGAAGGAAGGAAGGAAGGAAGGAAAAAGGAAGGAAGGAAGGAAACAAAAAGGAAGGAAGGAAGGAAGGAAGGAACGAACAAACGAAACAAAAAGGAAGGAAGGAAGGAAGGAAGGAAACAGGAAGGAAGGAAGGAATGGAAAGAAGGAAACAAGAAGGAAGGAAGGAAAGAAGGAAACAAGAAGGAAGGAAGGAAGGAAGGAAACAGGAAGGAAGGAAGGAAACAAACAGGAAGGAAGGAAGGAAGGAAAAAGGAAGGAAGGAAGGAACGAACGAACGAACGAAACAAAAAGGAAGGAAGGAAGGAAGGAAACAAAAAGGAAGGAAGGAAGGAAGGAAGGGAAAGAAGGAAACAAGAAGGAAGGAAGGAAAGAAGGAAACAAAAAGGAAGGAAGGAAGGAAGGAAGAAGGAAGGAAGGAAACAAGAAGGAAGGAAGGAAGGGAAGGAAGGAAGGAAACAAGAAGGAAGGAAGGAAACAAAAAGGAAGGAAGGAAACAAAAAGGAAGGAAGGAAGGGAAGGAAGGAAGGAATCAAGGAAGGAAGGAAGGAAGGAAAGAAACAAAAAGGAAGGAAGGAAAGAAGGAAACAAAAAGGAAGGAAGGAAGGAAACAAAAAGGAAGGAAGGAAGGAAGGAAGGAAGGAAGGAAGGAAGGAAGGAAGGAAGGAAGGAAGGAAAAATAGCAATAGCACTTAGACTTATATACTGCTTCACAGTGCTTTACTCTAAGCGGTTTACAGAGTTAGCCTCCTGCTCCCCAACAATCTGCGTCCTCATTTTACCGATCTCAGGAGGATGGAAGGCTGAGTCAACCTTGAACCGGTCAGGATTGAACTCCTGGCTGTGGGCAGTGAGTTCGGCTACAAAGAACCATACCTGTATGATACGAAGTGAACCAAGAGGCTTCCAGACATGATCAGCAAACAGTACATCACGATCCTCAGGTTGCGTTGGTTCCTCCTCCTGAACTCGTGGTTTGCATACCACTCTGGGGGCGTTTTGTGGAATTCCTGCCAATACGCATCGTCCCAATATGGATCCCAACCTGGGTTTCTAGGAGGGGAAGGAAGAGGGAAAAGAATATCATGGATGAGAAGAAGGGGAGGGGAAAAGGACCTGGAGGTCACGGGTAGGAGGTAGACCCCCCTCCCAAAAAAATATTTTAAAAATACTTTTTTTTTTTTAACCCCAATACAGGTAAGTCCTCGACTTAAGACCCACAAGCGAGTCCAAAATTGCTCTTGCTAAGCGAGACGCTGGTTGAGTTTTGCCCCATTTTATAACCTTCCTTGCCACAGTGGTTAAACGGATCGATGCAGTTGTTTGGAGTAGGTGACAGGCAGGGGTGGGCTTCAAAAAATTTAGCAAGGGGTTCTCTGTCCGGTTGCTAGGTGGGTGTGGTCATGGTGGGCGTGGCCTAGTCGGCCTCCTGCACCACGGTGGCAGGGGGGGGGCATTTTTGCCCTCCCTGGGCTCCGGAGGCTGACTCTATTCTTTCCTTCTTAATTCTGTTCTATTCTTTCCTTCTTAATTCTATTCTTTCCTTCTTAATTTTATTCTGTTTCTATTCTATGTCTATTCTATTTCTATTGTCTCATTCTTATCTAGTCTATCCTATCATTCTTAATTCTATTCTATTCTGTATTCTATTTCTATTGTCTCATTAATTCTATTCTATTCTATTCTCTTCTACTCATTTTCTCCTATTCTATTCTATTCTATTCTATTCTATTCTATTCTATTCTATTCTCTATTCTATTCTATTCTATTCTCTCTTCTCTTCTATTCCATTCTATTCTACTCATTTTTCCTATTCTATTCTATTCTATTCTATTCTATTCTATTCTATTCTATTCTATTCTATTCTATTCTATTCTATTCTATTCTATTCCATTCTATTCTACTCTATTATTCTCTTCTCTTCTCTTCTCTTCTCTTCTCTTCTCTTCTCTTCTCTTCTCTTCTCTTCTCTCCTTTTCATTTTACAAATGAATGAGCCTTTAACCTCTATCCACTATCAAGTCCCTTTTTTTTCCAGGGCTGTTGTTGCAACTTCGAAGGGCCACTAAACGAATGGTTGTAAATCCGAGACTCCCTGCCCTGCACTTAACTCCCTGTGTTTACTTACCTTCCGGTTTCTTGAAAGTGATCGGAATTAAAAGGGTCTTCAGACGAACGCCTGCTGGAGCTTTGATGCTCCCAGGACTTCTGGTTCCTTGGCTGGCGATGGATGTGAAGATCGCCGAAGGGGTCTCGGGTCTTCTGGATGGTTTGCTGGGCATCGTAAACCCGGCGGCTTTTCTCTTTGCTCAAGGTGTTGTAGGCTTCGTTCAGCTTGACGAATTGGCTGTGCAGCTCGGGGTTAGTGGGGTTGCTGTCAGGATGGAGCTGCAAATGGAGAAAAAAAAAGGGTGGGGGGGAATCCTAAATTAGAGACCTAATTAGGTCTCTCAACCTAATGTCAGACGGATTCCTCAAAAAACAGTTTATTGGATCATCAGTCACATCGTCCAATCGAGGTGCTGCGCCGGTTGCTTGGTTACTTTGCTCCTCCTCTCCTCAGCCACTTGTGGGAATGACCTTGGTTCCCACAAGAAAAACTTTTTGCTTTGACTGCAAAACCCCAGCTAACTAATATTTCCCCCCCTCTCCCTGTCCCCTCTTCTGCCTTGTAGCGACCCTGAAGCCACAAAGACGGCCTCAGCCAGGTCTGCTTCAGGGTTGACAGCTTGGCAATGGGAAGATGGGTGGAACTTCAACTCCCAGAATTTGTCCAGGATGGTATATAAGGACTCTTGCTTGAGCGAAGGGTTGGACTAGAAGACCATGGGGGTGGGGGGGGGAAGGGGGGTGGCTGCAATGACAGGTCGTTAAGTGTGAAAAACAATTGTAAGCCCCCTTTTTAGTGCCGCGATAATTCGTCAGTGTGAAAAAACGGTCACTAAATGGACTGTTGTAAGTCGAGGACTACCTGAAAGAAGAGATTGGGCCATCGAGAATGTGAGCTGCAATGGGGGAGGAGGGGGAGGGCTTATTCTTATACAATTTGGGGATTTTTTTTTTTAAAAAAAAAACCTCTTATTTTATACTTTATAAACGTGCTTCATTTTGGACGAACAGATTGCGAAGCTCGGCTGAGTTTGCAGTAACGGCTGAATGGACTCGTTCGATTCCGGAGGGAGCTCTATTTACTTTATAAAAGACTGGAACCCTTTGTAGATGCTTTTGCCAAGGATCGATAAACGCGAACGGCTGATTAAGGGATTCATTGATTAAAGGGGTCGGTTGATAGGAAGAAAGCAACTGGGACACGCAGCATGGGAGGGTAGAAACAGCAATGGAGAAGATTGCAAGTTGCTTTTTAGATATTTTTTTAATGTGTTTTTCTTATTCTTTACTGGTTTTTTTTAACCCTTTTATAGTTTTTTTTTCTCTTTTGTTATTTCTTCTACGTTTCTGTAGTTTTAAAGTTAAGGTACCAAGCTAGAAAAAGGGAGACCGGGAATTCTAGTCCCGCCAGAGATACGAAAGCCTGATAGGTGACTTTGCGTCAATCACCAGGAGATAGTGAGTTCTAGTCCTGCCTTAGGCATGAAAGCCGATTGGGAGAATTTGCACCAATCACCAGGAGACTGTGAGTTCTAGTCTTGCCTTAGGCATGAAAGTCAGCTGGGTGAATTTGCGTCAATCACCAGGAGATAGTGAGTTCTAGTCCTGCCTTAGGCATGAAAGCCGATTGGAGAATTTGCACCAATCACCAGGAGACTGTGAGTTCTAGTCTTGCCTTAGGCATGAAAGTCAGCTGGGTGAATTTGCGTCAATCAGCAGGAGACGGGGAATTCTAGTCTTGCCTTAGGCATGAAAGTCAGCTGGGTGAATTTGCGTCAATCACCAGGAGATAGTGAGTTCTAGTCCTGCCTTAGGCATGAAAGTCAGCTGGGTGAATTTGCGTCAATCAGCAGGAGATGGGGAATTCTAGTCCTGCCTTAGGCATGAAAGCCGATTGGGAGAATTTGCACCAATCACCAGGAGACTGTGAGTTCTAGTCCCGCCCTAGACATGAAAGCCAGCTGGATGACTTTGCGTCAATCAGCAGGAGATGGGGAGTTCTAGTCCTGCCTTAGGCATGAAAGCCGATTCGGAGAATTTGCACCAATCACCAGGAGACTGTGAGTTCTAGTCCCGCCCTAGACATGAAAGCCAGCTGGATGACTTTGCGTCAATCACCAGGAGATGGGAGTTCTAATCCTGCCTTAGGCATGAAAGTCGATTGGGAGAATTTGCACCAATCACCAGGAGACTGTGAGTTCTAGTCCCGCCCTAGACATGAAAGCCAGCTGGATGACTTTGCGTCAATCACCAGGAGATGGGGAGTTCTAATCCTGCCTTAGGCATGAAAGTCGATTGGGAGAATTTGCACCAATCACCAGGAGACTGTGAGTTCTAGTCCCGCCCTAGACATGAAAGCCAGCTGGATGACTTTGCGTCAATCACCAGGAGATGGGGAGTTCTAATCCTGCCTTAGGCATGAAAGTCGATTGGGAGAATTTGCACCAATCACCAGGAGACTGTGAGTTCTAGTCCCGCCCTAGACATGAAAGCCAGCTGGATGACTTTGCGTCAATCACCAGGAGATGGGAGTTCTAATCCTGCCTTAGGCATGAAAGCCGATTGGGAGAATTTGCACCAATCACCAGGAGACTGTGAGTTCTAGTCCCGCCCTAGACATGAAAGCCAGCTGGATGACTTTGCGTCAATCACCAGGAGATGGGGAGTTCTAGTCCTGCCTTAGGCATGAAAGCCGATTGGGAGAATTTGCACCAATCACCAGGAGACTGTGAGTTCTAGTCCCGCCCTAGACATGAAAGCCAGCTGGATGACTTTGCGTCAATCACCAGGAGATGGGGAGTTCTAATCCTGCCTTAGGCATGAAAGTCGATTGGGAGAATTTGCACCAATCACCAGGAGACTGTGAGTTCTAGTCCCGCCCTAGACATGAAAGCCAGCTGGATGACTTTGCGTCAATCACCAGGAGATAGGGAGTTCTAATCCTGCCTTAGGCATGAAAGTCGATTGGGAGAATTTGCACCAATCACCAGGAGACTGTGAGTTCTAGTCCCGCCCTAGACATGAAAGCCAGCTGGATGACTTTGCGTCAATCACCAGGAGATGGGGAGTTCTAATCCTGCCTTAGGCATGAAAGCCGATTGGGAGAATTTGCACCAATCACCAGGAGACTGTGAGTTCTAGTCCCGCCCTAGACATGAAAGCCAGCTGGATGACTTTGCGTCAATCACCAGGAGATGGGGAGTTCTAATCCTGCCTTAGGCATGAAAGCCGATTGGGATTTGCACCAATCACCAGGAGACTGTGAGTTCTAGTCCCGCCCTAGACATGAAAGCCAGCTGGATGACTTTGCGTCAATCACCAGGAGATGGGGAGTTCTAATCCTGCCTTAGGCATGAAAGCCGATTGGGAGAATTTGCACCAATCACCAGGAGACTGTGAGTTCTAGTCCCACCTTAGACATGAAAGCCAGCTGGGTGACATTGGCCCAGTTCCTCTCTCTCTCAACCCAACCAATCTCCAAGGTTGTTGTCGCTGGGAAAAGAGGAGGAGACGGGTGTGCTTGGATATGTTCACTGCCTTAAGTTATTTGAAGAAATACTATACCAGGTAAACGAACCATAGAGGCGCACTGACAGAACCTGCTAAACTAAACAAGTGAAAATGGAATCAACTTAATGTGCTTAATATGATCCCAGCAACGTGGTGAGTTTATGATTCAGTCTACTGTGCAAAAAGCACAATTGTGCGAACCCAGTCGTTCTGCCGGGCTTGTCATTCAGCGTTCCTGTGCCAAGCGTGTTTTGTGAACCCGGCAGCTGTGGCGAGTTTGCGATGCAGTGTATATTGTGGAAGCGGAGAAAAAAAAAGAGGATAAAACAGACAAAACGGTCCTTTGTGTCCTATGCAGACGCTAACACTGTGAGCTTGTTTCCCCGAGCTGTGCTACTGCATCGAGGCAGTGTGAAACTCACGGAACAGCCCCGTCGATTGTGCAATAGTTTTTAGCTCGTCCTTCCCCAGTGCCAACATTGTGCCTGACCCGAGAGAGAAATAATTCAGAATACGGGCAAGAGAGGGGACCTGAGGGGAACTAACTGTGGGCCTCTCCTTGATACTCTGGAATTAAAAATCAAATCGGAGAAGTGTGGAAGAGGAGGAGGAGAAGAGGAGAAGGAGGAGGATGGGAGGAGGAGGTGAGAAGAGAAGATGGAGAAGAGGAGAGGAGAAGGAGGAGGATTGGAGGAGGAAGCGAGAAGAGAAGATGGAGAAGAAGAGGAGGAGGAGGAGAGGAGAAAGAGAAGTATGGGTGGAGGAGGTGAGAAGAGATGATGCAGAAGAATAGGAGGAGGAGAGGAGAAGGCGAAGGATGGGAGGAGGAGATGAGAAGAGAAGATGGAGAAGAGGAGGAGGAGGAGAGGAAAAAGAGAAGGATGGGAGGAGGAGGCGAGAAGATGGAGAAGAAGAGGAGGAGGAGAAGAGGAGGAAGATGGGAGGAGGAGGAGAAGAGGAGGAAGATGGGAGGAGGAGGAGGCGAGAAGAGGAGGAGGAGGAGGAGAGGAGGAAGAGAACAGAAAAAGAAGAGGAGAAGAGAAGACGAGGAGGAGAAGGGGAAGAAGAAGGGAAGAGAAAAAAAAAGACATATTTACAAAGTGACTGGAGAAGTTTCATCACCAACCGTCTGGTCCAGTTTATTGCCTAAGAAACGATGCTTGATGAACTCAAAATCTTTCTCCAAAGGGGCCAAAAGAGAGATTTGAGTGGGCAGACCTCCAAGGATGGGGGGTGGGTGGGTGGGTGGGAGGGCAAGGAAGCAGGGGAGAAGCTTGCTAAAGGCTGCCAACTCTTCTCGGGGAAGGCCTGGTGGCCCTTGGAGACCAGTGAATAAGCACCAAGAAATAGTGGCAAAGGTTTTGCTAGAAGAGATTCAACAAAAGGCCACGAGGAGCAAAAGCGCTTTATTCCGCCAAGCAACACCCATTGGTGCAGAGGTCAGCTTATTTTTTATTATTATTAAATTGATAAGCCAGCCATCTCACCCTTCGGGAGATGCTAGGCACCTTAGGTAAAGGTTCCCCTCGCACATATCTGCTAGTCGTTCCTGACTCTAGGGGGCGCTGCTCATCTCCGTTTCAAAGCCGAAGAGCCAGCGCTGTCCGAAGACGTCTCCGTGGTCATGTGGCCGGCAGGACTCAACGCCAAAGGCGCACGGAAAACGCTGTTCCCTTCCCACCACAGATAATCCCTCTTTTTCTACTGGCATTTTTTTTTACCTGCTTTCGAACTGCTAGGTTGGCAGAAGCCGGGACAAATCACGGGAGCTCACCCCGTTACGCGACAGCACTAGGGATTCGAACCGCTGAACGGCCGACCCTTTTGATCGACAAGCTCAGCGTCTTTGCCACTGAGCCGCCGCGTCCCCTTAGGCACCTTACCACAAGGTAAAAAAAAAAAAACCAACTATATAAAACAAAATATTAAGATAGTAAACCGTAGTATAAGATAAGAAATTTTGAGAGAGAACAGTGAGAACAATTCATTCAAGAGATTGGCATTTGTCCCGAATAGTATAGGGTTTCCTGCTTAAGGGGGTTGGACTAGAAGACCTCCAAAGGTCCCTTCCAGCTGTATTCTGATTGATTGATCTGATGGATGAATTGACAGGGATACAGCGGAACTGCTTGCCTCTAGAAATTGTGGATGCTCCATCACTGGAGGTTTTCAAGAAGAGGCTGGACAACCATTGGACCGAAGTTGTATAAGGGCTCCTGCTTGAACAGAGGGTTGCACTAGAAGACCTCTGAGGTCCCTTCCAGCTGTGCTATATGTTCAAACCAACCAATGCCTACAAGCCCAGATAGAGCTTCCTCTAGGGAAGTCCACGGGGGTATTTGTGGTTCAAGGCTGCCCTCTTCAGGAAAAAGCCAAAAATTTGCAAACTGGCTTTCACAGACTGGCTTTAACTAGGTTTTAAACTAGTTTAACAACGTTTCGAGTTCTAGCCGACGGCCCCTTGTTTTAACCCTGGACGTCAAATCTGAGCTTTTGAAAGAACCCGAGAAGGTTTGAGGGACACATTTGACTCTGCATCGTACATCTGACATTTTCAACACAGAAGGAAAGCAGAAAGCGGGAAAAATGCTGATCAGCTTTCGCACCCGTGCCCGGATATTTTGACACCATTATGGCCATAAATCAAGGACTACTTTATACCAGCTTCTGTTAATCTGGTCCTTTGGCCTTTAACTGGCTTCCAAACTAGGTAAAAAGATAAAGGTTCCCCTCGCACATATGTGCTAGTCGTTCCCAACTCTAGGGGGCGGTGCTCATCTCCGTTTCAAAGCCGGAGAGCCAGCGCTGTCCGAAGACGTCTCCGTGGTCATGTGGCCGCGTGACTCAACGCCAAAGGCGCACGGAAAACGCTGTTCCCTTCCCACCAAAGGTGGTCCCTATTTTTCTACTTGCATTTTTTACCTGCTTTCGAACTGCTAGGTTGGCAGAAGCTGAGACAGGTAACAGGGGCTCACCCCATTACACGGCAGTACTAGGGATTCGAACCGCTGAACTGACAGCCTTTCGATCGACAAGCTCAGCGTCTTAGCCGCCGAGCCACCGCGTCCCTTCAAAACTATCTTGTATTTATTAATTCATGTATTATGAATTTTGGCTTTCCGTTAACTCCCATCAAATGGGCCCGGGGTTATTTTTAAAACACCAATTTGATCAATACTGTCCCCAATGTAAACCTATCAAGCCAACCAACGCACGACAATAAAACCGTATAGAATCTTATCCCATGGGCATCCTGCATAAATAATATAGAGTCCTTTTAAAAGGTTGCTCAACTTTCCTTTGAAAGCAGCCGGAGAGGCAAAAAAGAAAAAAAATGTACGTTGTGCATTGTGCAAAGTCTGCTTTTGAGACCGCCTTAAATAGGTCACAACCAAACTTATCCCAGTGTTCCAAAGGAGGGCCCTCTTCCTTCCCTGCCTCCACCGCACCCCAAAATGGAAGCTTACCTGTTTTGATTTCTTAAAAAAGGCTTGCTTGATCTCCTTCGAAGTAGCATCCTGTTTGATCCCCAGAACTTCGTAGTGGCTAATATGCCTAGCTGAAGACCTAGAAAAACGACACAGTTACTCTGCTGAAGATGACAGCGTAGAAATGTTAGAGAAGGTCAATCTGGGCTTATTTCAAACAGGGTTTGAACCAAAATCAATTGTGATGTTGAAAAGTCTAGGAAGGTGGGGCCTTTACCTATTGTTGTATGGCTGTGGTATTATTATTATTATTATTATTATTATTATTATTATTATTATTATTATCCTTCTTTTCTTCTTTACTACCCTCTCTTATTGGTATTATTACTATAACTGATTATTACTACTTGCTACTTTGCATGTACACTCAGAGCTTGGTGCACCGGAGACAAATTCCTTGTGTCTCTTTGGCAGTTCGATTCTCACCAGGCTCAAGGCTGACTCAGCTTTCCGTCCTTCCGAGGTGGGTAAAATGAGGAGCCGGATTGTTGCGGGCAAGAGGCTGACTCTGTAAACCGCTTCGAGAGTCCCGTAAAGCACTGTGAAGCGGTATATAAGTCTAAATGCTATTGCTATTGCTAGTCCCTCTGACTTGAACATACAATCTTAACACTGCAATGGTTTTAAGTGTGAGAACTGGCTGTAAAAGTCACTTTTTTTCAGTACCGTTTTAACTTCAAACAATCATTACGCCGTGCTGGCACAGTGGTTAGAATGCAGTATTGCAGGCTAACTCTGCCCACTGCCAGCAGTTCAATCCTGACCGGCTAAAGGTTGACTCAGCCTTCTGTTCTGTAAGTAAAATGAGGACCCAGATTGTTGGAGGCAAAAGGCTGAATCTGTAAACTGTTTAGAGAGGGCTGTAAAGGACTGTGAAGCGATATATAAGTGCTATTAAATGAGAGGTTTGTAAGTCGAGAACTACCTATATAGAAAAGATTTACAGATCAGTACTTACACCTATTACAAGTACATTGTTTTTATTACTAGATTTTTATCACACATACACATACACACATATATAAATCATGTTTCCCTGAAAAGAAGACCCTGTCTTATATTTTTTGAATCCCGAAATAAGCGCTTGGCTTTATTTTCAGGGAGGTCTTATTATTTGGGGGCGCATGGAGCAAGACGGGGCTCCTCTTGCCGTCTTACCTGATTTCCAGCTCTGTCTCCCTAATCAGAGGAAATGGAGGGGACTGGCTGCACATGTAGTTAAATATTTTCGGGGAGGGCTTATTTGGGGGGGGGGCTTATTTTCGGGGAGGGCTTATTATCCGGGGAGGTCTTATTTTCCGGAAAATACAGTGTGTGTATCTATATCTATATCTATCTATAATTTATATTTCGCTGATAAAGAAATAAAGGGACACTAGTATAGATCTATTTCAAGCTATTTAGCTCTCATCAGTTAGCAATACCCTTACTTGGATTCGAACTTGGGCTGCCTGTATGTTAGGCAGTTGTATTAACCTCTGAGCCACAAGTTCTCCTCTCTTCATCATCTTGAGCCAAGGGAGAGATTAAGTGTTTTTCTATCGAGACACCTGGTCTACCCCAGCATGTGGGAGGGAGCATATTGCATCCCTTTCGCCTTTCAGCTCCAATCCAGGAGCCCTCAAGCAGTTGCATTCACGACAAACCATTTTATACCAAATTTATATTTTGCTGATAAAGAAATAAAGGGAGACTTGTATAGATCTATTTCAAGCTATTTAGCTCTCATCAGTTAGCCATACCCTTACTTGAATGCGACTGCTTGAGGGCTCCTGAATTGGAGCTGAGGTATACCAGGTGCCTTGATAGAAAAACACTTTATATATATGTGTGTGTGATAAGATAAAAATCTAGTAATAAAACTAATGTGTACTTGTAATAAGTGTAAGTGCTGATCTGTAAACCTCTTTTTGTAATCTCCACTTGTAATCAGTCTCACGTTACTGGCATCTGCGTAACCAACCTCTTCACTGCCTTTCCCCCACTTCCCCTCAATTTAAACCTATCACTTGAGCCACTTCACTACCTCTGACGAAGTAGTTTACCAAAGCTTATACCTTTCAATATAATTTGTGTGTCGGAAAAGGTGCTTCCCCCCCCTCCCCCTCCAGAGTCTTATCAGTTCAAAGTGCCTGAATTCATTGCAAGAAAAAGACTCACCAGGAGTAGATTGCGGAAGTAAAAGCCCGATGTCGGGAATTTTGACAACGTTGGCAACAGCGACAAAGGAAACACAGATTAGTCAAGGCCATTTCTTGAACCCCCTTCTCCTGTTCTCATCCTGTCAAATGGAATGAGGAAAGACAGAGGGAGTCATTACAATGTAAGCAACTGGTCAAAGTTTATATATTTACAGCGCTTGTGGTTTTTGAGGGGGGTGGGCGTCTGTATAGTACAAAGGTAGTCCTCGCAATTGCAAAGGAGCCCCAATTTTCTGTCAACTAAGCGAGACGGTCGATAAGCTTTGCCCCATTTTATGGCTTTCCTTGCTACAGCTGTTGCCATTATTAAGTTGTTAAGTGAATCTTTGCTTGCAGAAGGTCGCAAAAAGGGGGATGGCGTGATTCCGGGACACTGCAGCCGTCGTAAGTATGAGTCAGTTGGTTAGCGTCTGGATTTTGATCAAGTGACCATGGGGATGCTGCAAAGGTCGTAAAGTGTGAAAAACGGTCGTAAAGTGTGAAAAAAGGTCGTAAAGTGTGAAAAATGGTTGTAGAGTGTGGAAAAACGGTCGTTAAAGTGTGAAAAAACGGTCGTAAAGTGTGAAAAATGGTTGTAGAGTGTGGAAAAACGGTCGTAAAGTGTGAAAAACGGTCGTAAAAGTGTGAAAAATGGTCATAAAGTGTGAAAAAATGGTTATAGGTCATTTTTTTTCGGTGTTGTGACTTTGAACAGTCACTAAATGAATGGCTGTAAGTCGAGGACTTCCTCTAAAAAGGATACAAACAAGGACCCAGCTAAAGGAAGAAAGGCTCAAATTGCAAATTTTCTTAGCCATCAAAGCAAAATCGAGGGCACAATTTGTCCCCTTTGCAATTTGTGGTGCATTAAAGATGGATGAGTTTTTAGAGGACGAACTGAGTGACCTTTTTTTGACGGCAATAAACCTAGAGCCAATAAATAATTGGGATGGCAGTCAGCCGGGTGACTACAACTCCCATCGCTCGGCTGAAGAATCCTCCTTAAATGGGATATAAAAACATTAAGGGTTAACCATCGGAGGGGCGGAACCTTAAGAAGCCTGGCTGCTATTTCCGGGGGGGAAGAAATTATAGGAAGGACCCTTACGGCAGAAAGCCACCTTGGGAACCCGGAAGTGCAGCGGAAGGAACGTTCCAAAACAATCCGAAGAGAAAACCGGAGAAACGGGTCAAGGGACGTTTTGATATCCGCTCGTCCTTTAAAAAAACAAAAACAAACAAACCCCAAACTGCAGCCATTCCCAACTGCCGGAGCAAACGCGGGAAGGTGACTGAGGTGGAGAGGGGGGCAGAAAAGAGGGACGGGCAATGAGGGGGGGGAAACACGGCGGTTACCATAGAAACTCACCAACGGGTGCGTCGACTTCGGCGGCCATTTTGTTCTCCCTGCCGCGAGTTCCGAAGGGAGGGAGAGAGGGAAGGAGCGACATCCGGGTACTCTCGAAGGATTCCCGCTCTTGCCTCCAAAGGGGCTGGGCCTACAAGTCCCAGAATTCTTTGCTTCTGGGGGGTGTGGGGGCGTAGATGTATCAGGTTGGGATGGAGGGACAATTATTATTATTATTATCATTATTATCATTATTATCATTATTATCATTATCATTATCATTATTATTATCTTTTTCTGAAGTTCTGATTAGGACCTTAGATACCAAAAAACAGGTGTATGTTTCCCTCATGGTTTGGTGAAAAGGTGGAGTTATGCACCCAAATACATCATACAGGGTGTTCAATGAAAAGCTAGACTGGGTTTTTTTTCTTGACCTTAGCAAGAATTCCCAGAATTCCCCAGCTGGCATGCTTTAAAAGGTATGGAATACAACTCCCAGAATTCCCCACATGGCATGCTTTAAAAGGTGGGGACTACAAGTCCCAGAATTCCCCAGCTGGCATGTTTTAAAAGGTGTGGACTACAAGTCCTTAGAATTCCCCAGGTGGCATGCTTTAAAAGGTTGGACTACAAGTCCTAGAATTCCCCAGCTGGCATGCTTTATACGGGTTGTGGACTATAAGTCCCAGAATTCCCCAGTTAAGCGTGCTTTAAGAATGTGTAGACTACAACTCCCAGAATTCCCCAGCTGGCATGCTTTAAAAGATGTGGACTACAAGTCCTAGAATTCCCCAGCTGGCATGTTTAAAAGGTGTGGACTACAAGTCCTAGAATTCCCCCAGCTGCATGCTTTACGGGTTGTGGACTATAAGTCCCAGAATTCCCCAGTTAGTGTGCTTTAAGAGGTGTGGACTACAACTCTCAGAATTCCCCAGCCAGAAGTCCACACATCTGAAAGGTTGAGAAATACCTAAAGCACGTTAAAAATTTTAAAATGTAGGTTATGTTTAAGTGAAACAGCCCAGCAATGTTCTGAGACGTAGTGGTCTCGGGACCCTTTTATATTCTTAAAAATGATGGAGCCCCTCCCAAAGAGCTTACATTTATATATACATATCAGTTCAGTTGATCAGTTTTTGCTGAGACATTTAAAAATATTTATTTATTTGACTTCATGGAACCCCTGAAAAGGTCTTGGGGTCACCTTGAGAATTACTGCATTAGACCATGTCAAGTTTTATACCTGCCTATATATCCACAAACCTATTTGTATGCATATAAATTGTATTTCAGGTGAAAGGTAGACCAAGTCTAGTTTAATATACAACCACATTCACACACATATTTTATATATTTTGATGTAATAGGCAAAAAAACTAAACAATGTCACATTTATGCACAATACACATACACGGTGAAATGCTAAACGATGAGATTTTACAGATGCACGCAAACATACCCATTTTAGATGAAAGATCAAATTTACACACACACACAACGTATGCTAGATTTAAATTGTCAGGTATTTTATATGTTTATCTACGGAAGGGTATATGTGTGTGCCCGTGTACATGCTTAGCTCCTTTTCTTGCCTGCTTACAGATCCGAAAAGCCTGCGTGATTTTCGAATAAGCCCAAATGATCCTGACGTCATGGGTGTAGGTCAAACTTTAAAGCAGAAGATTGGGGGGGCCAAGCGACAATGGGCAGCCGGGGGTCTATCAAATGCACAATTGTCCCCTTCCTCCAGACACTGAGGGGGGTCTCCCTTTTTAACAACAGCCAAAGATGCCCGAAGCCAAGTCCCGACTCGACTTGAATTGAGCCCCAGTGAATGAATCTTCGCTTTATGCAAAAGGGGTTTCCCCCCCACACACACAAAAAACTAAATTGAAAGATGCCAATTCGAAAGGTTGAAAGGCGAGGGAACAGCTGGCTGTGGGATCTCTTGCCAGGCGTGTGGGTCTTGATTTGAGAAAGATATTACAGATGCTTTTGTAAAGTTGCTGGGCAAAAGGGCTCATATTTGCTCAGCTGTGAAATATATGGGAAGGGTGCCAGCAGCCTTCCAGTGAAAATGTGCCAGGGACCCCAACCAACAAAACACACTTTTGTCATAGGTGCGACAGTGACGTCTATCTTTCACTGAATGGACTTTCTATTTTATTTTATTTCATTTTTGAATGGGTTGTGGTGGTGAGGGGGTTTCCTCTTACAAAGGGCCCAGTCAGGACAGTTTAGGAAAAACGGTGTCAAAAGGGAAGTATGTTGTTGCCAAAGAGAAATGCCAATTTTTTCCATGGTATGAAAGAGAGGCAAAAGATTAAAAAAACCGCCGCGGAAATTGATGCTTCATGCTCCAGGCTCCAAGCTGAGAATGGTCTTAGATCAGGGGTTACCAACTTTTGCAGGATTTTGAACCCTGGAAATGAGAAATCAGTTTGTTTAAAAAAAACAAAAAACCCCCCACAAAATTACTTTATTGGCATCAGGATTGGTCAAGAAATAACCACACTATTGACTTTTAAGGATTCCATTTTAATCCATATAACACAGATGTTCTCAAATGTTTTGGTCTTCCAGTGATCCATAGTGGCTTTGCGCAGGTAACGTGAGGAATGGACTTTAAGAGCCTTGGCAATTTTTTAAAGCAGAATTAAATCCTGCTTCGGTTTTATCTGGCTGAGTTCACAGCTGGTTTAAAGAGATAAAACAGAGAGCAAAAACAGAAGGTGTTTTCACCAGCTCTCGCCCTTTGCCTGTGCAAACCCAATTCAGTTTGTTTTTTAAATTTATTGTAACCCAATAAAGGAGAATATTTGTAGCTCAGGGTTGAAATGAGGACCCCTTGGTATTCGCTGAGCTTGGTTGTTTTCTTGCATAACCCATACTTGGTAATATCATCTGTGCTAGAAGGAGCATCTGGAGCAAACCCCTCTCCCTTCTAGCACTGATGATGTAACCTAGTTGGGTAACAAAACGTCTTCAAGAAAACCACCAAGCTCAGAGAGCACCAAGAACCCCTCAAATTGTTACCCCTCTCCAAGTTGACCTTTACATCTGTCTGTCTTGTTTGTCTGTCTGACAACCCTTCCATAGCATCTGATTTTGACATTTTGTATGAAAAGTCGCACTCTTAAATCAGGGCTGTTTCTGTTAAGTCATAGGACTTTGGTGAATGCCCAGCCGTGCCAACCTTTGGAGCCGATCCGTTGTGGACTCATCCTGCAAATGGTCATATAAAGAACTGATAATTGAAGATACAAAGCTTTCTCTGATTGTTTTTGCAAGACGGATACGCCACAACGTGAGGATTTTCCTAATACTTAATAATTCATTATACATAGTATCTGGGTTGAGCATAGATAGTAAGTCAAAATCCCCAATCTTGTTGTGGCCCGCCAGCAGTTAGCAGAACTGACAGCAGATTCGGACAGTGAGGAGGTTGGGGAGGTACCTTTCTTCCTTCCTTCCTTCCTTCCTTCCTTCCTTCCTTCCTTCTTGTTTTCTTCCTTCTTTCCTTTCCTTCCCCTTCCTTCCTTCCTTCCTTCCTTCCTTCCCAGTGGGGGCAAGAGGCTGACTCTGTAAACCGCTAAGAGAGGGATGCAAAGCACTGTGAAGCGGTATAGAAGTCTAAGTGCTATTGCTATTTAAAAACAAAACCACAAAAATAAGCAGGAGAAACAAGGGGTGATAGAAGTTGGTCAGCCTGGTTTGGACTTCAGTCTACCAGGGTCTCTTTTTCCTTCCTCCAGTTCATATAAGCCCCCGCCCTCAAATCTTCCCATTGAGATTAACATGAATTAGTGCCCATTACAAATCAGATTATACGCATCCCGTGTTCGTGCGTGTGGAAATCTCTCTTGAATGGGGCTATTGCCAGAGAGGCATATCAGGTGAGAAAAACAACAACCCACGTGCATTTTCACACCTAAAAAAATAGTCATAATCCCTTCTTAACTCCTGCATTTTAGGATTCTTGGCATTCGTTGCTAGGCCGCCTCAATTTTAAGACCTCTTAATCTTGGAAGTCGTCCTCTTGAATCAGCAATGCAAGGGGGGAATTTAAGAAGAGTGATATTTAGATATTTAGTGCTCCTTGCAATTCTGGGAGTTGACATCCCTGCATCTTAAAGCTGTCAAGATTGAAAAAACACTGCTCAGTTTCTTCCGAAGGAGCCTAGTTTTCCCTTCCCGTCCCTTCCCGGTTTGCAGTAGAGGTAGTTCTCGACTTACAACGGTTCATTCAGCGACCGTTGGAAGTTACAACTGTGTTTCTGACTTTAATAACTACAGTAATTCACGTAACAGCTGTGGCAAGGAAAAAAGTGACTTACGACCATTTTTCACCCTTATGACTGTCGTGGCATTTGATCTGAATCAAAATTCAGATGCTGGGCAACCGGTTCATACTTAGGATGGTTGCATGCAATCCCCTTTCGCGACCTTCTAACAAGCAAAGTCAGCGGGGGGAGCCAGATTCACTTAAACAACTTAACAACCGAAGTGATTCATTTCACAAATGTGTCAAGACAGGTCGTAAAACGGGGCAAAAACCCACTTCACAAATGTCTCGCTTAGCCGCAGAGGTTTTGGGCTAAAAGGGGGGAAAAAAAGGAGAGGAATATTTATAGTATCATACAGAGCATAGAAAGGGAAAAAATATTTCATATTTCACATTATTTCATATGTGCTGCAATTAATAAAGCAGGACGAAAATTCCTCTAGGATTTTGCTGCAAAGAATCCCTTTCTTAATTGCTTTGGGCATTTTCATCCGTCTTCTTTTTAGCAGCGTGGGGCCTTCCCGGTTCAAATCCCAAATAAATGTTTTTTTTATTTTAAATTTTATTTTTTAAACAAACATAAAAAACATCAATCCATCATCAATCCCAAATACAGGCAGTGTGTCGGTTGGTTACAAATCTTTTGTGCATCTTCACCATATTCATAGCTTTATTATTTATCTAACTTTTTTACATATACATATCTATACAGTATTATTCTTATTAATCATTTATATTAACCATAACTTGTTTCTTCCCACATTTCATACAAATTATTTTCCAATTTAAATTAATTTTATATTGTAACATTCATTTCATCATCCTAGACCAGTCCAATAATAATACATCTTTATATTATATTTTATATAAATGTTTTCAGCACCTTTTCTATGCTCTCTTTAAATGGTGACATAACGTTGTCTTCCCCAGCTGTCTGGCTTCCGACTGCAGGTAGTCCTGGTTTTACGGCGCTTCATTTAGTGACCGTTCAAAGTCACAATGGCGCTGAAAAATGGGACTTACGACCGTTTTTCGCCCTTAAGACCGTCGCAGCATCCCCATGCTCAAAACGGAGACCTTTGGCAACTGATTCACATTTATGACGGCTGCAGAGCCCCTTTTGCGGCCTCACTCTGTTGCTAAGTGAGACATTGCTTAAGACATTGGACATTTTTTTCTTATCACAGTTGTTAAGTGAATCACAGCAGGGGTTACGCTCACGGTTGTTAAGCGAGTCTGCTTCTGCATTGCCCTTTGCTTAGGGATGACATGACCCGGGGACACTGCAACGGTCATAAATATGAGTCAGTTGCCAAGCATCTAATTATTATTTTTTTTTAAGTTAAAAAAAAATATATCTAAATTTTGATCATGCGACCATGGGGTTGCCACCAACGGTCGTTAAGTGTGAAAAACGATCAAGTCGCTTTTTTCAGTGCTGTCGCAACTTCGAACGGTCACTAAATGAACCTGTTGTAAGTCGAGGACTACGGTTACAGCTACGATGACGCCAGACTGTATTTTTTGGGGGGAGAATGAGCATTTATTTTAAAAAAAGATTTTAAACCTTTTTAAAAAATCTCGGGGGGTGGGGGGAAATATTAAAAAAGGATGAGTTATTCCACGAGCAATTCTTCAGCAGCAAAGCTGCAGTGAGGCGGATTTCTTTCCTCCCTCTGCAGAAAATGATTGCGATTAAACCGCAAGGATGGCATTCTGGGTTTGTCGGAGCAGCGAAGGGGCCCCTCTTTCGCGCCGTAATTAAATTGAGGTTTTATAATCTCATCCATCTCCGCTCGAGGGCTTGACGTCCTGTCTGGATTTACAGCCTCTGCCATCGGGTCCAAAAAAGCTTAATATCAGACAGGGCGAGCGGAGGTGGTAGACGGAATGAAGAATTAGCATGAAGTCTCTGGTTTATTTATTTATTTATTTATTTATTTATTTATTTGTCCTCCCTGTCAAATGTTCCTGCTATTTTCCCCCCTTCCCAAAAATTGTCTTTTTTTTTTTTTCTTCTCACGTTCCAGCTGAGCGTTGCCAACTTCTTTCCAGCTCTACAGCTCATCCTTTAAACTGCAGATATACCCAGCCCTAACCTTGGTAAAATAAAAAAATAAGATTATTCTGTTGCGATTCAGCTGCCAGATTTTCAAATCCTTGATCTGCCGAAGACTTTGCGTCTAACACAGGGGTCTGCAATCTTAAACACTCAAAAGAGCCATTTGGACCCGTTTCCCACAGAAAAGAAAACACCGGGAGCCACAAAACCCTTCCCGTGCCTGACTATTTCCTGAACGGCCACCAAACTAGCACATGTAGTTGAATTAAACATTCTGTTTTCTTCTGAAACTTCTCTTTTCTTGGATTTATCCATAATTGGCCTACTGGGGGTTGAAAAGCTCAATAAATCGCGTGCCAGCGGGTATCGCACATTGGCAGTTGTGATGCATATTTTAAGTGACAGGGAGCCACAGCAGAGGGGTGAAAGAGCCACATGCGGCTCCAGAGCTGCAGGTTGCTGACCCCTGATCTAACACAACTGATATAGAAGTCCTCCCTTGTTCTTTTACGTCTCTCCACCCCAATCGGAGAGAAGCAGACCGAGATTTAATTTATTTTTTTTAACAGTCAGCAGCTCTGATCTATATTTCTCCCTCTCCTAAACCTCTTCTTTGTGTTTTTCTTCTTCACATCAAACCCCATCCATGTGGCCCTTTCGGGATGCACAAAATCTGAAAATATATATATATATATATATATATCGCTCCGGCTTTGTGTCAGTTCTCCCTGGTGGGGGAAATTGCAACGCCAGGGCATCTGAACACAATGCGCTCTGGCCAGCCATGACGATGACTGCAATTTAACCGTGGATAGTTTGACAGGATGGGTATCCTCATGAGCAAAAGATGGAGTCTGTGTGCTTCAAACAAGGAGGCTAAATTCACGCTTGTTTGGGTAGCACATTTGCACGCTTGTTCGGGAGGAGCATATTTGCATACCCGCGGCTGCTAGGTTGATCTAGGGGGGGGAAAAATCCCATCAACCCAGTCAGGGTTGATCTCCTCTAGGACCGACCGGTTGGATGGCCTTGCAGTCCAAGGGACTCGCGGGAGTCTTCTCCAGCACCAGAGTTCAAAGGCCTCCATTCTTTGGCCTTCTCAGCCTTCCTTATGGCCCAACTTTCACAGCCATCCATTGCAACTGGGAAAACCAGAGCCTTGACTATGCGCACTTTTGTTGGCAGGGTGATGTCTCTGCTTTTTAAGTAAGCTATCTAGATTTGCCATAGCTTTCCTCCCCAGGAGCAAGCATCTCTTAATTTCTTGGCTGCAGTCCCCATCTGCGGCGATCTCAGAGCCTCCGATACTCTTTGTAGTAATTCCATTACAAATTGGTAGTTTTGGGAAGCTGAAGAGTGATAAGCTGAAGTGTCTGGCTGGGGAATTCTGGGAGTTGAAGTCCACAGTTTTTAAAGTTGCTAAGTTTGAAAAAACGTTGCTGTAGATACATATTGGGAAACTGGACATTTTCACCTTTCACCTTTTTTCAGGTGAACCAAGCAGACAGAGGATGGACCCAGATATCTCCTTACTGTTCAAGTGCCCGGCTTTTGGGGGTATCCCCGAGTCTCACGTCCGAGTAGAACTTTCCCCCCTCTACGACCGGAACTCGCTGCCCACAGATCAGGTCCAAATCGACAGCGTCTGGGCATCCCGTTGCCGGCAGAACCCGTGGCTTTTCGACGGGGCCAAATTTCGCCTCCACTCCGTCAAGCTGGATGGGAGCATTTTGACTTTCCACCTGGGGCTTACCAGCTATAAGGACTTCGTGGGTACCAACTTGGCAGAGACAGCCAGGCAGCTCCGGGAACAGGGGCACAAGGATTTTGGGAACAGCCAAGCCTACCTCGCCGAACCCCTGGGTGTGGGCGCCATGCTGCACACAGCAGACGACAATTTTGTCTTCCTGCGACGCAGCCTGTGTGTGGGAGAAGCCCCAGGAAAGATCGATGTACCTGGAGGACATCCGGAGCCTCAGGTGGGTGTCTTTAATCCGGTTTGGGGCAGTGGGGGAATTCCACCAATCTTATAAATACTGGCAGATAGTCCTTGAATTACGACCACCATGGAGGCCAGAATTTTGGTCGTCAGTTGTCGTAACTGAGGCACCACGTGGCCTGATTAAATTTGACAGCCCTTTTTTTCATATAAAGCAAGTCAGGACGGTCGTTCAGGGGATCATGTCATTGTTAAGCAAACCACCTGGTCGTTAAATGAATCCAGCATACCCAATGGACTTTTTTTCTGCTGGAAAACAGCAGAAAAGTCATGAATTATGACCGCAGGATACCATAAATGTTGCCAAGTGTGTGACATGGGATCACATGACTGCGGGGTGCTGTGCGTGTGCAGGAATCATAACTTAGACGACAGGTGATAACATAACTTTTTTAAAGTCCATCATAACTCAGAATGGTTCTTAAGCGACCAGTCGTAAGTCAAGAACTCCCTGTATTATACATCCGCCGACGACCACAATTGAGCCCAAAATTTCCATTGTTAAGGGAGACATGGGTTAGACGGGTTTTACCCCATTTTACGACCTTTCTTGCCACAGTTGGTAAGCGAATCACTGCAGTTGATAAATGAGTAACCCGGTTGTTAAGTGAATCTGGCTTCCCCATTGACTTTGCTTGTCAGAAGGTTGCAAAAGCTGATCTCATGACGCATACGGTCATAAGTATGAGCCAGTTGCCAAGCCTCTGATCATGGGGATGCTGCAAAGGTCGTAAGTGTGGAAAAATGGTCCTTTTTTCAGTGCCGTTGTAACTTTGAAAGGTCGCTAAATGAACTGTTGTAAGTCGAGAACTCCCTATGTCTCCTTACCCCCTATTAAGATACACTGGGATGTAATTCTTTTGGAAAATTACAGAAGCTCTGCGTGACCTTCTCTCCAATTTATTGACATGGCTGATGGATCCTGTTTGTAGCTCTTACTGCTCCTCTTGAGTAGGCCTACGTCAGGGTATGAAGAGTTAATAGTTGTAAGCTGCTGAGAAGTTGTAAGCTGAGGCAGCCGGAAGCTGATGCAATGGAATGAGGCAGCAGGGTTACTGCCACTTTAAGAAGCTGGGTAAGAAGCTGCCTATATAAGGGAAGCCATTAGAGGGCATTTCCCTCTCCTCATGTATTATCTACTCTTGTTCTCTCGTCGTGTGTCAGTAGCTGTAAAGGTATTTAACCACGTATAAGTTTGTAAATATTTAACTCTAGTTAAAACCACTCTTATTTATCTAAATAACAGTGTTGTGCTGTGTGCTGTGTTTTGCTCCTGGGTTTATCTCATAATACTAGTTACGCTTCCTAAACTCTAACAGCCTATTTGCCGCTACTGCCTTTTCTTTGCAGGCTGTGTTAGGCAACGACGCTTCGGTGGGATCCTTGATTCGACATCAGGATCTCCCGGGGGATCTGGTGGTCAGGGAACTGTTCTCTTCTGTGCTTCGAGAGATCCAGGATGAGGTGAGAGCAGAGGTGGTATTCAGCCGGTTCGCACCGAACCCGTAGCGGCAATCGCGGGTGGGCTCGGCCACCCGCCCCAGCTCCAAGTCGTGCTATTTAGGCACATTTTCGAGGCCGGGTGCATACGTGGACGGCGCGTGAGCGAGCAAAGGGCTGCTTCCTGAATCACCCTTTTACCTGTTTCCAGGTGAACCTTCAGCCAGCCACTCTCAGCAGGCCCGTTTTGCTTGGCATCGTTCGGAATGAAACCACGGCGGGCCGGTGCAGCGCCGAATTCTACGTCAGGTAACCCTTGAGGAAGCCGGGAATTGCAGCAGGCAGTCCTCGACTTACAACCGCAACGGAGCCCCAGATTTCCGTCACTAAATGAGATGTTTGTTACGCGGGTTTTGCCCCACGTTACGACCTTTCTGGCCACCGTTGTTAAGGGAATCACCACGGTTGTTAAGTTGGTCAAGTGAATCTAACTTCTCGGTTGACACTGCTCGTCAGAAGGTCGTAAAACTCAGTCACATGACCCTGGCTGGGACTTAGAAACTTAGAATAACTTTTTATTTTTATTTTTATTTTTTTATTTTATTTTATTTTATTAAATTTCTATAAACTTTATTGTCACTTTGAATGTACACTAATCGACATGTATTAAAATTAAATTTCATCGCATGCAGCTCTCAAAGGGTCTCCACCTCTAATATACACTACATAAACATGACAAAATAAACAAATAAATACAAAATTATGTATATATCCTCATATTTTATATATATATATATATATAATATAAATTTGTATTTTAATGACCCCGTAATCCCTTGCATCAGGGTGAACTCGGGGCAACTGAATGGAGCCGAGTGTTTGAATGGCCAGATGCCTTTCCTGTCGCCAGGGCGGAGTTTTGTTCAGCAGATAATATTCTCATTGTGCCCAGAGAGAGAAATTATCTGCCTCTACCTAGGATCGAACTCACAGCCTCCGGGATTGTGAGGCCAGAGCTCCACCTCTAGGCCACTGCACCACTCACCTACATAACACGACACGGAGAAACAACACAGTCTCGTTTCGATGTACACACGTGTACGTGGCGAGAGAAGCAAATCTGTCACGACACGGCAGCCGTCATAAATACGAGTCAGCTGCTTGTTCATCCGCCCGTTTTCAAACCTTGGGAGGCCGTCTCCGTCACGACTTGAGCTCTCCTCCTTTGCCGACGGTTGTCCTCTCCATTTTGCCCTTCAGGTGCAGCCTGACATCGGAGGAAGTGAAGCGGCGTTATGCTCTGGGGGGACCAGAAGCTCAAGAATCCGTCAGCGTCACCTTTCTCATCAGCCGAGAGGTACGTTTTAAAACCGCTGGAGGGACCGGCCCAAAGTCACCCACCCGGCTTTCATGCCTAAGGCAGGACTAGAACTCACCGTCTCCTGGTGATTGGCTGAAAGTCACCCAGCTGGCTCTCATGCTTAAGGCGGGACTAGAACTCACCGTCTCCTGGTGATTGGCTGAAAGTCACCCAGCTGGCTCTCATGCCTAAGGCGGGACTAGAACTCACCGTCTCCTGGTGATTGGCCCAAAGTCACCCAGCTGGCTTTCATGCCTAAGGCGGGACTAGAACTCACCGTCTCCTGGTGATTGGCCCAAAGTCTCCCAGCTAGCTTTTATGCCTAAAGGTGGGACTAGAACTCACCGTCTCCTGGTGATTGGCCCAAAGTCTCCCAGCTAGCTTTTATGCCTAAAGGTGGACTAGAACTCACCGTCTCCTGGTGATTGGCCCAAAGTCACCCAGCCGGCTTTCATGTCTAAAGGTGGGACTAGAACTCACCGTCTCCTGCTGCCTCAAATCACTGGACCAAGCCTGCTGACTTGATAGCCCCTGAGCCTCTCACGCTCTTGGAGATGCACTAGAGTTGATTACGGCTTCATTATTCTGCCTTGAAGTTGACTAGAAAAGAGGTGGACCTACCTAAAGGGTAAAACTTCAGCCAACCTCACCCCATCGGAACCTCTGCCCACGACAACCATCCTTGCACGCCCTGTTGGACTTCATCCCGCTTCGGCATCTCTCTTAGTCATTCTCTCTCTCTCTCTCCCTTTCTTTCTCTCCCTCCCTCTCTCTCTCTCTCTTTCTCTCCCTCCCTCTCCCTCTTTCCCTCTCTTTCTCTCCCTTCCTTTCTCTCTCCCCGTCCCTCTCTTTCTCTCCCTCTCTCTCTCTTTCTCTCTCTCTCCCTCCCTCTCTTTCTCCCTCTCTTTCCCTCTCTCTCTCCCTCTCTCTCTTTCTCTCTCTCTCTCTCCCTGTCCCTCTCTTTCTCTCATTCTTTCTCCCTCTCTTTCCCCCCTCTCTCTCTCCCTCTCTCTCTTTCTCTCTTCCCTCCCTCCCTCTCTCCCTCTCTCTCTCTCCCTCTCTCTCTCCCTCTTTTTCTCTCCCTCCCTCTCCCGCTTTTCCTCTCTTTCTCTCCCCATCCCTCTTTCTCTCTCTCAATCTCTCTCCCCTCTCCCTCTCCCTCTCTCATTCTCTCTCCCTCTCTCTCCCCTCCCTCCCTCTCTTTCTCTCCCTCCCTCTCTCCTTTTCCCTCTCTCTCCCCCTCCCCCTCTTTCTCACTCCTCTCCCCCTCCCTCTCTCCTCCTTTCTCTCTCTCTCTCCATCTCTCTCTTTCTCCCCTCCCTCCCTCCCCCTCTCTTTCTCTCCCTCTCTTTCTCTCTCTCCCCCTCTCCCTCCCCCCTCTCATTCTCTCTCTCTTTCCCTCTCTCTCCCTCCCTCTCTCCCTCATTCTCTCTCTCTCCCTCTCTGTGCAGGATGTCCTGTCGATGGAACAGCAGGGCGAGTGGTGGAGTGAACTCTGCCCATCAGCCAAAGGGGCCGTGAAGCTTTACACAGAGGTCCTGGGAGCGCATCAGTAAAAGCCCACCGACAGACACTCTCTCTCTCTCTCAAGGACTGCTCAGAACCTCTTTCCCAAAACATAAAATGCCACAAATTCAGCGGTTCCTGCTTTACAACGTAGGAGGGCCGTTATGCCAAGACTCACCCCCCCACCTCTCTCTCTTGAGAAAACAAACTGGCAAGGACTTCCGGCTCCTAGAACTGTGCCTTTGGGGCTCCCTTTTTCAATAAAGGCAACAAAAAAAGAAGGATTCTCATTTCAGGTACAATTTCAGATATTACGATAATGGGCGTGGCGTGGTGTGTGGTGTGTGTGGCTTGTGGGCGTGACAGGGGAAGGATACTGTAAAATCTCCATTCCCACCCCACTCCAGGGGAAGGATACTGCAAAATCCCCATTTCCTCCCGATCAGCTGGGACTCGGGAGGCAGACAATAGATGGGGTCGGGGCCAGTCAGAATTTTTACTGGTTCTCCAAACTACTCAAAATTTCCGCTGCCGGTTCTCCAGAACTGGGTCAGAACCTGCTGAAAAGCCCACCTCTGGTGTGCAGCGACCATGTGCCAACCCCCTGAGTTGGCAAAATTTCCCGCCGGTGATGGACAAGCGGCGATGTCTGGATTGACAAAAACAACGTCTTAAGGGAAAACGTCTGGCTGCTGTGGCGGGTGCGAATTACAAGGCAGGATTAAGACGACGGGCATGAAATGCTTCCTCTGTCCCTCGGCCGACTTGAAGCACTCTAAATATTCTGACTGTTTCGGACCGAAGAACCAGGAAACCGGAGGAACGGAGTTGGTGGGGACATCAGCACTTCAGAGGATTTAGCAGATCCCCCTCGCCTAGTCCTGATTACCTGGATTATTGGCAGCTTGGAGGCAGTTAAGGAACTACAATCTGGGTGTCCTCCCAATCCATCAACATCTGATCCACGGTCTGAGCATCTTAGTGTCTGAGCTATGACCCATGTTGCTCAGCTGACGTATTTGTTTAACAGATTTCTGCTTTACTAGGTTAGAGAGGCAGGAAAGATCCTTACTGTGCTTACATCATGCTTAACTGGGTCAGTGGGAGACCAGGATTTGGGGGTCTAACTGGGTTTGATTTACTCATATAATCAATCCCGAGTTACGTTTTGGCTGAAAAGAGATCCGGTCCTGCTAGATTTCAACTAATTCTCCCTATACCCAATACAGGGAGTTCTCGGCTTACAACCATTCACCTACCTTAAAAGCAAGCTTCTTGAGGAATTCTGGGAGTTGAAGTCCACCCATCGTAAAGCATGTTGGCCAGGGAATCTTGGGAGTTGAGGTCCACCCATCTTAAAACATGCTGGCTGGGGGATTCTGGGCGTTGAAGTCCACCCATCGTAAAGAATGCTAACTGGGGAATTCTGGGAGTTGAAGTCCAACAGTGTATGCTGACTGGGGAATTCTGGGAGTTGAAGTCTACTCCTCTTAAAGCATGCTGGCTGGGGGATTCTGGGACTTGAGGTCCAACAGTGTTAAAGCATGCTGACTGGGGAATTCTGGGACTTGAGGTCCAACAGTGTTAAAGCAGCTAGCTGGGGAGTTCTGGGAGTTGAAATCCACCCATCGTAAAGAATGTTGACTGGGGAATTCTGGGACTTGAGGTCCAGCAGTGTTAAAGCATGCTGACTGGGGAATTCTGGGAGTTGAAGTCTACCCATGCTGACTAGAGAGTTCTGGGAACTGAAGTCCACCCACCTTAAAACTGCGAAGGTTGAGAAACCTTGTGCTACCCTGGGGGAAAAAAAACTATTTGACTGGGTTAGTGGCTGATGCGCTTGGCTTCTTTTGCGAAGGGCACATGTTTTATTCCCTGCAGCCTTGTTGACTAGCGTGACTCACACTGCATCTTCTGGGTGGAATGTCAAATTTGTGAGAGGGGTCACCTTAGATTGCTTAGGACAACCTGAAAACCACCCAGCTTGTCCAAAAGGACCAACGACCCCATTAAAAAATGGCCATCTTAAATCTATCTATCTATCTCTATATCATACTTCAGTTTCTATCCAAATGTAATTATTTTGAAATGCATCCTTTGTATCGCTTCATCATTGTCTGCTCTAAATACCGACAAACTGATTTGTCGTTCCAAAGTCTTTTCCCCCCCCCCGGCGCTGAAAACAAGAATGCAAAAAAAGCGAAAATCCCAGGAGGAGAAAAAATTAAAAAAAACTTTCCTTGGTGGGAAAGACTGGCGAGATGAAATCAAAAGACAAGACATTTGAAGGAGCCCAAAAAAAGACAGAAATGGCAATTTTCATTCATTGTTCCCATTTCAGCTGCCGCCTTGTGTGTGTGGATTGGGGATACGATGGTCTCTGGGAGTTTGGATAGTAGGTTTTTTTTTTAAATCCCTGTTATATTCAGCTGTTTTTGTCCTTGAAATGACTTTTCCGGAGATTGGGAGGCAGGACACGTAGCTTTTAACCATACCAAGAAGGAGCAAAGGAGGGCAAGAGTGACATCCAGTGGCTATCTGGGCGTAAGACTTCATTAAAAAATAAAAATAAAAATAGTAGCCTAAAATATAGATGGTCCTCGGCTTACGACGGTTCATTTAGTGACCCTTCGGAGTTTTCCAGCCGGACTGGAGAAAGTGACTCGTGGCCGTTTTTCAGACGATCGTTGCAGCATTCGGCGTCACAGACCTGCGGTCAAAATTTGAATGTCACAGTAACAAGAGTCGGGAGGGACCTTGGAGGTCATCTAGTCCAACCCCCTGCTCAGGTTAACCATTTCAGATAAATGGTTATCCAGTCTCTTCTTGAAAGCCTCCAATGTTGCAGCAGCCGCAACTTCTAGTGGCAAGCCGTTCCACTGGTTAATTGTTCTCACTGTCAGGAAATTCCTCCTTATTTCCAGGTTGAATCTCTCCTTGTTGAGTTTCCATCCATTCTTCCTTGTCTGGCCTTCGGGTGCTTTGGAAAATAGCTGGACCCCCTTCCTCCTCTCTGGGGCAGCCCCTCAAATATCGGAAGATGCTCTCCTGTCTCCCCTGGTCCTTCTCTTCCCTAGACCAGCCAGGCCCAGTTCCTGCAACCGTTCATCGTAGGTTTTAATCTCCAGACCTTTGATCATCTTAGATAGATTCAGATTAACCGAGTTGGAAGGGACCTTATAGGTCATCTAGTCCAACCCCCTGCCCAAGACTGCTCTCATGTCTCCCCTGGTCCTTCTCTTCACTAGACCAGCCCTGCTCAGTTCCTGCAACTGTTCATCGTATGCTTTGCTCAATGGACGGTTGTAAGTCAGGGACTGCCTATGTTTCTGAAGGCTCGGAATTCGGCTCCCTTTCATGCAGCATTTCCAAGCCTGCTGGTCGGAATCCCCCCCCCCCGAATCCCCCCCTTGGGAATGACAAGCACAGTAAGCCAACATAGCTGGAGAACATCTGGACGGCAGACTTAGTGAGAAGGACACAAGCAGCTATGGAGGAAATAAAAACTACAACTCCCAGAAGCCCATGCAGCCCTGGCAGATCAGCTGACTCCCAGTTTTTTTGTTTTTTTTTTTTCCTCTCCACTTACGGGGCATTGGAGAGGTTTTAAGCTGTTGGCACCAAACGAGCGCAGCACCCCCTCCCCTTCTTCCGGAAAGCGAGACCAGGACGAAGTCACAAAGGGCATGGTCTAGAAATTAAACACCCCCCCCCCAATCATCAGGGAGAGAAAATAATAATAATAATTATTATTATTGCAGGGTCTACCCAGGAGGATTTTGCAGGCGTAAAAACTCATGGCTGCAGCAGGATCAAACGTTGGCGAGGAAGTTTTGCAAAACTCTGCAAGAAGAGAGCGAAAGCGAAGAAGCCGGAGAAGATCCAGAGAGCAGGTCAGCGAGATTTCCCCTCCGATTCCTCCTTCCTTCCTTCCTTCCTTCCTTCCTTCCTTCCTTCCTTCCTTCCTTCCTCATTTAAGGAAGACTTTTATTTGGGGTTGGACTAGATGACCGACAACGTCCCTTCCAATTCCACGAAAGATTTGTGTTGCAAACTTGCTCGCCTGTTTGTACCTTGCAAGTCTTTCCGCTTAACGACCGCCAACGGAGCCCATTGTTTAAGCGAGACGTTGGTTAAGTGAGTTTTTGCCCTCATTTTGCGACCTTTCTTGCCACGGGGTGTGGGTGTTAAGTGAATCTCTAAGCAAGTAATCCGGTTGTTAAGTGAATCCGGCTTCCTCCCCTGTTGGTCGCAAAAAGGGGGATCATGTGACCTTGGGACACACACAGCAACGGTCATAAGTGTGAGCCGGTTGCCCAGCGGTTGATCAAGGGACCACAGGGATGCTGCAATGGTCGTAAATGTGAAAAACAGTCATAACTCACTTTTTTCCATGGTCGTAAGTGTGAAAAACAGTCATAAGTCATTTTTCTCAATGGTCGTAAGTGTGGAAAACAGTCATAAGTCACTTTTTTCCATGGTCGTAAGTGTGGAAAACAGTCACAGGTCCCTTTTTTCAGTGCCACTGTAACTGTGAATGGTCATTAAACGAACCGTTGTAAGCTGAGGACTACTTGTACATTCTGGTGTTTTGCTCATGGGAACGTGGGGAATGCCGCAACGGTTGTTAAGTATGAGGACCAGTCGTAAGTCCCTTCTTTCAGGGCGTATTGTAATTTGGAATCGTCACTAAGCAAACGGCCGTTAACCGAGGACTATCTGCGAAAAGCATCTTGCAGCTCAGGTCTTCTCCTCCTCCTCCTCTTTCATCCCATTCTCCAGGATCTTTTGCCATTTTCCGTTCCTTCTCACCGTCCTGAGTTTCTCTCCAAATTTTCTGGTTCCAGGATCCAGATGTTCGCCTCTCCAAAGCTCTCTCCTATGCTTTGCGCCACGGGGCCGAAAATCTGGGCCTCCACATGTCATCTGGTGAGTGTTTGCTGACTCTGCCCCTGTTAGTGGCCGGCGCATAAAATATTGCCCTTTTCTCCTCCTCCTCTTCATTCTCCTGCTCCTCCCTCTCCTCCTTCCGCCTCCTCCTCCCTCTCCTCCTCCTCCTCTTCCTTCTTCCTCCTCTTCTTTTTCTTCCTCTTCCTCCCTCTCCTCCTCCTCCTCTTCCTCTTCTTCCTCCCCTCCTTCTGCCTCCTCCCTCTCCTCCTCCTCTTCTTCTTCCTTCTTCCTCCTCCTCCTCTTCTTCTTCTTCTTCCTCTTCCTCCTCCTCCTCCCTCTTCTTCTCCTCCTTCCTCCTCCTCTTCTTTTTCTTCCTCTTCCTCCCTCTCCTCCTCCTCTTCTTCTTCTTCCTCCCCTCCTTCTGCCTCCTCCCTCCTCCTCCTCCTCTTCTTCTTCCTTCTTCCTCCTCATCCTCCTCTTCTTCCTCTTCCTCCTCCTCCTCCTCCTCCCTCTCCTCCTCTTCTTCCTTCTTCCTCCTCCTCCTCTTTTTCTTCCTCTTCCTCTTCCTCCCTCTCCTCCTCCTCCTCTTCTTCTTCTTCCTCCCTCCTTCCGCCTCCTCCTCCTCCCTCTCCTCCTCTTCTTCCTTCTCCTCCTCCTCCCTCTCCTCCTCCTCTTCTTCTTCTTCCTTCTTCTTCCTCCTCCTCCTCCTCTTCTTCTTCCTCCTCCTCTTCCTCCCCCCCCCCCTGCAAACCCCACTCTCTTCTCACACCAATGATGTTAACCTATGAAATATTTGCAAGAAAATCACCAAGCTCAGAGAACATCAAACTTAGCTGCTTCCCCCCACTTCCCCACACCCCGCCCCCCAAGGAAGAAGGAAAAATCAAGCTTTGTGATTCATGCCGTGTTGTAACATGGCTTGTTTGGGGTGTTTTGTGTGTGTGTGGAGTCCTTGGTGCTCTCTGAATCTGGTTCTTTTCTTGCAGACATTTCATTTACCCAGCTAGGGAACTTCATCAGTGTTAACGGTGTGTTGTGCGCAGATCTAGGCATCGTAATGCGTACATTCGGAATTCTGGCTTTGGGTCCTGGCGATTGTGGCTTTAGCCAAATGTGACTTAGCCTACTCGAAGTCTTCTTTTTCTTTCGTTCCTGAATCGTAAGATGGCTTTGTCGACATGGGGGAGATTCTTCGCTTGCCCCAATTTAAGGCCTGGTCTGAGGAGGACGTGAAACGTGTCGTGGAGACCAATGAAAAACAGCGATTTGCTCTGTGCCGACATCCGTCCAGCGGACGTCTCCAGATCCGTGCGAATCAAGGGCACTCGCTACAGGTAAGGAGTTCAGAGAATCTAATCCAGGGGTGGGCTGCTAGGGGTTTGGGAGAACCTGTAGTTAAGATTCTGTGCAGTTCGGAGAACCCCCCAAATCCCACTCCTGGCTGGCCCTGCTCACCCAGCCCCTTCCAGGAGCCCCCACGCAGCCCGTTTTGGATGCAGATAAGTGCAGGGTACGCGCAGAGGCTCAGGGAGGGCGAAAAACGGGCCTACCGGAAGTTCGGAAGTTCCGAACTACTCAGATCCGCCTGCCGCCCCCACCCCACTTTTAAAGCAAAGAAAACGTAGGAAAAGAGAGCGATTTCATTTCAGCCAAGTCCTTGACGGTAATTCTCGTCCTTTCAGGTTCCTGAGCTGGAATTAACTCCGCTGCAAACCCTACAGGACTTCCCAGAGACTGTGGCTCACGGCACACTTCTGCGCCACTGGCCAGCCATTCGTCAGCGTGGCCTGTCCCGGATGGGGAGGACACACATCCATTTAGCGCCCGGATTGCCAGGGGAGGGGGCCGTCCTAAGTGGTGAGTGCTCCACTTTGAGAAAGGGGTGGGGTGGGGTAGGGGGGCAAGGTTTCCTTGTGTTCGGTGGCATCGGAATCCTTGTCTAGTGGGAGTTTCAGAGAGCCCCTCCTTCCCACTCGGTTTTAATCGCAGTTAGGCAGTAACCATCCAGGATTTTGGATTTATCGGAAAGACACTTGGTACCAAGCGAAAGATTGCGCAGTAGGTAGAATGTAGTAGAATTTCAGGCTGGCTCTGCCCACCGCCAGGAGTTCGATCCTGACTGGCTGAAGGTTGACTCAGCCTTCCGTCCTTCCAAGGTGGGTAAAATGAGGACCCAGATTGTTGGGGGGCAAATATGCTGACTCTGTAAACTGCTTAGAGAGGGCTGTAAAAGCACTGTGAAGCAGTATATAAGTCTAAGTGCTATTGCCCTTCCTTCCTTCCTTCCTTCCTTCCTTCCTTCCTTCCTTCCTTCCTTCCTTCCTTCCGGTTAGAATGCAGTATTGCAGGCTAACTCTGCTCACTGCCAGCAGTTCAATCCTGACCGGCTCAAGGTCAGGCCAAATTGTTTATTCATTTTTAAATTGTTTTTATATTTTGTATTTGATGTTTTTTACTTCTGGCTGTTCACCACCCTGAGTCCTTCGGGAGAAGGGCGGTATATAAATTTAAATATTAAACTAAATTAAATTAAATTAAATTAAAGGTTGACTCAGCCTTCCATCCTTCTGAAGTTGGTAAAATGAGGATCCAGATTGTTGGGGGCAAGAGGCTGACTCTGTAAACTGCTTAGAGAGGGCTGGACTGTGAAGCCCTGGCCAAGAAAATAATATGAGAAAACATCTCAGAAAAGACCCTCCTTAGGGAGGGAGGGAGAAACTCCTTCAGACTTGCAAGGTCCTGTTACTATACCTAGAATCAAGATCACTTGAAGGGTTAATACCGCTTTATAAGGCCACACTTGGAATATGGCATCCAGTTTTGGTCGCCACGATGTAAAAAAGATGTGGAGACTCTAGAAAGAGTGCAGAGAAGAGCAAGAAAGAAGATTAGAGGACTGGATGCTAAAACATACGAAGAACGGTTGCAGGAACTGGGTATGTCTAGTTTAATGAGGACTAGGGGAGACATGATAGCAGTCTTCCAATATCTCAGGGGCTGCCCCATAGAAGAGGGAGTCAAGCTATTCTCCAAAGCACCTGAAGGCAGGACGAGAAGCCATGGGTGGAAACTAAGCAAGGAGAGAAGCAATTAAGAACTAAGGAGAAATTTCCTGACAGTGAGAACAATTAACCAGTGGAACAACTTGCCTCCAGAAGTTGCGAATGGTCCAACACTGGAAGTTTTTAAGAAGAGGTTGGAGAACCATTTGTCTGAAATGGTATAGGGTTTCCTGCCTAAGCAGGGGGTTGGACTAGAAGACCTCCAAGGTCCCTTCCAACTCTCTTTATTCTAAATAATTCCTGTTACAATAAAAGTACTCCAGATTTAAGTGGCATGGGGTTTCTTAGTCTGCTCTACCTCGTAGGTCTGACACTGAATTCGGGCGTAGCGTGATGTGTGAACTGCCACCAAAACAATTGAATAATCCAACCCGTATGTACAATCCTAACTTGGGATAAAGCCTTAATGCATTCAAGTACAGCCTCTTCCTTCTCTTCCCAGGAATGAGGAACAGTTCTGAAGTGGCCATAATCATTGATATTCCCAAGGCGCTGGCAGGTGAGTGAAGACCAACCTTGTGGAGCAGAAGACAGGTGAAGAAGTAAATCTTGAATTTAACAGGTGGATGGCTCGCCTACAGTGGGTGCTCCCATCACTGGAGGCTTTTAAGGAGAGATCGGACAATCATTTGTCTGAAATGATATTGTTGTGACTCCGACTCCCGAGCCTGTCCTCATGGAGGAAGAGGACTCAGAAGGTGATGGGGAGGAACTGACAAGGCCTCCCTCTCCAGGACCCTCCTCTCTGGCAATGCCTCAGGTTCCATCCGAAGGCCAGGGGGAACAGCCTGGGATGGGCCAGGAGGAAGGCATATCGGAACACCAATTGATAGGGAGCGAGGATGATGAATCCTGGCTTGATCCCAGGCAGCGTCGGAGGGAGAAGCCTGCGCAGCAAAGGAAGAGGTGTGGGAGGGCCAGGGATTGAGCTGAGTCACTGAGCCACGCCCCACAAGGGATAAAAGGGGGCGTGATTGCTCGGCAGGCTTTGTGACGGACAAAAGTTTAAACTCTAAAGAGTCACATCGTGACTCCTGCACTTCGGCTCAGATATATTTTGGACTAAACTCTTGTGGATAATTTGTCGCTCTGGAAACGGACTGCAGATAAGGCCTCTCCTGCGTTTTTGGGAGTACTAAGTGGACTGGGCAGGCATTTTACTGTTAGCTGCCAGAACTCTCGTCTGCCAGGAATTCTGGTCTGTTTATACAATAAATTATTGGCAGATGTCTTTGATATTGCATTTGTCTGTGTGAGGACGGGGGACAGAACAGATATAGGGCCGTGATGGCGAACCTATAGCACAGGTGGCACACGGAGCCATATCTGTCGGCACGCGAGCATTGCCCTAGTTCAGCTCCAGCACGGATGTGCGCACCGGCCACCTGATTTTCGAACCTTCTGAGCCCACCAGAAGTCAGGAAAAAGGCTGTTTCTGGCCTCCGGAGAGCCTCCAGGGAGGGAGGGAGAGGCCATTTTCGCCCTCCCCAGGCTCCAAGAAAGTCTCTGGAGCCTGGGGAGAACGAAAAACAGGCCTACCGGGCCCACTGTGCCATCATGTGCCAAAAGTGGGGGGGAGTGAGGGGGGAAGTCGTGCGTGCACGCGCAGTGGGGGCGAGCACATTGAATTAGGGGTATGGGCACGCACGTGTGCAACCCCCCCGCGACCCCCGCCTTTGGCATGCAGCGGCAAAAAACGTTAGCCATCACTGGTGTAGGATCTTCTGCTTGGCTGGACTAGAAGACCTCCAAGGGCCCTTCCAACTCCGTTACAATACTGTATTCTTTTCTGATGCTGAGGGTGGAATTTAAGGGTGGGTGGGAACCAGTTTCAAATTCTGGGGGAGAAGTCTCAACTTGTCTGCTGCTCTTTTAGAGACGAGGGAGGGAGGAAATGATGCATGTTGACTCAGAGAATTCCTGCTTTCCCCGTAGATGGGATCTCTTTCTCCCGCTCGGCAAACGGCGTCATCCTGACCCCGGGCAACGCAGACGGGCTGTTGCTTCCCCGCTACTTCAGCAGAGCACTGCAGCTTCAACCTCGACGTAAGTCTGAAGCTTCTTCCGGGGTCTTAGGCCCGGTTCAGGGCTCGGGAGCATTCAAGACACATGTGGACAAAACCAGAAGTCGAATTCACTTACCTTCGCTACCGGTTCGCAAATGTGAGGGCCTTCCGCGTATGCGCAGAGCGTGAAAAACGGGACGTGATGACGTCCGGGAGGGTGGGTGGAGTCTCCCACAGCTGCCGCTACCGATTTGCCCGAACCGGATAGAACTGGCTGCATACCACCACTGGATAAAATCAGCAGTTTGAAGCCTGGGAGATTTTCAGTGTAGGCCATAGAGGGGTTCAACAGATGCCACATAGAAACAGCTGGTCATATCTGGACTTTCCAGGTGAGTTACAATTACAGGTAGTCCTCGACTTACGACCGCAATTCTGGGCCCAGAATTCCTGTCGCTAAGCGAGACTTTGGTGAAGCGAATTCCGCTCCGTTTTACGACCGAATTCATTAAGGAAATCACGGCAGTTGTTCAATTAGTAAACACGGTTGCTCGGCGAAATCCGGCTTCCCCGTGGACTCAGGTCTCAAAAAAAGAGGATCACGTAACCCCGGGACAGTACAGTACAATGGTCGTAAGTGTGAGTCAGTTTTGCCCAGCGTCTAAATTATGATCCGGTGACCATGGAGGGGGTGGTTGCAACGGTTGTAAGTGTGGAAAAAAACAGCCATCAGACACTTTTTGTCAGTGTCGTCGTAACTTCAAATGGTCACTAAGTGAACTGTTTTATGCCAAGGACTGTATTATTCAAGGGAATGATAACACCTCTATCTGGGCTTTCTGCTCTTTTTCTCTTCCCAGGCAGCCTCCTGCCTCTTGAGTGATCGTTCCTGACGTGGATTTCTTCCCTGCCGTCATTTCATCCGAGAGACACGCCTTGATCACACGTGTGCGTTCGAACACGTAACTTAACCAGGAACTTTCACTATTTCAATTAGAACAGACATAATCTTTCTGGTTTTCTCTTCCCCGTGGAAAATATATCTCTGGTCCCATTTGGGTAGTCCTCGACTTAGGACCACAAGGGGGCCTCAAATTCCTGTCACTGAGTTAAGTGAGTTTTGCCCCGTTTTACGACCTTCCTTGCCACGGTTGTTCAGTGAGTCACTGCAGCTGTGAGAAGTCAGTAACACGGCTGTTAAGTGAATCGGGCGTCCCCCGTGGACTTTGCTGGTTAGAAGGTGATCCCATGACCTTGGGACACAGCCACCGTCATAAATAGGAACCCGTGGCCAAGGATCCGAATTTTCGATCACGTTGCCCATAGGGGTGCTGCAATGGGCGTTAAGTATGTGAAAAAAACGGGTCGTCAGTCACTTTTTTTCAGTGTGGTAACTTTGAACGGTCGCTAAATGAACTGTTGTTGTTAAGTGAAAGAGTACCTTCAGTTAAGCTGGCCAAGATGGGTAGATCAGTGGTGAAATCCAATTTTTTTTATTACCGGTTCTGTGGGCGTGGCTTGGTGGGTGTGGCAAGGGAAGGATACTGCAAACTTCCCATTCCCTCCCCACTCCTGGGGGAAGGATACTGCAAAATCCCCATTTCCCTCCCCACTCCTGGGGAAGGATACTTCAAAGTCCCCATTCCCTCCCCACTCCTGGGGGAAGGATACTGCAAAATCCCCCATTCCCTCCCACTCCAGGGGAAGGATACTGCAAAGTCCATTCCCTCCCCACTCCTGGGGGAAGGATACTGCAAAATCCCCATTCCCTCCCCACTCCTGGGGGAAGGATACTGCAAAATCCCCATTCCCTCCCCACTCCTGGGGGAAGGATACTGCAATATCCCCATTCCTCCCCACTCCTGGGGGAAGGATACTGCAAAATCCCCATTCCCACCCCACTCTGGGGCCAGCCAGAGGTGATATTTGCCGGTTCTCCGAACTACTCAAAATTTCCGCTACCGGTTCTCCAGAACCTGTCAGAACCTGCTGGATTTCACCCCAGGGGTAGATGTTCTGAATATAGATAGCCCTCCACTTACGAATGTTTGTTTAGCAAACGTCGAAAGTTACGACGGTGCTGTAAAACGCCCAGTCCTTGCACTTATAACCAGTCCTCGCATTTACGACCATCATAACACACACCCCTCCATGGTCACACCATCTCAATTAGGCGCTTTGGCAACCAGCTTGCATTTGCAAACAGTTGCGGTGTCTTATAATCACGTGATCACAATATGCGATCTTTTATAACAAGTTTTCAGCAACAAAAAAAAAAGGAAGAATCGGTCCGTACTTATGATGGTGCGTTCGCTTAACGACCGCCATAAAAACAGTCCTAAAATTGGCTCTGGCGTGGCTTCCAACTGCAACGACTTAGGACGGAAATTCTGGTCCCAATTGTGGTCGTACGTCGAGGACTACCTGTAGCTGTGGGGGAACAGGGGACATAAAACAGCCTCCTCCCAATTCTAGGCCATTCGGAGAAAGAATAATCACATGGGGAAGGAAGCGTTTTCGTGAAAAATCCTCTTTATAACCACCTCGAAGATGATAACACAAAAGCACTCAACACAATTCACTTATTTCCACCCCCGCCGCACACCGTACAAAAATAACAAAAAGTACCTGAATCCCAATTTGCGTTGGGTAAATTCCTGAGTTTCTCGGAGGAGGAAAGAGTAAAATATTGTCAATATTCTTGGCAAGATATTTGAATATTTGACATAGTAAAAATTCTCTTTAACTCTGCTGTTTAGTCCTGGTTGCGAGTTCGCTCTGAAAATACTGAAAGAAAGAAAAAAAAAAATAACAACAACACACAGCCATCGTTAATGTAACTTTCGAGTCCTTTGGGAAACGTTTTTCTTCTCTGGGGAAAGTTCTCACTCCATCATTTTCATAATTGCTCTCCAAGTCTTTATGGATGCCTGGACTCCAATAAGGGCCTTCACGTCCCCCGTAGAATGTAGACAGCACATTCAGGAAGTCAGCTGCTCCTTGGAGGAAGGAAGGCCTTGGTGTTGTGGCCCGCCAGCGGCCAGCGGAGCTGGTGGCAAACTCAGACAGTGAGGAGGTTGGGGAGGAACGTGGGCCAGTCCTGAAGTCTGGGGAAGGCTCTGCGTCCAAGGCAGAGAGGGGGCCAGGGCCGTCTGATAGTTGTCAGCTGCCTTCGGAGTCGGACATCAGTGGGGCAGAGGAACAGCTGGAGCCTGTTCCCAGTGTGAGCTGCCAGGAGAAGGGAACAGCTAAGGAACAAGGGTCGACTCAGGAGTAAAGCCACAAGTGGACGGTGAATAGGGAATAAAAGAGGAGCGAAAGGGGAGTGGAGTTTGCAGGAGGCAATTAGTCCGCTTAATTGGTTCATGACTCTCCGAGACTCCTTGCCAAGTTTTGAAGATATCGGGCCTGGCAGCTCTCCAAGCCAGATGAGATCTGTGAACATAAATTCTCCCTTGAAAGACTTTGCTGGATGTGAATGAGAGGAATTCACAGTCACTTAATAAAAAGGGGTGGGTTTTTTTGTCGGGACAAGGAGTCTGCTTCGTGCTCTTGGGGGAAGCCTAGTCAGAACACTTGGTAGGAGAAACATCAGAGGGCTTCATGGCCCCCCGTCAACTTGTGGAAGAGCTCTTCGTTCAGCGTCTGGCTTCGGTCAGCTGTCCGAGTGGACAGGAAAATGTAACCCCCGATGTATTCGTGGACCGTCTTGCAGCCGGCGGAGATGCAGCTGAAAGCCACGTTGATGTGCTCGTCGAATTCGATGGCCACCTGAGGAAAAGCAACAGAGGAAGGTGGGTTTTTTTCAAACAGTTGGCGTCAGGCGTAAAAGACCAGAAGGTGCAATCAAACCGCTTTATTGCTAAGAGCCTGTGCGCAGGAATCTTCTCAATTTTAACAATCGGCATTTGCTTGGAAGAAAGTAAGGTGACTTAAGGCTCTTGAGTAAGGCCGTGGTTTTCCAAGTTGCAGTGAATGGCTGTGAAAGTTGGACCATAAGGAAGGCACCGAGTGGCTTTGGCACCGAGTGCCAAAAAGGTCACATGGAAACATCGCACATTTGCGCTCGTCGGGGCCATGCTCCGGAAAAGCCAAACTTCCGGGTTCTAGCTCGCATGTGCGCCCGACAATGCAGCTGATGCTCGAGTCAGACAATGAGAAGATGTGGTGCCAGAGGCGGGGATACAGCCAGGCCTTCAGAACCTCCAGAAGCTCCCATAAGTGAAGAAGACAAAGAGGAGGAGCCTCTTCTCGATGTACGGGCGCGCAGAGCTGCCAAAAGGCAGGAGTGGCTCCTCAGGAGGAGGTCTCCTCAAGAGTAAGGCTTGGGGTTAATTGGCCACTCCCTTAGCCTATTTAAGGAGGAATGTCGACTGAAACAATTTGCAGGGAACAACTTCATTCACATACCTTCGTGTCTTGTCTTGTTTATTTTATCAGCTTCCTGCAAATTGCTTCTGGGCATTCTGCCAACCACAGTAAGCTTTCAGTTATTATTCTTTGAATTCTTGGCGGCTGTTAATGCAATTAATTAACAGCCGTGGTAAAAGACTGGGTTATTCAGTAAACTAAGGTTTGAACGGACTTTGTGTGTGCTGTGTTCTTTGGGGTCCGTCGCTGGGGCAGAACAAATGGTCAGTAAACAAACTCGTAAGTCAAAGACTACCGCAGTCCCTGAATATCAGCCATTGTTTCTGGGACAAGCCGCACGAACAGAGTTCAAATCCTCCCTTCCTTCAGCGCGGACTCACCTGGCGAATGTCCCAATTGACGTTCCACTGACGCATGTTGCTGTACCGCCACGTCTTCACCACGTCCCCGACGGCGAGGTCAATCCGGATCAGGCGGTTGTTGGCGATCCCCAAGATTTCGTCTTTCCTGCTGCCTTTGAACCTGCGTGCGAAACCCAGGAGCCCACTTCCCATCAGGAGACGCTTTCTGGTTCAAAAGCTAAAGCTGGGCTTAGCTTCTGGGTGGGTTTTGTTTTTTTCTAAAGCCACCAAGAGCCAAACCTCTGGCCTTCCTTAAGCTACAAGGCACCAAACATCTGGGCCGTGTTATCTTTAAGGATAAAATCAATGCTCGGACCGAGCCACCGGGAACCTTGGTCAAACAGGCAAATGGCACTCAGGGATGGATGGATTTTCCAAGAAAAATGGCTGCCCCAAGGTGTAAGGTAAAGGTTCCCCTCACACCTGTGTGCTAGTTGTTCCTGACTCTAGGGGGCGGTGCTCATCCCCGTTTCAAAGCCGAAGAGCCAGACCTCTGCTGATGGCCTGTCTGTCTCCCATTCCTTTTCCCCAAACTCTGACACTGCTCAAAGGCCACACCCACCTTCTCGGGAACAGAATGCAGGGGGAAAGAAATGGAGCCGTTTCCTTACCTGACCACGAAGTACGAGATGCCGAAGTCAGGGAGGGACTGCCAGGTTTGGATGAATTTCATCTTGGCTTCCGTCAGGGAGTGCTGAGAGACATTCTGATAGGCCTCGAGGATGCGGGGAGTTAACTGCAAACATTTGCAAACAAAAGAAAGATCAGAGAGAAACAGATGGAAGGTGTCAAGTCCCTCTTTCTACCTGCACTCTATGGAATCTTCCATAACAACAGAAAAATGCACTGGAATAAAGAAGGGGGGCGGGGAAATACACTTATATGGAAATGTATTGTGTGCTCGAGGTCAACTCCCAAAGCATTCCTGGCCTGCTCTCGAGTTGCCCTAGGCAAGAGGGATGGGCAAACAAACTTGCAGCTACGGCGAAGCAGCACGGCAACCAAAAAATAAAAGCACATTCCAGACATATCTCTGTCAAGGCTGTCTCCTGGGGTTACCTACAGCGACTGGAGGGAAGTGATCTCTACAACCCGGGAAATTGCTCCGTTGGTGAATGTGACTGATGACACACCCTGGGGGGGGGGGGGGGGGGAACAGGGTCATGATTGGGGTGTAAATTATGTGGGGTCAGAGTTGGCTTCACTTTGACATGAAGCTCCTAATGAATAACTGGATTTCTTGTAGCCCTCAATTTATGACCAGAATTTCCGTTGCTATTACAAGCCTCCAAAGGAGAGTTGGCCACATTCTGATTTATCTGATATCATGAATGGGATGTAAAGTGAGGAGGAAGAGGAGAAGGAAGCGACAATGGTCACGATAAGGACGACTTCAACTTGGATTTCTCTTCAATTCCATTTACCACTCCGAGAACTGGTTGGCTCCAACTGCCCTGTTCATTTCCCATGATCCTGACGCAGCCTCCCTCCAGGGCATTGTGGGAAATTACAACGGCCGCCTGGAGGACGAACGATACCTGCTTAGGTTTGAACTTCTTCTGGTAGCGAGGAGACACCAGCCATTGCGTCCCTTCCGTCTCTGCCGTGAGGGACATTTCCGGATTGGTCTTCTGCAACTTCAGGAAGGAGAGAATGTTCTCCTTCTCGGCTTGGTAGGACGCGTCCGCCATGGTCTTCCCTTTCGCTGCCAAACGGCAGCCCGCCATCCAACTGGCGTATTGCTGCTCCTGGTTAAGGACAAGGGAGAGAAAGATCCTTCAACCATTCCTACAGCCTTTATAAATACAAGCTCTCCAGCTGCCTGGTCTCCACCCATGGTGGTTCTACTATAGTTGAAGTCCCGAAGCTCCAGCTTCTGAGATCTTTTAATTGGGGTCCAACCTGGAACCAAGGTTGGGCCCAGCAGTCCACCCAAGGTCCTTGCCCAACTCTCATTCCAAACTTGGCTTCCTTCCTTCCTTCCCTCCCTCCTGTCTTTGTCTCACTTACATCCGAACATCTCAGGTGTATTTCGCTCATTCCATCAGGAGAAGGGACCAGTAACTTGATGCAGAATTTCTGGCCAGAGATTATTGACATCTGGCACACACTTCACAGCCTGGGTGAAAGAGAGAGAGAGAGTAGAACTCTTCAGGTGCAATAAAACTGTTTTGAACACGACATGGCCTGTGGTCCCACCAGCCCAATTTTTTAAGTGATCTGAGTCCGGTTTGAAATGCTCCCGGTTTGGACCGGATTGCCTGATCTGGTAGCGATGGCGGCGGGTGGTTCGGAGAATCGGTAGCAAAAATCCCTGTACCCCTACCCCCATGCCCAACTGAACTGCGCGATCATCAGAGGGTTTTTTTTTTTTACTTTTAAAAGCTTTTTTTCTACAACCTCTTCGGCCGAAAAAATGCTTTTAAAAGTAAAAAAAAAGCTTCTGACGATCAGGCAACTGAGCTGGGATCGTCAGGGGCTTTTAAAGGATTTTTTTTCTACAATCTCTTGGGCCGAAGAGGTTGTTAAAAAAAATGCTTTTAAAAGCCTCTGATGATCCCAGCTGAGTTGCCTGATCGACAGAGGCTTTTCAAAGCATTTTTTTCGGCCGAAGAGGTTGTAGAAAAAAATGATTTTAAAAGTAAAATAAAGCCTCTGACGATCAGGCAACTCAGCTGGGATCATCAGAGGCTTTTAAAAGCATTTTTTTTTACAATCTCTTCGGCCCAAGAGGTTGTAAAAAAAAAATGCTTTTAAAAGCCCCTGATGATCCAGCTGAGTTGCCTGATCGACAGAGGCTTTTCAAAGCATTAGAAAAAAATGCTTTTAAAAGTAATAAAAAAAAAAAGTTGGCTACGCCCACCCAGTCACATTATACCCTCCCCCCACCAAGCCACCCCCACAGAACCGGTAGTAACAAATTTTACATTTCACTACTGGTCCGAACTCCTTAAAGTTTCCGCTACCGGAATACCACCTCTGATCTTGGGTCTCATTTTCCATGGCTGTCCATGGCACCTTGACTGGAATTGAGAAGCTTCTTTGGACACCTTCGTTTAGAAACGATCCGCTCTGGGAACATGGTCTAACTCTGGCCGAGGACCAACGGGTTCTTCTCCAGATCCTTTTCAGCCAACGAACTACAGGTTGCAACCGAGACCTTTGCGATGCGAGTAGCCATTGGATCCCGCCATCTTTTCCTTGATATGATGATCGACTCACCTTTCAGGTTGAGCTGTTGGACAGGTTCTCCCAACGCCTCTTCTGGGCTCTTGTAATACGAGATGGTCGTTTCTTTGAAAGTCACCCAATACTGCTTATAACCTTTCAGAGTCAGCTTGCGGGGCCTGGGAGGAATAAAGAGAGGTGAACAAAAATAGCTGGAGAATCACAGAGTTGTGGAGTTGAAGGCATCTCCAAGGATCATCTACCCCAATTCTTTGGCGTGCAGGAAAAACCAGTTCAACCATCCTCCAGAGGTGGATGTCCAAACTTTTCTTACAACTTTTGGAAACAGAGATTCCAAAACTACTATAAGCAGTGTTTCTCAACCTTGGCAAACTTTAGGACGTATGGATTTCGACTCCCAGAATTCCCCACGCTGGCATGCCAGCTGGGGAATTCTGGGGGTTGAAGTCCACACATCTTCAGAAGTTTAAGAAAAACAACCATCCTCTTCCTCCATCCTAGCTTTCTCTGTACAGTTCAGAGCACTGCTCTACATCCCCAATCTTATGTTGGGCGAGGAGGAGGATGGGTGTGTTAATAAAAACACCTTACTGATGTGGTTCGCCAGCAGCCTGTGGAGCTGGCAGTGGAGTCAGACAGCGATGAGGCTGAGGAAGAACATGGGCCAGTCCTGGAGGCTGGGGAAGGCCCGGATAAGGGCTCTGCGTCGGAGGCATAGATGGGGCCAGGGCCATCGGGGAGTGATGTGTGGACTCTGGAGCCTCCAGAGGCTGACAGCAGAGAGGCAGAGGAACAGGAGGAGCCTGTTCCTAGTGCACGTATGAGAAGAGCTGCCAGAAGGCAGGAGCAGCTAAAGCAGAGAGGACAATTCGAGAGTAAGGCCAAGAGATGATTGGCCCCTCCCAGAAGGCTTAAAAGACCAGCAACGGCTCTTGGGCTCTTTGTTGGAAAACAATGTTGATAGTCTTGCTGCACTTATCTCTTGTCGGAGTCTTCTGCTTTTGAACTTTTGCCAAGAGAAGCCTTTGGCAGTTTGCCTAATTCTACCAAGTTTGGTGATTAGACTGAAGAATTTGTGTTATGAAGAGTTCGTTATTATTTAGTTTGGACTACGCTGAGAATGAGTTAATTCTCAGCTGCTCTAATAAAGTCTGTTTTGGAACTGTTTGCGTCAATTACTACCTACTTGGGCCTAGGTCCCAACACTTACAATGACGTGAGCTTGGGAGAACCTCTGCTTTTGCTCAGTTCTTTAAGACCGGCTGTGAACAACCAGCGTGGTATTAAAAAGAAAACTAGCCAGGTATGTTTAAAAGGACTAACCTGAAGATTCGGAGGTGATCCTTCAGCTCTGGGATGGCTGTCAGACTGTCCTAAAGAGGAGGCCAGAGGAAAAGAGACAAAAAAAAAAAAGATTATTGTATTTCTGGGTTACTTTAAAGCAGTGTTTCCCCAACCTTAAACAATTTTAAGATCCGTGGACCTCAATTCCCAGAATCCCCCAAATAAGCCATGATCCTTGATTAGGGTTTGACTAATCCTGGATTGTTGCAACAATTATACGTTAGATTAGGTAAAGGTAAAGGTTCCCCTCGCACATCTGTGCTAGTCGTTCCTGACTCTAGGGGGCGGTGCTCATCTCCGTTTCAAAGCCGAAGAGCCAGTGCTGTCCGAAGACGTCTCCGTGGTCATGTGACCGGCGTGACTCAACGCCAAAGGCGCACGGAAAACGCTGTTCCCTTCCCACCAAAGGGGGTCCCTATTTTTTCTACTTGCATTTTTTACCTGCTTTCGAACTGCTAGGTTGGCAGAAGCTGGGACAAGTCACGGGAGCTCACCCCGTTATACGCAGTGCTAGGGATTCGAACCGCTGAACGGCCGGCCTTTCGATTGAAAAGCTCAGCGTCTTAGCCACCGAGCCACCACGTCCCTTTTATACTTTAGATTTGGGTGGACAAACTATAGTCCCTTTACGACCTGGGGACTTCAACTCCCAGAATTTATGTTATATTTATTTACATTTACATTTTATATGTATTATTAATATATACATTTATACCTTATCTAATATATTTATATACACTTTCTTTGTTTTTCTATATGTTTGTGCTATGAAGATGGGAGATCTCAAATAAAATACAAGTAGTCCTTGACTTACAACCATTCGTTTAGTGACTGTTCCAAGTTACAACGGCCCTGAAGAAAGGGACTTAGGACCGTTTTTCACACTTACGACCGTTGCAGCATCTCCATGGTCACTTGATCAAAATTCAAATGCTTGGCCACCGACTCATATTTATGACGGTCGCCATATGTATTGGGGGAGTCGCGTGATCCTGTTTTGCGACTTTCTGACAAGCAAAGTCAGTGTGGAAGCCAGATTCGCTTCACAACCATGTTAATAGCTGCAGGGACTCACTTAATAACTGTGGCAAGGAAGGTTGTAAAATGGGGCAAAACTCACTTAGCAACTGTCTCACTCAGCGAGGGAAAGTTTGGGCTCAGTTGTGGTTGCATTGCTGAGGGCTTCCTGTAAAATCTTGGTCCTTACCAAAACATTTGGAGTTGGGGCTGACCCTTCCAGTTTGACCTCCAAGTTAGCCAAAGCTTTGTCTAAATCATCCAGGCCGGATTCGCTGGACTGCTCCACAGGGGTGGCGTTCAAGGACAGCTGGTTGATGTGATACTAGGACAGAGCACAGAGGATGCTTAGGCCCATTGCAGATTTTCCAGCCCTAAGGCATGGGATAATTATTATTAAACGGCACTGTCAACTCGCAAAGCATCCCTGGCCTGCTCTCGAGTTGCCATAGGCAAGAGGGATGGGAAACCGACGAAGCGGCACGGCAGCCAAAAAAACAGAAGCACATTCCAGACATATCTCTCTCAAGGCTGTCTCCCAGGGTTACCCACAGCAGTCGGAGGGGAGTGATCTCTACAACCCACAAAATTGCTCCGTTGGCTAATGTGATTGATGACACACCGTGGGGAGAGTGGGGGGGGGAAACAGGGTCATGATTGGGCGTAAATTACGTGGGATCAGAGTTGGCTTCGCTTGGAACCTGCCGACATGAAGCTCCTAATAAATAACATTTTTTAATAAATGTTAAAAAATAACATTTTTTGGGGTGGGGGGGTTTCTGTATTACTTGTAAGGCAGCGAAGACGATCATCTCTTCCTCTGTGCAATCGGTCTCTTCCAGCAGCACCGACCAGCGGGCTTGTTCGTACATCTGGTTGATCCGGACAACGTCGTACTGCGAGGAAGGGAGGAAGCTTGGTGAGACAAAGCAGCAATTTAAGCTTTAAGGGGGGGTTGGACTAGATGACCTCCAAGGTCCCTTCCCACTTTGTTACTGTTCACCTCTGTTGCAGATGCCAGCAAATCAGAAGCTTGGCTTCCTCTCAAGGGAGCACCCTGAACTCTAGGACAGAAGTACGTATTAAGTACGTATTAAAATTACGGTAGGGGTAGGAGAGAGTATTTGTAGCTTAAGTGTTGAATCGTGGGGTCCTTGGTGCATTCTGAGCTTGGTGGTTTTCTTGAAGACGTTTCATTACCAAACTAGGTAAAATCATCAGTACTAGAAGGGAATGGATATTGTGGAGAGGAGGAGGAGGAGGAGGAGGACTGCGAGGTCCTTGGTACTCTCAAGTGTTTTATTATCAACATCATCAGTGCTAGAAGGGAATGGGGATTGTAGCGAGGAGGAGGAATCTGGAGTCCTTGGTGCTCTCTGAGCTTAATGCTATTCTTGCAGACGTTTTATGACCCAACTAGGTAACATCATCAGTGCTAGAAGGGAATGGGGATTGTGGAGTGGAAGAGAAAGAGAATGTTCTGTCCCCCTTCCTCACACAGGCAAACGTAATACCAAGCATGCCTGCCAATATTTTATTAGGTAAACAGATTAGAATTCTTGGCAGACCAAAGTTTTGGCAGCAAACTGCCGAATGCCTGCCAAGACCGTTTTCACTCCCATAAAGCGGAAGAGGACTTATCTTCAGTCCGTTCCAGGAGCAACAAATTATCCACGAGACAAAGAGTTTAGTCAATGTTCAGTCCAAAATATATCCAAGCCAAATTTCAGAGATCACGATGTGACTTTCAGGGTTTAACTTTGTCCGTCACAAAGCCTGAAGAGCAATCCCACCCACTTTTATTCCTGGTGGAGCGTGGCTCCGTGACTCAGCTCAATCTCTGGCCCTCCCACGCCTCTTCTGTTGCTGCTCACGCTTCTCCCTCCGACGCTGCCTGGGATCAAGCCAGGATTCATCCTCCTTGCTCCCTATCAATTGGTGCTCCGATATGCCTGCCTCCTGGCACATCCCAGGCTGTTCCTCCTGGCCTTCGGATGAAACCTGAGGCATTGCCAGAGAGGAGGGTCCTGGAGAGGGAGGCCTTGTCAGTTCCTCCCCCTCACCTTCTGAGTCCTCTTCCTTTGTTAGGACAGGCTCGGGAGTCGGGGTCACAACAGAGGAGGACTGTAGGACCCTTGGAGCTTGGTTGTTTTCTTGAAGACGTTGCATTACCAAGCTAAGTAACATCATCAGTGCTAGTAGAGAGTACGGTGGGGGAAGGAAGAGGAGAAGGAGGACGATTGCGTGGTACCTGGTGGTCTCTGACTTTGGTTTTTTTTTTTTTTTTTAATTTGATTTATATGCCGCCCTTCTCCGGAGACTCAGGGCGGCTTACAATGCGCTAAGCAATAGCCTTCAACCTTTTGTATATTTTTATACAAAGTCAGCTTATTGCCCCCACAATAAGGTCCTCAATTTACCTATCTACCTGCTTTCTTACAGACATTTCATTATCAAACTTGGCAGGGGTGAAATCCAGCAGGTTCTGACGAACTGGTAGCGGAAATTTTGAGCAGTTTGGAGAACCGGCAAAATGCCACCTCTGGCTGGTCCCAGAGTGGGGAGGGAATGTAGATTTTGCAATATCCTTGCCCCAGGAGCGGGGAGGGAATGGGGATTTTGCAGTATCCTTTCCCTGCCACACCCACCAAGCCACGCCCATAGAACCGGTAGTAAAAAAAATTTGAATTTCACCACTGAAACTAGATAATATTATCAATGCTACTAAGCAGAATCTCACAACCAAGAATCAAACAATACCCCAAGGAAGCAACTACCAACTTACTCAGACAAAGAAACTTAACAGTAAACAGCAGCCCAAATCCAGGAATCCCAAAAAGTCCATTTCACACCAAAACTGTCAGGACCAGCCACATATATAAAAACAGAGACCGTGAAGTCCAGGCCTTAAAAAAGAGAACTATAATCTTCTTTTCCAAACACAGCCTCGTTTTAATATTTTTTACATTTCACACAAACGGAAGGGAAACCCGCTTCCCACGTTGGCAGGAAATAAAAACCATTTGCAGTTCCGTAAAGCAGCTTTGGGAGTTGTTCGTATTACTTCAACACCGTTGAAGCCCCGTGCTTTCTGTTCTCTTTCGAAAAGATGTTTGCGCTAAATATATATATATATATATATATATTTTTCCCCCCCCCCCACTTTGAGACATGCCTCATGCCCTTCCCTGGCAACCGAGAGAGAAATGTTGACAAAAATCACACCTTAATTTGACTGTGGGAAATAATCTAGAAACGGGCAGGAAATTTTGAAAGCGCTGTTTTTAAAGTAAGCCGCACCCCCCCCACACACACCAAGTTGCCACACAGGTGGGCCTTTCCCTTTCGGGAATGCAGAAGTCCAGAACAAAACGTAAGGAACATATTTTATATGCTTTCCTGCCTTCTAGCCATGAGGACTAGGAACTTTGGCTTGCAAAGTATCCCCTTGTGGTCGTCTGATCCGTGACTTGAGTGGGGATTGTTTGATCCCGAATGGTTGTAACAACGATTAGTGTTGGAATTCAGATTTTTTTTTTTTTTTACTACCGGTTCTGTGGGCGTGGCTTGGTGGGCATGGAGGGGAAGGATACTGTAAAAACTCCATTCCCACCCCACTCCAGGGGAAGGATACTGCAAAATCTCCATTCCATCCCACTCCAGGGGAAGGTACTGCAAAATCTCCATTCCCACCCCACTCCAGGGGAAGGATACTGCAAAATCCCCATTCCCTCCCCACTCCTGTGGGAAGGATACTGCAAAATCTCCATTCCCACCCCACTCCAGGGGAAGGATACTGCAAAATCTCCATTCTTTCCCCATTCCTCGGCGAAGAATACTGCAAAATCCCCATTCCCACCCCATTCCAGGGGAGAATACTGCAAAATCCCCATTCCATCCCCACTTCTGGGGGAAGGATATTGCAAAATCTCCATTCCCACCTAACTTTGGGTCCAGCCAGAGGTGGTATTTGCCAGTTCTCCGAACTACTCAAAATTTCCGCTACGGGTTCTCCAGAACCTGCTAGATTTTACCCCTGACAACAATTATACCTTCGATCAGGGGAGGGCAACGATGACCCCCTTTACGACCATGCTGGCTCAGGAATTCGGGGAGTTGAAGTCCACAAGTCGTAAAGGAGCCACAGTTGCCCACCTCTGCCTTAAATAAAAGCAGAAAGTGGAGGAATATACATTTGAAGTTCCCTAAAATAAGTAAAAAAAAAAAAACCATATTATGCGCCTGAAGATGTTCACCTTTGGCTCCAGATCGAAAAAGCTGTAATACTTAAAGCGCAGCCATAAACACTCCTGTTCTTTTACTTCTTGTTGTAGCAAAGTGCGGGACGAATCCAGCCATCTACAAAAAAAAAGAGGAGGAAAAATGAAGAATTGGCTAATGTAAGTCCAGGCAGTTCTTGATTTACGACCACAGTTGAGCTCGACATTTCCGTGGGAGGAGATGGGTGATAGGAACGATGAGGAGATTAATAGTAATAGTACTGCAGACTTAGTGACTAGTTTGACAGTGTTGAGGGAATTATTTGTTTAGCAGAGTGATGGCGTTCGGGAAAAAACTGTCCTTGTGTCTAGTTATGCAGTGGATGGAAACTAATTAAGGAGAGAAGAAACTTAGAACTAAGGAGGAATTTCCTGACAGTGAGAACAATTAATCAGTGGAACAGCCTGCCACCAGAAGTTGTAAATGCTCCAACACTGGAAGTTTTTAAGAAGAGATTGGATAAGCCTTTGTCTGAAGTGGTATATAGAGTTTCCTGCCTAAGCAGGGGGTTGGACTAGAAGACCTCCAAGGTCCCTTCCAACTCTGTTATTCTATTCTATTCTTACCTGCTGTTGATCTTGGTCTTTTCCACAAGGGATCCCGGCCGGTGCATTCGGACAATCTGCTCGGGGGTCAGGCTAGTCTGGCTGACAGACAGCATCCGATAGCAAGCCTCAGTTTCGGCGCTGTCTGAGAAGTGAGCAGGCATCCCACGGAAAGTCTGTTGCTCTGCACCTGGGATGACGAGGGGATTGAGAGAGAGAGAGAAGAGAGAGAGAGAGAGAAAGGGTTAGGTGTCAATGTCCATCCCCAGTTAATCCTTGGTTCAAGCAAATATAAGCAGTCCTCGACTTACGACAGTTCATTTAGTGGATTGTTCAAAGTTACAACCGCACTGGAAAAAAGTGACTTGTGACTCTTTTTCCCCCACTTATGACCGTCGTAGTCACGGGATTAAAATTCGGATGCTTCAGACGCACTGCAGGGGTTAAGTTAGTACAGCTAGTCCTCAACTTATGGCCGCAAATGCGCCCAACATTTACGTTGTTTAAGTGAGAAATCCGTTAAGTGAGTTTGGTCCCATTTTTAAGATTTTTTTCCCACCACCTTTGTTAAGGGAAGTTCTGCAGTTCTTCAATCAGTCACACGGTTGTTAAGTGAATCTGGCATCCCCATTGACCCAGAAGGTCCTAAAAGAGGATCACGTAACTCTGGGACGCTGCAACCGTCATAAATGTGAGTCCGTTGTCAAGCATCCAAATATAAATCCCGTGACCATATGCTACAGTGTGAAAAAGTCCTTTTTTTCAGTGCCGTCGTAACTCCAAATGGTCACTAAATGAACTGTTGTAAGTCGAGGACTACCTGTAACACAGTTGTTAAATGAATCTGCTTTCCCCATTGACTTTGCTCATCAAAAGGTCGCAAAAGGGGACACCACAACCATCATCAATGGCCAAGCATTTCAATTTTGATCTCTTGGCCATGGGGGATGCTGCAACGGTCATAAGTGTGAAAAAACGGTCCTAAGTCACTGTTGTCACTTGGAATGGTCACTGAATGAATGTTGCAAGCCGAGGCCTGCCTCTATATGTGTGCACACGCAAAGTTGTGATGCCCTCACTTGCTGGCAGCCGGACGCTGGTGAGGTCATAACTCCGAGCTGTGGTCTCCTCTTTCTCCTTCTGTTTCCGTTTGTCCTTCTCTTCGGGCGCCCGCAGCAAAGACAGCTCTTCCGGGTGACGGATGGCTACAATGGGAAGTTAGCAAGAAGTTAGGCCCCCCCCTCAAAAACCCCCTCAGATCTGTTCCCAGACCCCAAACTAATCATGGTTGGAGACGGGCAGGGTTCGAATGTGAAGGGAAATGGCTGGTTTATCTATTTCCTAGTCCGGGCTCTCCAACCTTGGCAACTTCAAGCCTGGCGGACTTCAACTCCCAGAATTCCCCAGGCAACTTTAAGCCAGGTGGACTTCCACTCCCCAGAATTCCCCAGGCAACTTTAAGCCAGGTGGACTTCCACTCCCAGAATTCCCCAGGCAACTTTAAGCCAGGTGGACTTCCACTCCCAGAATTCCCCAGGCAACTTTAAGCCAGGTGGACTTCCACTCCCAGAATTCCCCAGGCAACTTTAAGCCAGGTGGACTTCCACTCCCAGAATTCCCCAGGCAACTTTAAGCCAGGTGGACTTCCACTCCCAGAATTCCCCAGGCAACTTTAAGCCAGGTGGACTTCCATTCCCAGAATTCCCCAGGCAACTTTAAGCCAGGTGGACTTCCACTCCCAGAATTCCCCAGGCAACTTTAAGCCAGGTGGACTTCCACTCCCAGAATTCCCCAGGCAACTTTAAGCCAGGTGGACTTCCACTCCCAGAATTCCCCAGGCAACTTTAAGCCGGTGGACTTTCACTCCCAGAATTCCCCAGCAAACTTTAAGCCCGGCGGACTTCCACTCCCAGAATTCCCCGGGCAACTTTAAGCCTGGCGGACTTCAACTCCCAGAATTCCCCAGGCAACTTTAAGCGAGGTGGACTTCACTCCCAGAATTCCCCACCAACTTTAAGCCCGGCGGACTTCAACTCCCAGCCAGAGGTGGTATTTGCCGGTTCTCCAAACTACTCAAAATTTCCACTACCGGTTCTCCAGAACCTGTCAGAACCTGCTGGATTTCACCCCTGGTTAAAAGATACTACTACTACTTATAATAATAAGTAATAGTGTAAAGTCCCTTTTTATGGTCTGGGGTTGCTTTAAACCACTTGCTAAGCCATTGGTTGTAAATTGAGGACTACCTGGGCAGCTGCGATTCCCATCTCTACCTGATGCCTTCCTTTCAGTGCCAACCCCGAAGCTTTGGACGATGTTTCCCTACTTACCGAGTAGCCTGCAAAGATCGCACACGGTGCGGAAGACAGGCTGGGCGAAATTGGCTCTGACTCGGACGCTACAACGGTTGGGCAGGAAAAGCAGCACCGGTTTATGCTGGGGAGTAAAGTGCAGTTTGGCGTCGGCCAGGATCCCGTATTTATCCAGGCTCCAGTTTGTCTTCAAGAGCCAAATTTTCTTCTGCTCCCACCACAAGGCGTGATCCGACCAGTCCTTCTGGAGTTCTGGAGAACGGAGACAGAGAAAGAGAAAATCCATTAGATTGGGAAAGCAACAGGGAGCAAGTCAAGGAAGGGGTTGGATCAGTAAGTAAAGGTAAAGGTTTCCCTCGCACCTATGTGCTAGTCGTTCCTGACTCTAGGGGGCGGTGTTCCTCTCCGTTTCAAAGCCGAAGAGCCAGCGCTGTCCGAAGACGTCTCCGTGGTCATGTGGCCGGCATGACTCAACGCCAAAGGCGCACGGAAAACACTGTTCCCTTCCCACCAAAGGTGGTCCCTGTTTTACTACTTGCATTTTTTTTTTTACCTGCTTTCGAACTGCTAGGTTGGCAGAAGCTGGGACAAGTCACGGGAGCTCACCCCGTTATGCAGCACTAGGGATTTGAACCTCTGAACTGCCGACCTTTCGATCGACAAGCTGGGACAAGTAATCCTGTTTCCCTTTCGCCTCTCAACTCCAATCCAGGAGCCTTCAAGCAGTCGCATTCACAACAAACCATTTTATACCAAATTTATATTTGCTGATAAAGAAATAAAGGGAGGCTAGTATAGATCTATTTCAAGCTCTTTAGCTCTCATCAGCTAGCCATAGCCTTACTCGGATTTGAACTTGTAAGGCTATGGCTAGCTGATGAGAGCTAAAGAGCTTGAAATAGATCTATACTAGTCTCCCTTTATTTCTTTGTCAGCAAATATAAATTGGGTATAAAATGGTTTGTCGGGAATGCGACTGCTTGAGGGCTCCTGGGTTGGAGTTGAAAGGGCAGGATGCTGCCTCCCATATTGGGGTAGACCAGGTGCTTCGATAGAAAAACACACACACACACACACACACATATATATTTCTCTTTAGCCAGGTTCTTCCTATGTAAACCAAGATTTTTTAAAAAGAAATACACATAAAGGCCTACGAAAAGAAAAGAAAACACACACACACATATATATTTGTTTGTTTTCTTCAAATACCTGACCTCTACAGGGAAGAAACAGGTGATGAGGGTGTGGCTAACTGATGAGGACTAATTAGTCCGAAATAGATCTATATTAGTCTCCCAGAAGGCAGTAAACTGCTTATTTGCTGTCTGATAAAGCTTCGAACTAGTGAATGGGATTTCACTGAGCTATGGCTGCATTTTGAAAATCTTGGTTTACGTAGGAAAATACCCGGCTGAGGAGAAATACATACATACATACATACATACATACATACATACATACATATATATATATAATATATATATGCTATATATATATATACACAAAGCATAGTGATTTCTAACCCCCTTTCCCAGCTTTGTGCCTTCCCAGTAGGCGAGAACTATAACTCCCAAGATTGTCCGTTCACCCAGTTATTAGCTGAAGACGATGAGGGAGAAGTATTTTTTTTCTCTCTCTTCGCGAGAGAGGAACAAGTAACTTGCAAGAGTTTGTCCTGTTGGGTTTCCCCCCCCCCCCCCGCCCCACTCTTTCCGTTCAAAGACTGTTAAAATAGATGCCCAAAATTAAGGAACTGCTGGAAATAATTTACTTCCGGGCCTGGTTATCGTTTTCCAGGGTGTAAACGAATAGTATCTGCCCCTGTGGTTTCAGGACAATATTTTCCATGGCTTATCTGGAGAATGCAGGGGTCCCTTAAGGAGGAAAGGAGAGGGAGACCACAATCCTCAAGCTGAGTCACAGCCCTTCCCCCCCCCACCGCGCAGTCCCCCATTTTCCTTTCCTTCCGTGCTTTGTGGATGTTTTAGCTAGGAGGAAAATTTGAGGATCTCCCTTGAGGTGGGCTTCTTTCAGTCAATGGGAAAACCCTACGGTATAACATAGGCAGACCTCGCCTAACGACTGTTCAAAGTTACGACAGACACCCCTCCTCCCCCCCCCCCCTTACGATCCAGTTGCCAAGTGCCCAAATTTCGTTCACATAATTGGGGAATTGCTGCAGTTGTTGGAAATTGCAAGGAACAGTCGTAAAGTCAGTGCTGTGGTAACTCCGAACGGTCATTAAACAGACGATGGGTAAGTTGAGGATTATATGTATGTACACTGTTGGCTTAATTTTGAGGGGTCCCTGGTGCTCTCTCTGAGCTTGGGTGTTTTTTCTTGTAGACGTTTCTTGACCCAACTGGGTAACATCATGAGTGCTAGAAGGAAGTGGGGGTTTGCTAAAAATCATCCTTCTAGCACTGATGATGTTACCTAGTTGGGTCAAGAAACGTCTGCAGGAAAATCACCAAGCTCAGAGATCACTAAGGACCCCACAGTTGTCATCCTCTTCCTCCCCTCCTCCTCCTCCTCCCCCCCCTTTTCCTTCTCCACAATCCCCACTTCCTTCTAGGACTGATGATGTTACTTAGTTGGGTCAAGAAACGTTTGCAGGAAAACTACCAAGCTCAGAGAGTCGTCACCATCCTCCTTCCCCCGTCTAGCACTTTTCAACCCTGAGTTGCAAATATTCTCCTTTATTGGTACTTACTCAATTTGTCTGCAATCTGTAACATGATGCCTCCTATATGCAGGCTCCCGGAGACTCGGAGCGTGATGGGCTCCGCCTCAGGTCCCAGGTCCTCCACGAAGACCCTGAGTTCCCAGGAGTCATCAATATACTCTCCGCTCGCTGTTTTTATGCCAGCCATGGTGGTCCTTAACGGAGAGAAGAATGAAGGATGAAGAGGTAATGGGGGGAAAAAACCAGATCTCCGATGCGTCAGCCTGAAGCAGTCTTTCCCAATCTCTCCTGCTTTACGGTATGTGGACTTCAACTCCCAGAATTCAAGCATGCTGGCTAGGGAATTCTGGGAGTTGAAATCCACCCATCTTCAAGCCTGCTGACTGGGGAATTCTGGGAGTTGAAGTCCACCCATCGTAAAGCCTGCTGGCTGGGGAATTCTGGGAGTTGAAGTCCACCCATCTTAAGGCAGACTGGCTGGGGAATTCTGGGAGTTGAAGTCCACCCATCTTAAAGCCTGCTGGCTGGGGAATTCTGGGAGTTGAAGTCCACCCATCTTAAAGCAAGCCGGCGGAGGGATTCTGGGAGTTGAAGTCCACCCCTCTTATAGTTGCCAAGGTTGAGAAACACTGGCCTAGTGACCCAGGTATCTTAATTCAGCTCCAAGGGGGAAAAAAAGAGCCCATAAACTCCCTCCTCTGCTAAATTCCTGCATTGCACAAACCAGAAGGGTCTGTGGCCAACTTAAAGGAAATGCGGGATCCTTGGTGCTCTCTGAGCTTTTGTATTTTTCCTGCAAGACGCTTCATGAACAAAACTAGGTGAAATCATCAGCAAACCGCTCCTCCCTTCTAGCACTGGTAGCGTTACCTAGTTTGGTAATGAAATGTCTTCAAGAAAAAACCCCCAAGCTCAGAGAGCACCAAGGAGCCCTCATTTCAAAATAATAGTGTTGGAAGGGACCTCAGAGGTATTCTAGTCCAACCCCCTGTTCAAACAGGAGACCCTACGCCATTTCAGACAGAACGGCGGTGTCCAATCTCTTCTTAAAAACCTCCAGTGTTTTCAACCAGGAGCTAAGAAACAATCCATCAGTTAAAGCAAATGAACAAACAGCTACCGTGTTTCCCCAAAAATAAGACCAGGTCTTATATTAATTTATGCTTCAAAAGACGCATTAGGGCTTATTTTCTGGTTAGGTCTTATTTTTTTAGGGGGAACTACGATACTAAATGCATCCATCTGGCTGACAATCTTAACTGGGGCTTATTTTTGGGGACTTATATTACGAGCATCCTGAAAAATCATGCTAGGTGGCTCAGTGGCTAAGACACTGAGCTTGTCGATCAGAAAGGTCGGCCGTTCGGCGGTTCGAATCCCTAGTGCGGAAGGAGGGGGTTGGACTAGATGACTTCCAAGGTTCCTTCTGACTCTATTACTGTTACTGATTTTCCAGTTGGGTCCTATTTTCGGGGGAAACGGGGTAGCAAGAGTATCCTCCCAACACATAGCATCCTAACCCAGCTTCTCCAGGTAGGGCGTCACTCAAAATATCCCAGATCCGAAAGCCAACCCAGCAGCTCATCCCGTTCATCACAGGTTGGCACCTCCAGACCGCTACACCGCCAGCCCCTGCCGTGTGAAAACGATGCCAAACCTCTCTGCCAAGCTTGCCTTGGGAGATTCCCTCCTGTGGGCAATTTAAAAAAAATGTTTTTAAGGCTGACTCAAGGTTGACTCAGCCTTCCATCCTTTCTAAGGTAGGTAAAATGAGGAGCCAGACTGGGGGCAATAAGCTGACTTTGTATAAATATACAAAAGGATGAAGGCTATTGCTTAACGCATTGTAAGCCGCCCTGAGTCTCCGGAGAAGGGCGGCATATAAATCAACCCCCCCCAAAAATAATGGCCAAATCTTTTGTCTTGGTTCTTCTGTGGGCCCCCGAGCAGAAACCTGCCACAGGTTCCCGCTGGAATCTGTCTGGATTACCCCAAAGTGCTCGAACCTCTGTGATGAATGGCGATTCGGGGGCTTGTTGGGTTTTTAACCGATGGACCGAGCATTGTTTTCTCCCATCGAGGAGTTAAAATCCAGGAAAACGTCTTGCGGGAAGTGACTCAGAAGTCTGCATTCTGTATTAGTCACTTGTATGTGGCTTAGGTGTGCCTTGACTAAATACACCCACTTTGCTTTGTGTACCTACTACATACCTCCCCCCATCTACTTCAAGACAGACTTTCCGCTCCCTGAGATTATGTACAATTATGGCCCACCGAACAGGAGCCCCCGCGCATCGTAGAAAATGTTCATTGAGCTCGCAAGATGGCTGCCACGGTGAATTATATTTGCTAAGGGTCTAAAAAGGTCCTTTAGTGTTTTGAGCATCTTCCTTGCTCAGTAACCCTCCCGAGGCTTCTGAAGTTTGGAAAGCAGTACTAATACATCTTTATAGTTTATTTCACATAATTCTACAATTCTTGTACTGTGAAGATCTCTACCATATTTCATTTCGATATTTTTTTATCCAACCATTGATAAAATAGGTCCCATATTTTATAGTATTGTTTATCTTCTTGTTCTCTAATTTCAAATGTCAATTTCAGCACATTCCATTATTTTCTTAATAACTTCATCCTGCATTGGGATTTTCTCATTTTTCCAATTTTTAGCAAACACAATTCTAGCCGCTGTTAATACATTGACAATCAGATATCTCAACTCTCTATTATATATTTCAGGTACAATCCCCAATTAAAAAAATCTCTGGTTTAAAATCTATGTGTATTAGTATCGGGTAGATTTAGGAGGATGAAATGAATGTTATAATAAAAATTAACTCAAATCTTAGAATATTTTGAATAATAATGAGGGAAGAAATAAATGATTAATGAGGATAATAATATATAGATATATATTAGGTTGATGATATGAGAATTTAGGTAGACTTAATTGTAAGCTTTGAATTTGGTGAAGATGCACAAAATTCCATCAAAATTCCAGTGTAACCAACCGACACACTGTTTGCAATTGAAGATGGTTTTATGTATGTTTGTTTTTTTAAAAAAATAATTCAAAAAAAAAGTTTGGAAAGCAGCTCCCTTCCTTTTGCCAGCCCTCCCAAGATTGGGGCATCTGGAAGGTAAGGTGCTCCTGAAGATGGAGGCTCTGTTAGAAGGCAGCGGAGAGGATTTGGAAATAAAAGCATTGGTCCATCTGCGGGGCCTTCCTCCCCAAGGACCTTCAGAAAACAGGCAAGGATGGCGCGTAAGGCAGCAAGGAAATCCTTCTCTTTCTCTCTCGCCGATTTAAAAAAAATCCAGAAATGTAGTGTGATAAATTTTCTCCCCGGCTATTTTTTGAGTTTGCAAGGAGCATCATATGTGGCACTCCACAAAGGAAGGTGTGCTAGAAAGGATGGTAGGATGGAAACCTAGTTTTCAAAAGAGAAACAAACTTTGGAAAGGGGAAAAAAAAAAAAATGTAGAACTTACCTTCCCCGCTTCGGTCTTCCCTCCCTGAAGTTTTTTCCCAAGATCTCCCCAGCTGGATTCGAAAACACGTCCCTGGGGAAGCACTACCGCTGGCCTTTTGTTCTACCCCGCCTCTCCCTGCAGGTCTTTCCCCGATGAAGGGCGTCTTCTTTGCACCCCAACCCCCCCCTTGCAACTTCCTCCCTGCTGCCTCGGAAAAAACGGTGACACACACAAGAGCAGTTTGCAGCGCCGGAGGCTTTGAGTAAAATCTTGCAAAGTTTGCAAATCCAGCGCCGTTTACACACCTCCCGAGGCATCCCTGACGGGCGAAAGGAGGATTTATGCTTGCTATTTTCTGAGAAGTGCCCAAGTTACCAAGAAATGCATTTTAAAATATATACAGTATATATGTATATTAAAAAAAAAGAGACCGGGATGTGCGAATTCCAATGTTAGAAAAAGGAAATTCTGCTTTTTGAATATCATTTCCTGTGTTCTCTTTCCCGGCTTTCTCCTTCTGGGAGACAGGCCGTTCTCGACTTACGACCGTTGGTGTAGCAACGGTTCGAAGTTGTGACAGCACTGAAAAAAAAAAACACGGGCTTACAACCGGTTTCTTGCACTTAACAACCGTCACAGGCGATCAAAATCCAGATGCTTGGCCAACTGCTTCCTTTTGTGACTGTTCAAAGTGACGACGACACTGAAAAAAAGTGACTGAAGATAAGTTTTTCACACTTAACAACCGTTGCAATGGTCCGCTTGGCAACGGGCTCATATTTATGATGGTTGCAGTGTCCGACCTGGGGCACAGGTGAGATTCACTTACCTTCCCTATTGGTTCGCAAATGTGAAATCTTCGCTCGCACGCCAGTGGTGGGTTGCTCCTGGTTCGATCCGGTTCTATAGAACCGGTAGTAAAACTGGCGGGAGGCTCCGCCCACCCGTCACGACATCATCACGGATGATCTGCGCATGCGCAGAAGCGTGCGGGCGGGGTCCTGTTGCAAACCGGTAGTAAAGGTATGTAGAACCCACCCGTCAAACACGCCACCTCTATGCATGCGTAGTCGTGCTTTACATCCGGGCAGGCAGGCGGAGCTACTGCAGTCGCCGCTACCAGTTTGCACGAACCAGAGAGAACCGGCTGAATCCCACCACTGTCCTGGGATCACGTGATTCCCCCTTTGCAACCTTCCGACAAGCGAAGTCAATGGGGATGCCCCTTAACAACCAGGTTAACAAACTTAAAAACAACTGCAGTGACTCACTTAACGGTGGCGAGAAAAGGTCGTAAAATGGGGGCAGAACTCACTTAACAAATGTCTCGCTTAGCCGCATCAATTTTGGGCTCGATTGGGGCCATAAGTCGAGGACTTGCAACTGCTTTGTATCCGTCTACGATCTAGAAACCGGGTTTTTTTTTAAAAAAAAATTTTTAAAGAAGTTTTTCAGGATGCAAAAGCTTCAGAAAAGATCCCACTTCTGAACTTGTTCACACATTTCGGAGAAGGAGGGGAAAAAATAGCTCATGGCTTTCACATCCGATTGATGCGTCGTTTCACCTTCCGTCCTCAGCTTTTCTTGATGACTTTTTCATCTAGATAACGAACAACGGCGGAAACCTCTTATTCCCCCCCCCTTTTTTTCCTTTTTGCATGTAGCAAGAGGAAAAGACAACCCAGTTAAGCTTTGGATGTGCGATAGGATGCCGAGGTATGAAAAAAAAAAAAAAATACAACATGGCCAAGCTATCCTTAAAAGGGCTAGGAGCAGGGGTGAAATGCTCCCGGTTTGGATTGGATCGCCCGATCCAGAAATGATGGCGGCGGGTGATTCGGAGAACCGGTAGCAAACATCCGTGCCCCCCATGCCCAGCTGAGCCGCGCGCGATCATCAGTTTTTTTTTAAAGCATTTTTTCTACCCCCTCTTCGAAATGCTTTTAAAAGCTAAAAAATGTACATTTACAATATGTGTATCAGAAATAAAAACAGAAAACTTTTTTCCAAAAAAAAAAATACAAAACCATCGTATATAAAAAATGGGGGTTCTTTTTGTGGTACGGGTTCGTGGAAATTTTGATCCTTTTGCAATCCGTTTCAGGCATCTGTCATGGGTCAGCAGGGCCCTACTTCTGTGTTGCAAGGGGGTGGGGGAGGTTTCAAGTAGGAATTGGCACCAGGGCTATGCGCGTTCCCTCGCTCGACTTCCTTCTTTTCAAACCCAAAAACCAGTTTGCCCATTTACAAGCTTAGCTCAGTCCTTTTGAGACGCTGGATTAAATATATATATATGTATTCCCAATTTTACCTCTTATCTCTAGCGCTCTTATTTTTTTCCTTAAATTAAACCAAACCCTGTTAGCTGGGACACTCTATCCCTCTTACTTTTATAGCCTTTGAACTCATCTCTTTTTAACTTAGCCAGCATTGTTAGTTCAACCTTACCGAACGGAGGGGGGGCAAAAGAAGGGTTTAAGTTTGTTTGAGCCAACTTCTTCTCTTTACGAAGATCACGCATCGAGTTTTGGACACGTTTTCTTTGCTCCTTCCCGACGGGGGCTTACAAATCGTGGTTTAAAACAGTTTGGTTAAAAAAAAAAACGTGATCCCCCCCCCCCGTTTGCTATAGCTACCGGTTTTATAATGTGAGTTAAGCAGGATCATTTTTTTCCCCTTCCGTTTCCTCTTTTTTTGGGGGAGGGGAGGAAAAGGGTCATACGGTTACTGCGTGATCGCTCGCTTGCTCGGTCACAGGATGGGTGGATCTGACCCTCGCCTTCAACCCTCCCTGTCGCAACTGGGGTTTTCTTTAGCTGACTATGAGGGATGGGCAGAGAAGTGGTGCAAAAAAAAAAAAAAAAAAAAAAAAGGATCCATAACTGCTTCTGACGGAAACGTGGGCAGGCGTGGAACACGTGGATTTTTGTGGGTCGAGATTGCCCCATTTGGGTTGTGTCTGTCGAGAGACGCCTGTCTCTTACCCTGGCCGCCTTGAGGGCAAGGAAAACAAATTCTTAACAAAGGGAAAAAGCGATTGCAAAACTGAGCCAGTTTGATCGAGCGGTTAAAAAAGGCACCAGGTTGGAAACTGGGCGACAGTAAGTTCTAGTTCCGCGTTAGCTATGAAAGCCGGCTGGGTGACTTTGGGCCAATCGCCAGGTGACGGTGAGTTCTAGTCCCACCATAGGCATAAAAGCCAGTGGGAGACTTTGGGCCAATCACCAGGAGACGGTGAATTCTAGTCCTGCCTTAGGCATGAAAACCGGCTGGGTAACTTTGGGCCAATCACCCGGTGACAGTGAGTTCTAGTCCTGCTTTAGACATGAAAGCCAATTGGTTGGCCGTCACCCAGTTTAGCTCCACTGCGCATGCGCCTCCCAGCTGGTTTTCAGGATACGCAAGGGACGGGGCACATGCGGGAGATGTGCACATGCACAGGGTGTGTGTGTGTGTGTAGTGTGGGGCAGTGTGCGATGTGAACTCCCCACAGCCCATTTTTGGGCCCAGGAGTGTCCACATGGCATGTTTTGGATGCCAGGTAAGTGCAGGGCCCGCACAGAGCCTGGGGAGGATGAAAAACAGGCCTTCTGGAAGTCTGGAAACGGGTCTGTTTCCAGCCTCCGGAGGCCGGGGAGGCCATTTTTGCCCTCCAGAGGCTGGAGAAAAGCCTCTGGTGCCTGGGGAGGGCGAAAAACGGGCCTTCCTGAAGTCACGCTTTTGGCACACGAAGAGAAAAAGGTTAGCCAGAACTGGCCTATATTAAAATGGCAAGAAACTCAGCCGTTACAGAGGAATATAAAATGTGACGTCTTGCCATACAGATGTCGCCGGCTGCAATTCCACAGAAATGGAAGACCTTCCTTTTGCGAGTGTCAAGATTGCGCCAATCCGGAAAGCTGACGCAACATTTTCCAGATTGCACAACTCCTCTGCCCCAAAAACTCTTTTTTAAAAAATCACCCTCTGACGAAGCCTTAGGCACTTTTAAAGATGATTAAAATCTTCCAGGGGTCAAGGAGGACAGAAATACCGTATTTTTCAGACTATAAGACACACTTTTTTGTCTCCCAAAAGGGGGTGAAAAAGTCTGTGCGTCTTATAGACTGAATATTGCCGAAGTCCCACCTACCTGCCAACCATTTTTTGGCCTCCGCATGCCCCGTTTTCAGGCCTTTTTTCAACTTTTTTCGGCCTGTTTTCGGGCTTTTTTTCAGGTTTTTTTGGACTGTTTTCGAGGCTTTTTTTGGCCCATTTTCAAGGTTTTTGGCCTGTTTTTGAGGTTTTTTTCGGCCTGGTTTTTTTTTTTTGGCTTTTTGGGCCCATTTTTGGCCCTTTTTTTCCAGAAAAAACAGGCCAAAAAACCCCTCAAAAACAGGCTGAAAAAAGCCTTGAAAACGGGCCAAAAAAAGCCTTGAAGACGGGCCTAAAAAAGCCCCTAAAAAAGGGAGGTCGAAAACTTTTTGTTGTTTTCCTCTTCTAAATTTAGGTGCGTCTTATAGTCTGAAAAATACAGTACTTCAGAATAACTGCACGGAATTATTGTCACAGAGAGCAGATGAGCAAAAAAATATATTTTTTTTTAAAAAACCCAAAACCAACGAATTAAACCGGCCCTGTAAAAAGGGCCGATTGCAGAATGCAAACTTTTGGTGCAGAATATCAGACGAGCAACAGTTGGAAACAAACAGCTGGTCTTTCAATAGGATTTTGATCATTTAGACCATACGCAAAACTTTTCCTTTCTCAAGATGCTATTCAGGTAGTCCTCAACTTCCAACAACTTATTTAGTAACTGTTCAAAGCTACAACGGTATGGGGAAAAAGAGTGACTTGCGACCGTTTTTCAAACTTACGACCGCTGCAGCATCACATGATCAAAATTTAGACGCTTACCAACTCATATTTATGATGGTGGTAGCGTCCCGGGGATCACATTTTGCGACCTTCTGCGCCAAGCAAACTCGATGGGGAAGCTGGATTCCTTTAACAACCGGTGTGATTAACTGCAGGGGTTCATTGAACGATGGTGGCAGGGAAGGCCGTAAAATGGGGACCGAACTCAACTGCCTCGCTTAGCGACGGAAATGTTGGGCTCGGCTGCGGTCGTAAGTCGAGGACTACCTGTAACAAACCGGCCTGATCTCCCGTTAGCGTGGTTTGATTCATCTGCCGAATTGAAGGGGAGGAAAGTTTTGCTGAAAAGAGGCGACTCGGAAAAGATCTAATTTTGCTCCTTTTTTTTTAATTGGATGTGCAAAGGAGACCAAAGTTAACCACAGCCTCACAGCCGAACGAAAAACCAGGAAAAAAAAAAAAAAGTGACGAGGCTCGTCGGGGCCACAGTTGCTGGCCGAGAGAATTGAAAACTGCAAGGGTGGGGTGGAAGAGGGGAACCCCCCCCCCAAAAAATAAAAAAGGAGAGAGAAAATGGCAGCTCACAACAAGGGGGCTATAACCGAGAGACAGAGCAACAGGCCGGGACGATGGACGAAAAGGCCGATATTTTTTCGGTGCCGAAATAGGGTGGATGGTTGGTTTACGAGCACGCATGTGGGCAAGAGGCGGGACACGTGTCTCAAAGGTGTGAGTCTCTGCCTTTTGCTGAGAGAGAGAGATGGCCCCGAGAGTGGATCGATTTCATGGAGAAAGTCCATCAAGGCTGCCTATTTTTCTTTTGTTTTCAACCGGGGGAAAAGTTGCGGAGGATGGTCAGTATTATCACCGGATGGCGATCAGGCCAACATCCATCAGCTTCTGGATCTTCTGAGCAATGACGGGGTTTTTCAAGTGTCTGCAGGGAAAAGGAGAGAGAGGGAGGGAACGCGGTTAGGAAGATCCGTGAAGATATTTCCCCCCCCCCCTGTTCTTTGCCAACATTTAGCAAATCTGGAAGGGCTTCAAAAACCCGAAAGCCTAATCTAGTTTCTGGGTGTTATCATAAAAAGAGGAGCTTGCCTGGGACGCTAACATTGCAGCCCTGGTCAAAAGAGCCCAGCAGAGATTATACGACCTGAGACTTCTCACAAAACAACAAGTGAATGAGAAACTGCTGGTGACCTTCTACCGCAGCACCATAGGGACTATTTTAACTTACTGCACCTGTTTGTGGTTTGCCAATTGCACAGTGGCAGCTAGGACAGCGCTCCAGAGGGTCAACGTCATTGCCCAGAGGATCATGGGTTGCCCCCTCCCCTCTTTGGAAGAGCTTGATAGCTCCTGCTGCCTTAAGAAAGTTCAAAACATCCTTAAAGATCCATCTCATCCTGGGCACCCTTTTTTTTTTGAACTATTACCATCTGGCAGACGGTACAGGGCAATAAAAACAAGGACAAATAGGCTGAAAAACAACTTCTATCCCAGGGCAGTAACTATATTGAATTCTACGGTCTAGTGTAGGGGTCTGCAACCTTAAATATTTAAAGAGCTATTTGGACCCATTTCCCACAGAAAACACCGGGAGCCACAAAACCTGGGTGGGTGTGGCCAACTCGATGTCACTCACTTCCATCAGTCACATGAAAACCCTCCCACTCCAGCCATGCCTACTGAGCAGGAATATATGTGCTGAACAAAACTCCGCTCTGGTGACAGGAAGGGCATCCGGCCAGTAAACACTCAGCTCCATTCAGACTCCATCCCCGCCAGGGATTACGGGGTCATTAAACGACTAAAAAAAAATATGTATACGCACCTTCCCAGCCCTATTGGCTCGGCCCTCTACAATAGGGACCAAGGAAAAATGAAGTACTCAGCCCTGCTCTAGCTACATTCCTTAGCAAGCAACTTGGTGAAGACCAAGGCTCAGGATCGTCTTACGGATTTCCCCAGCCCTGACTCACTCGCTTAGTGCCTGTGGATCTTTCTGCATCTGTTCCAGGATCAGCCGCATGGCTGGATCGCTCATGATCTGCTGCACCTCGGGATCGGCCATTGCCCGGCGCTTCACGTCCTCGGGGTTGTCGTTGCGATTGTACTGGGACATCAGGCAGCGCTGGTAACCTTCGGCAGCTTCCTGTAAGAATTGCACCCGGGAGAAAAATTTTTTTAAGAGGACGATCGTTGTGCAAGCACACAACATTCCCCAATTATGACCTTTCGTTCTCATTTCTTCCCGCAGTTTCAGCTTGTTGGGGCAATACGAGTCAGTTGCCAAGCATCCCAATTTTGATCATGGGGACCGCTGCAACGGTTCTAAATTGAGCCGTGGTGGGGCAGTGGTTAGAGTGCGGTACTGCAGGCTACTTCTGCTGCCTGCCGGCTGCCTGCAATTTGCCAGTTCAAATCTCACCAGGCTCAAGGTTGACTCGGCCTTCTGTCCTTCCGAGGTGGGTAAAATGAGGACCCAGATTTTTGGGGGCAAGAGGCTGACTCTGTAAACCCCTTAGAGAGGGCTGTAAAACACTGTGAAGCTGTATATAAATCTAAGTGCTATTGCTATTGCCCTTCCTTCCTTCCTTCTTGGTTCCTTCCTTCTTTTCTTTCCTTCCTTCCTTCTTCCTTCCCTGTTAGAATGCAGTATTTCAGGCTGCCCATTGCCAGCAGTTCGATCCTGATTTGGCTTAACCTTGATTCAGCCTTCCACCCTTCCGAGGTCAGTAAAATGAGGACCCAGATTGTTGGGGGGGCAAGAGGCTGATTCTGTAAACCGCTCAGAGAGGGCTGTAAAAGCACCGTAAAGCGGTATATAAATCTAAGTGCTACTGCTAAGTGTGAAACCAGTCCTAAGTCACTTTTTTCAGTGCCGAATGGTCACTAAATGAACTGTCGTAAGCCGAGGACGGTCTGCAAAGGCTTATCCTTTGGGACTAACAGAGGATAACCAGGCCACCCCTTGCCCCGCGTCCTCTGCCCTTCCCTTCCCCTGTCAGGGGTGTGTCTGGCCGAGTCCTCACCTTGCAGTTCGAATCCAGCTCCAGCGCTTTCTGATAGACGTCCATCGCTTTGGTGTAATCTTTCATGGCTTCCAATGCCGCCGCTTTGCGCGTGTAGCCTTTGACTGCAAAAGCGAAGAGAAGCGGCCGTCACCTTCTGAAGGCCGGATAGCTTGACAAATGATTGAGTTTCAACTGCCAGAATTCTCTAGCCTGGCTTTGCTTTGCTTGTCATGGCTGACCGGGGAATTCTGGGAGTTGAAATCCCACCCATCGTCAAAAGGGCCAAAGCTTGAGAAACACCGCTTCTAGCTCAAAAGATTTTGCTTTCCCCGCTCCCCACTTCATTCGAGAGCCTTTCTTAGCAGAGCGGTGCGGCGGCCTAGAGGTGGAACTCTCGCCTCACAATCAGGAGGCTGTGAGTTCGATCCTAGGTAGAGGCAGATATTTCTCTCTCTGGGCAAAATGAGAATATTATCTGCTGAACAAAACTCCGCCCTGGCGACAAGAAAGGCATCCGGCCATTCAAATGCTCTGCTAGCTCCATTCAGTTGCCCGGACTCCACCCCGCAAGGGATTATGGGATCATTAAAACAAGATGATGTTGAATCTAGAGCATTTAATCGAGTGGTGCGGTGGCCCAGAGGCGGAGCTCTCGCCTCACAATCAGGAGGCTGTGAGTTTGATCCTAGGTAGAGGCAGATATTTCTCTCTCTGGGCACGATGAGAATTTAATTGCTGAAGCAAATGCTTCTCAACCTTGGCTGAATTGGAGATGGGATGAACTTCAACTCCCAGAATTCCCTAGCCATGCCCCATAGATACCTGGAGAGTCCAGAGATTCAAATCCATCTACTTACTGAACGCGGGTTCTAAACGGATGCATTCCTCGCAGTCCTGCAGAACGAAAAAGACGAATAATTAAGTACTGTCAGAATGACATTGAATTGTGTAATTATTACGGATGTATTTTTGTTATAGATGTATTTTAACTTGTATTTTTGGATTTTAAATGTTAATAAAGGTATGTATGTATGTATGTGTATATATATATATATATATATATATATATATATATATATATATATATAAAATCTCGGAAAACGGCCTTCAGATTATAAACGGAAGACATGGCAAGCGTTCCATTTCAGATTTGAAAAAAGAAAAGAGACTTTTAAACATTTAAACGCCTTTTAACATCTTTTCAACAAGACCACACCTGGACTATTGCAACCAATTTTGGTCACCACATTACAAAAAAGATGTTGAGACATTTGGGGGGGAAAAAATTAGAGAAGAGCAACTAAGATGATCAAAGGCCTGGGGAATAAAACATAACTGCAGGATTTGGGTCTGGGTAATCTAAAGAAAAGAAGAATTAGGGGGTGACAGGATAGCAGTATTCCAGTATTTGAGAGGCTGCCACAAAGAAGAGGAGGGGTCAAATTATTCTACAAAGCCTCAGAAGGCAGAACAAGAAACAATGGTTGCAAACTAATCAAAGAAAGAAGCAATCTGGAATGAAGGAGAAACTTCCTAACATTGAGGACAACTAACCAGTGGAACAGCTCGCCACCAGAAGTTGTGGGCGCTCCATCACTGTACGTTTTAAAGAGGAGATTGGACAGTCACTTGTCTGACATAGTATAAATTCTCCTGCTTGAGCAGGGGGCTGGACTAGAAGACCTCCAAGGTCTCTCGTAGCTCTATCTCCTGAGTCTTTTGGGCATGCTGGCTTTCCGCATGCAGAGATTAGAAAAGAAACCAGAGGTCGCCACGGCTTCTCTACGGCTGAGATGCTCACCTTGAGCGCTAACTGGAACTCCAAGAGTTTGGTGTAGCAGGCTGCTCTGTTGCTGTAGAGTTTGGCATCGCTGGGGTTGCGTTTGATAGCTTCCGAATAGTGCTTCATGGCTTGTGGATAATCCCCTGTGGGAGAAAAGACCGTCACTGGGTGGACGGAGCCTCCAGATTCCAAGGAAGTATACAGTCGTGGCCAAAATTGTGGAAGCCTTTTGGGGAAAGTGTATTTTTGAGGTTTGATGGCTAATAACACCACTTTTTTTTTTCTTTGGAGTTTCAAGATAATCCTATTCCACTGCTGGAATGGCCTGGGAATAGCCCAGACCTTCACCCAATTGAAAATCTGTGGAGCTGACTAAAGAAACTTAGTCAGAAGCGACCCAGCAATAAAACCCAGTTAATAGAAGCCATCATTCCATCTTGGTTTCACATGATAACAGCTGCAGAACTAAAAGACTTCGTTCCCTCCATGAGAAGACGTTGTCAGGCCCTAATTCATGCTAAAGGTGACTGAATGAAGTATTAACTGACATGGGGATCATTTTTGTACATCTCGTTTTTTTCTAAAGTGATCATTTTTGTCTATCTCATTTTTTCTACGTGTTTCGCTTTTCTTCTTTATACTGTAACAGCTATTCTAATAGCAAATCCTTCATAAAAGCTATTGCATTACATTCTTGATTAAATCATCTTTCCATTGATATATAATTTTATGCTACTACTCCCCCCCCCAAAAAAGTTTGGTTATTAGCTAGTTTTAGAAAATACACTTTTCCCAAAAGGTTTCCACAATTTTGGCTACTACTGTTATCTCTGAATAATGACTGCCGGGGGTGGGGAAGAGAGGTGGGTTTCAGCAGGTTCTGACCAGTTCTGGAGAACCGGTAGCAGAAATTTTGAGTAGTTCGGAGAACCGGTAAATACCACCTGTGACTGGCCCCACCTCTATCTAGTCTCTGCCTCCCGAGTCCCAGCTAATCAGGAGGAAATGGGAATTTTTCAGTTTCCCCTGCCACGCCCACCAAGCCACACCCATAGAACCGGTAGTAAAAAAATTTGAAAAATTTGAAATTTGAGCCTGATAGTACAGTGGATTAAAGCACTGTTATTAACATCTACTGCTTGCAATTACTGCAAGTTCGAATCTCGCCAGGCTCAAGGTTGACTCAGCCTTGCATCCTTTCTAAGGTAGGTGAAATGAGGACCCAGATTGTAGGGGAAATAAGCTGACTTTGTATAAATATACAAAAGTATGAAGACTATTGCTTAACGCATTGTAAGCCGCCCTGAGTCTCCGGAGAAGGGCGGCATATAAATCAATTTTTTTTTAAAAAACCACCACCGGTGGGGAAATAATGTTGGGACTTTCTTACTGCGCCTGCCGTCTTCCTTAAAGGAAGCAGATTGGAGAAATGAACTGAATTCGGGGTGTAAATCAGCAAATGCTTTTTCTCTCCAGCAATGAATCCCATCATTCCACTGTTAGGAACTGCATCTTCCTCCAGTGTCATAGAGGGAAGAGTCCAATCGAATTTTGCCTGCTTCTGCAGAAGCCGCAAGTTTTAAGCCGCTGGCAAAGGAAGCCCGTGGCCGAATGCGGTGTTTTTCTCAAGCTTACCAACTTTGAAGCAGTGTGGACTTCAACTCCCAGAATTCCCCGGCTGGGCATGGGGAGTTGAAATCCACATAGGCTTAGAGGTTGCTGTGGTTGAGAAACACTGGCTATTAATGGGGCCCGTGTGGGGAGAGCTTTTCCTCCAGTTGGTGGCTGGGAGGGAAGAGACATAGATTTAAGTCCGGCAAGGTTTTTATCCTGCAAGCAACAACTAAACCAGGTGTAACCTCATCACCTTTCTGGAAACATTCGTTGCCTTTGTTCTTCTCTTCCAAAGCCAGCTCAGGATTGATGTATGCCTCCCGTTCTTGTTCTTTTAGGATTTTCTCAGCCTGGGGGAAGAGAAGGAAGTGTAAACGTTATCCACCGAGGAACAAGGTCCGGTATGAAGGAGCAACTGGACGGTGAGTTCTAGTCTTGCCTTAGGCGTGAAAAGATGGCTAGGTGACTTTGGGCCAGGAGATGGGGAGTTCTAGGCCATGGCTGGGTGGCTTAGGGCCAATGACCAGGAGACGGTGAGTTCTAGTCCTGCTTTAGGCATGAAAGATGACTGGGTGATTTGGGGCCAATCACTGGGAGACGGTGAGTTCTAGTCCTGCCTTAGGCATGGAAGATGACTAGGTAACTTAGAGCCAATCACCG